ACACACACACAGACATATACACAGACACACACACATACACAGCCACACATACACAGACATATACACAGCCACACACACACACATACAGACACACACACGTACACAGACACACATATACACACACACACATACACAGCCACACACACACACAGACATATACACAGCCACACACACATACACAGCCACACACACACAGACATATACACAGACACACACACGTACACAGCCACACACACACACACACACACACATACATACATACACAGTCACACACACAGACACACACATACACAGCCACACACACATATATACACAGACACACACACATATACACAGACACACACACACATACACAGCCACACACACACACATACACACAGACACACACACACATACACACAGTCACACACACATGTACACAGCCACACACACACACAGACAGACACACAGCAAACTGCTTCCCTCCCGACCTTACCTTCATCATGCAATCTCTGGAAGCACGAAGTGATGCTCTTCCTCCAGCCAGGCATCTTACTGAGCAATAGTGTGGGGGGGGGACACAGGGAGAGGTTGGGGGGGTGGGGGGGGGGGAATGGGGGAATAGGAAAGGTTTGCCCCCTGATTTAGTCCAGGACCAATGTGGTTTGAGTTGAGTCAGTCCCTGTCATCCCTCTGTGGTGACTGTACCAGTCTCTGCTGTGCTCTGCGCTTGTCTGTGTGTGTCTGTCTGTCTCTCTGTCTGTCTGTCTGTCTCTGTCTGTCCCCTTCGCTTCCTTAGCGACTGTCAACCACTTGCACTAAACCATCCCCACCTGCAGAGATCACTCCCTTGTCCTGGGGTCCTTCCCCACAGCCCCCCTCCACCTGAAGGGGACTGAGCTACATTAACCCCCAACTCCCCAACTCACAGCCTGACCATCCTTCACACACACAAACCCTGACCCCTCAGGTCCTCTCAGCCAAAGACACAACCCCTCTCTCTCTATACACCTTCCCCAATGGGAATCCAATCTACACAGAGCTCTGGGACCCCCCCCCCCCACTCCCCCCTGTTACAAACTCTCTTATTTTCTGCAATCCTAAGAGGACCCCAATCTGCAGCCCATTCACCAGGTCATAGAGACCCCAATCTGCAGCCCACCCACCAGGTCATAGAGACCCCAATCTGCAGCCCACCCACCAGGTCATAGAGACCCCAATCTGCAGCCCATTCACCAGGTCATAGAGACCCCAATCTGCAGCCCACCCACCAGGTCATAGAGACCCCAATCTGCAGCCCACCCACCAGGTCATAGAGACCCCAATCTGCAGCCCACCCACCAAGTCATAGAGACCCCAATCTGCAGCCCATCCACCAGGTCGTAGAGACCCCAATCTGCAGCCCACCCACCAGGTCATAGAGACCCCAATCTGCAGCCCACCCACCAGGTCATAGAGACCCCAATCTGCAGATCCCAGACTGGTCCAGTTCTCTCTATCTGTCAATTTTGCTGTCTGTCAACGCCCCCCCACCCCCCCCCCCCCCCCCCCCCCACACCCCCAAACACACACACACACACATTCATTAGCTTTTCCCATTCTGGTCTCTGCGAAAAGTAGAAGGGAGACCTCAACACATTAGAACTTAGAATTTTTAAATATATAGATATATATATCTATATATTTTACTCTTATTCTTGTTGAGCTAAAGTATTTTTTTTCTGTACATCGCTCGTCTTTCTCTCCCCATTGGCTATTACAGGTGGAATGGATTCACCCACAAAAATATACAGTCAATTCACTTTACAGTATATTCTGTGAAGTGCTGTGAGACGTCTCGAAGACGCGATAAGGTGCGATCTCAAATGCAAGGATCATTATTATTATTGGGTGCGGGTGCAGGTTTTTGTGATTGCACGATCAATTGTGTTAAAAGGAAGTTTTTTTGCACCAAATAGTGACATTAAGCACTTCCAGGTCAGGTATATCATAGATTTGATACAGCTTAGAGCTCCCTCTGCACAGGCTGTAACAACAGGCTCACAGGAGCACCACCTACTGCACTAGTAATGCTCGTAGCATCTCAGAGACTTATTTTATATAATAATAATAATAATCCTGGCATTTGATACAGCGCCTTATCAGGTCTTCAAGACGTCTCAAAGCGCTTCACAGGATATACTGTAAAGTGAATTGACTGGATATTGTGTGGGCGAAACGCAGCAGCCAATTGCGCACGGCAGCGTCCCCACAAACAGTCGCGGATTGAGTGATCGAAGGATTATTTTTTTTATTTTTCAAGGGATTATTACCCCCGGAAAAGTGATCCTCCAGCCGGGTTCCTACTTACTGCTGGGTAAACAGAGGCGTGCGGAGTAAGGAAACTTGCCCAACCTTTCGCCCTGTCCTACCCGGGAATCAAATCGAACCCGGGCCCTCTCGCTTGCGAGGCGAGTGCTCTAACCACTGAGCTACAGGACTCCGCAATTAAAATGACTATTTCTGGTCAAATTAAAAGACGCTGATCTATAGCCAACCGGAAATCTGTCACAGCACTTCAGCGTGAATCGCAGCAGAAAACACTCAGCCACACCCTTTCCTCCTCGCTTATTCTAAGAATAATTGGTTGGGTTTTTGTTCGAGGCAGTATTTGTGCAGTGGCGATGCACTGTCAATTGGGAGAGCAAGATAGTGAGGTTTTTTTTTCTAATCTCCAGGCTCAGTAATATTTACAGGACAGAAGCACATTCTGAACTGCTCGGAGCAGCACCGTCACAGAGCTATTGTGTTTATTTAACGACTCAAAAAAAAAACTTCAGTGTCAATTCGAAACTGGAAGTGCAATTGATTAGAAAAAAAGCGGACGTTTGCTTTGCTTTCTGCGGCGCTGTCTTGACACCCAGAGCTATCAGAGAGCTAGTTCGTCTTTCCTTTCCTTCGACATCAGCTTCTTCCCTTCAAAGGTGATCTTTAAAAATAACGCGCACATTGGATTCGTTTGGAAATTTTTTTTTTTGGATCACTGAATGCTGACCCACACCGCACCAGGTGATGATAATAATAATCCTTGCATTTGATATAGCGCCTCATCGCGTGCGTCCTCAAGACGTCTCAAAGCGCTTCACGGAATATACTGTAAAGTGAATTGACTGCATGGTTTGCGGGCAAAATCATCCCCGGTTTTAATTCAGTCTTAAGGTTAAAATCTTTATTGAATACTTGGGCTGAAAGGTGAATGGTTTTGTGGTGCAAAATGGAACACTTCCTCATTTTGAGCAGCTACTGCCCAGTACCAGGCAAAGCCAAGATCAGGTTAGTATAGTTAGATGCAGACACTAAAGGTTTGCGTACTCTGCCCCCAACGTATCAACTCAGGACTGCCCAACTGCACCAGTACGACATTTTCATCTCTAACAACGGCCGTCCTGTGGCCTTTTAACCAGATTACCAATTTGGTAGTGAATTAAAGATACTTTTGTACCAAGAGTGACGACCCATTGGGAATTAACATGGAGACTGCCCACAAACCATTTTGCGTACCCCTTGAAAGCCACACACACACACACACACACACACACAGACACAACGCTTTTATTCTCTCAAGGAATCAAATCTGGAATTAAATCCAGGTGCCAAGAGATGACCGGGATCTCAATTTTAATTTAGTGCCCAAACACAATAGATATATTGTCGTTCACCATTTTTGCTGGGATTTCTAATTGCCATACATTGGTACGAAAACTTTCTCTCTCCCCCACCCTCCCCAACACACACACACACACACACAGTCCAGTAAAAAAAAATCTAAATTGTTTTCACATAGAGAGCACGAAGTGAAAATAAATAAAATGCATGATTGAGGTTTATTATCCAGCGAATTGTTTGTATGAAGCTACAATAAATCTATTCAAACCCCATTCCTACGTTCAGCTACGAAGGCAGTCGCACAGCCCATTTGCATTCACGCCTTAGGGAGCTAACATTTACATTGCAATATTGCTCATTAAACCTCAAGTAGTCAAAATCTGAAAGGCAAACATTTTCTACAGCAACTTAATGGCAGTATTATCAATGATTTGATTTCTGCTCTGGGATCAAACTACAAGTTGATTTTAATTGTCTCTGATCAATTTTATTTAAAAGAAATTTACCCTGAGGTGGGTGTATAAACCATATTCTCAGTTTTTTCCTCCCATTCCCACGTCGTGATGCACTGATAAGAATCGCAATGCAGTTTGGGATTTTCACTCAGGTTGTCAATATTTTAAGCATTTTCCTCCAAGTGGACCTTCACGATGTATAAATAAATACTCATCCACAGGAACGGAATTCTGATGGCTGGAGACATCCCAATTTGTTCTCTATTCAATCACTTTTCCTGCTAAATAAACCAAGGTACCTTGCATCTAAATTCCTTTCCAATAAACATTGGCTCTTGATGGCTGAGCAAAAGTAGTCCAATTGCTTTGCTAACCCAGAACGTGATAAGAACAGAACGGGAGACAGCATCTTCCCACATTACAGGATACCATTTCCCCACATATTGAATTGAAAATCAACAGTCAACACAGCTCCAAGCGTTGTAAAACCAGGAGGGAGCTTGGTAAACAGTCATAAACTTTGCATCGATATGGCGCTTTTCACATCAACCGTAAAGTGAATGAACAATCTTATTTGAAGGAATTCTTGGCCGGAAACTATCAGGAGAAATTACCAGGAGAAACTCCCTTCTCTTTTTAAATACTGCCATGGGATCTTTAACATCCACCTGAACAAACAGAAAGGTCCTCAGTTTAATGTCTCATCCACCTCTGACAATGCAGCACTCTCAGTACTGTACTGGAGCATAAAAACAAGATTGCATTTGTACATAAGTGCGCATTGTGAGTTCAAAGTCTTGACGTGGGGCTTGAACCCACAACCTTCAGACTCCGAGGCGAGAATGCTACAAACCGAGCCAGGCTGACCCAACAGAAGTTGAACTTTTTGTCAAAAATGAGAAGAGCGTATCTAGAAGGATCTACATTCTAAAGATTTTTTATTTTATTTATTTTTAAAAGGACACATAAAAGTAAAAGACGTGGTACAAGCAGTTTATTAAACAATTTAATACAAACCAATGAGTTTGAGGTTTATAAGAACTGAACGGAAGAGGAAGGGAGAACCAAAATCCTTATAACAAGATGGCAACTTGTAGATTATTTATTTCTGGTGCCTTAATTTCTTTTAAAAATTCGGTTCAAATCAAGGGCAATACAACTAATGTCAAATTCGGTTTGGATTTTCCTTCCTCCCAAAGTCATGATGAAATTAAAGAGCACTGCTTTTCAGCTGGAGGTTTGATTTACTGTACGCGTAGAGATTTCAGCATCATGTTCAGACTGATCTGTAGAGGTCTGTCGACTCCAGAATATAGTCTCAGAGACTTATTTTACATAATAATAATCGTTGCATTTGATACGGCGTCTCATCACGTCTTCGAGACACCTCAAAGCGCTTCACAGAATATACTGTAAAGTGTAGTGACTGTGTATTTTGTGGGCGAAATGCGGCAGCCAATGGCGCACAGCAGCTTCCCCACAAACAGCCGTGGATTGAGTGACCCAATTATTATTATTTTTTTTGGGAAGAAATTTCAAAGAAGTGTTATAGGTTCAGCTGGGATACGTAGATACTGTCTGGTTAGTAATAGAATTTATTCACTGTCCAATTGAATTCAAAAGTTATCTGTCCCTAAAATGCACGGAAGCAGAAAACTCAATTACAATCCCCTTCCAGTTAACTACAATAACTCCGAAGTTAGTTTTTTTTTAAAAAAACGTTTAGAGGTATTTAACGAGTCAAGAAGCAACTTAGGATATGCAATAAAATCATTTCAATACAGTTAAATGTTTGTTCAACGAGGTAAGGATATTTTGTGCTTCAGCATTTGTGAAGAGGTTCTCTGTTTAAACTGGCCGTAAGGCTCGGAAATAAATGTACTTGACTATTGTTCTCTTATTTGAGAGAGCAAGACTTCATCTAGGGCTCGAAGGACAAGCAAAGGAGACTATCAAAAGGAATACGAACTGTTGGGAGTGTGTTAATATTCCTTTTGATATAGAATGTAGTGCTGTTTGTAAATTAACGTTAGCTACCTTTTACAGATGTCTCAACTCATTATAATAATCTTTGCATTTGATATAGCGCCTTATCACCTCTTCGGGATGTCTCAGAGCGCTTCGTAGAATATACTGTAAAATGTAGTGACTGTATATTCTGTGGGACAAACATTAACAAATAAACAGCCTTGGGCAAATGTCTAGACATGACTCCTTTAAACACTTCACGGTATAAACGCAACCAGCTGAACCAGAGTATACTCTCTCCTCTCTCCAGAGCCGGCAAATATCTACATGACATTCTGAACACAGCTGAACGGCCAAGACACTTTCATTTGAGTGCCAACAGAGTTCACAGTGATAGTTTCCCTCTGTTGAGATGATGTTGCGAACAGCACAAGACTCCGGGACACTAAATAACTCATTTCTTTTGTTCCTGGTTTTCTTGGAATCCATATCGTTTGTCAAGCGTGGAATTCGGAGTAGCATTACTGCGGAATTCCTCCCTCCTCACTGCTCATTCTGTTGGCCCTCTGTTATGCCAGACACAGCTCCTTGGCCTTTGTTGACATCACTGATGCAGACCCATTGGCCATCCACATTCTCCTTCCACAAACTGACCTGCAGATTAGATAAGAGGTCAAACAGAAACAGAAAACATGATAAACAAGCATTACTTTTGTCCTGACCTCTGAAAACCAGTGGGAGCAACACAGGACACATTCCACTATTTCCAATGGTAATATTATCCCACAAAACCATCCGACAGAGGACTGCTAGTTAAGAACGGAAGCATTTTGTTCAAAGGCAGGCACCTGAACGATTTGACTGCACTTACCATCAGTCAGTCAAGCCATCAGATTGAATAACACTGAGCTTTCAGACACAACAACCAATGACATTAATGAGTTGGGAGGACATCCCAAGGATCTGGACCCGAGCAGGGGGTTGGGATCAGGAGGATTGGAGGGCAGGGTAAGAGGGTGGCCGTAGGCACGGTCGAAGAGGAGGGTCTTGAGAGGAAGCAAGGGAGGAAGCGAGGCGAGGGATCTGTGTGATGGGAGTTCCACACATCTAAAGTTGAAGAGCGACATTGCTGGAAGGCCAGAAGAAGGCTGTGTAGAAAACATCCTGTGAAACAGAACGAAGAAGGTTAGCACCCTGTAGCTCCATCAGTGTTTCAGATGATTTATCTATAAGAATTCATATACATAAATATACATAAATCATCTGAAACACTGATGGAGCTACAGGGTGCGTGGACCCCTGCAGGGAACTCCAGTCCAGGAAGAAATTGAGAGATTCAGATGTTTGGTTCGGTAGACTGACAAATCCCTGGAACCTAATTGGGAGTTTCAGAGTTGATTATAAGGATTATTTGAACTGTAAGTTGGACCAATATTTTCTAAACACTCCAGGGTATTATATACAGACTCTTGATGTGGAGATAGATAAGAGGACAGTATGAAGCAAAAAGCTCAGAAGAGATGAGGGTAACAAAGAAAAAAGAATGCAGAGAGAATAACCAGAGAAACATGATTTAAAGGCATGTTTTAATGCTTATTGCTGTTTGTGGGTTTGCTATTCATCTAATGGGATTAGGTAAAGACCACGCAGATATCTTCATAGACTGTTCTCAACAGGATCAGCTCCTTTTCCAAGTCCCATTGCCTTCCTCGGTTAGGTTCCACTTGCTTGTTTTCTAACCATTTCCAGAAACGTATTTAATCATGACCGGCCTCATAAACTAACAATGTAAAAAAAGAAAAGTCTTCCAGGCATGCTGAAGGAGAGAGAGAGAGAGAGAGAGAGACGGAGAGGAAGAAAGCGATAGATAGAGAGCCAGATATGCGTCTCAAACACAATCTGTTGAAACAATTCTGTGAGAAGCTCTTTAGAAATTCGCAGCATGCAGTCTGCAGGTTATTAGCACTCATTGGGGATGTCAAACACGTTCAAAAGCCAGTCAAGTGAATCACTGCCTTACCTTATTGTCCCCTCCTGAGACAGCTAGAATATTCCCGGTGATGGACCAGCTAACGTGCCACACCACATCACTGAACTTGTGCAACAATTTGTGCGTCCACGCGTTTCCGGCAGGATCATCACAAGTCCAGATAAAAACTCTGCCATCCTGGGGTTCGGTTGGGGGGGGGTGGGGGGGGAGAGAGAAAAGTAATAATTATAATTCCTGCATTTGATATTTGATATTGGGTTTCGGCCACAAAATATACAGGTCAATTGACTTACCGTATATTCTGTGAAGGAGACATCTCGTCTCAAAACGCTTCACAGGATATATTGTAAAGCAAATTGACTGTATATTCCTCCCCCCCCCGCGCCAGTCAACCCCCTGCCCCTGCAACCCCCCCTGCCCCCGCAACCCCCCCTGCCCCCGCAACCTCCCCTGCCCCCGCAACCCCCTCCAAACAGCAAAACCTTTGTGCACAATTTTAGCAGGAGAGAAAAAAAAATACCCACTCACATAGCTCTACAGTCAGTAACCGTGTATTGTGTAACACAGCTTGACGTACTGACAAGTGAAGAACCCCATACGGTCAAAGTACAATGGGAACTGGACGCGCAAATCAATCACCGGTCATCCACAAAGAACACGAGGCGTTCACACCCCCTGCTGCCCAATGAGGGTATGACAGGGTCTAAGGATTCGAACCTCCTTCCCAACTGGATATGAAACCAGCAATGCTTACAATCTCCAAAGTCTTTCCAATGCGACATTTACGTCAGCCTGAGATCAGCGCAGTCCAGTTGCTGTTAGTCTCTGCAAACTACTGGCAACGTTACAGTTCAGCCACTAACCCCCGAAACTCTGGAACAATCTTCCTCTACCCCTCCGCCTTGTCCCTTCTTTCCTTATCTTTAGATCATGCCTGAAGTCCTTCCTCTCTCTGACCGTGCTTACGGTCGCCTTCCCCCCACCCTACACCGTGCCATGCGCCGCCATTGACAAGCGCTCTGGGGCGGTACCCTGCGTGAGGGGACGCCGTGCAAATGCAAGTTGTTGTTCTTAAATCAAAGCCCTTCACCCAAACCTTCAGTTTAACGGCAGAGCATCAACAACAACAGATTACATTTGCATAGCGCCTTTCACGTTAGGAAGAAGTCCCAAAGCGCTGGTCAATCAATGAGATAGTTTCTGTTCCCCAACAGTAGAAAACCTGCACAATCCTTACCTGGGAGCAGCTGGCAATGGTGCTTGTGGGAAGCCCGATCGATGGGGCCCAGGCAACATCTCTGACCCAATCGCTGTGAGCTTCAAGCTTTTGATCCTCCTTCCACTGTCCATCTTCCTCTCTGTAATACAAGGGAGCCACAAAGTGTCAACGAGAATTCTCAGCCTTTCTTGAAATCATTCAGACTTAACAGGAATAGAAGTTCATCTTGAACATGCAAACAAAATATATAGCCATTGGGGCAAAGCAGAAAATGTCTGAATACACAATGTCACCTAATTAACCTACAATCAGAATAAATAGGGTGGTCCTAGCTGGACAAGTAGTGGGAAGGCTTGCCAAACAGTAATATCTAATGGCAAGCTATGTGTGGTTTTAGCTGGTAAGACTCCAGCAGTTACCCTAACGCACACTCCTCCAAGCCTTGGCTCTCGCCAACCTGCGCCTAATACTTTCCGGAATTAGGTAAGCAGGATGTGTTACCAGGGAGAGAGAGAGAGCGCATTCCTTTCCAACAATCTATCTCTGGGATTTCCGTGTGTAGGTGGGATGCTTGGAAATCTCAGCGTGACTTGGAGATTCTTAAGCAACCGTGATAGATTTCCGCGTGTGTCAGACACCCGGCTGACCGACAAAAAATTACTCTCTTCCTCTCCTCTCCCCTCCCACCAATCCCTAGAGTTCCAATACACTCACTTCCAGAGTTTCACAAGATTATCACAGCCCCCCGACACAAATCGCTTGATGTAGTTTGGTTTCTGGCCCGAAGGCTGATCCACAAGGCTCCCTGGTAGAACTGCAGGGGCCCAGCTAACAGCATTGCAACCAATCTGTAGAGGAAAAAAACACAGACACGTGCATCAATAATTTAGCCTTAATGATAATAATCCTTGCATTTGATATAGCGCCTTATCGCGTCTTGTAGACGTCTCAAAGCACGTCACGGGATACACAGTATATTTTGTGGTCAAAACCCAGTAGCCAATTGCGCACAGCAGTGTCCCACAACGAGTCGCGGATGGAGTAACCAAATTTATTATTATTACCTTCTCCTGTACATATTAGTAAATCTTAATACACAAGTTTTTTTAAGAAAAAAATAAAAGCAATAATGTGCTCGCAGCAAAGGTATTATTTTAGAAAATAATTTCTTACTGTGTGTGCATTACTGATCTTCTTCACTTCCCACTGACCATCACCTGTGTGTGTCAGCAGCGAGATTGCACCGTCTGAGCTACCACATGTAAGGATCAGTCCAAACTCATGGGGTGCCCAGCACAGAGAGTTCACTGCAAAAGAATAGAGTCCTTTATCAATGGCTTTACCTCATATCATCTGCTGGATACCAATTTATCTTTGTACAACCACATACACACACACGCACACATAACTGTGATCGAAAGGGGATAAATTCAGAACTATACAGTGTATAGTTTGGGACACGACATGTCAAACGACTGCCGGGATGGAGGAAGCAGAACTGGATGGACCTTGGTCTTCTTTTGCCCAGCAAACGAGTCATGATCTTATAAAATGGTGGAACAAGCTCAAGGGGCTGAATGGCCTACTTCTGTTCCTGTGTTCCATGAGGTTTCCTCATCTAGGTAACCAGGAACAGTGGAGCTTCATGTCGTCATTAAGTTACTTTTAAAAAGGAGATGTGAAAGAAATCTCATCACGAACCAGTGTGATTTCAATGCTGCAAGAACACGTGTGATAAAGTGGCATCGTTACCTGAAGAATCATGGCCTGTATATTCGTACATCTTGTCCCAAGTTCCATTTTCTTCCTTCCAAATGATGACCTTGCGGTCGTAGGAACAGGAGGCAACCATGTTACCGTACATAGGATGAGCCCAGCCCACCTGCCACACAGGACCTTCATGACTGAACAAAATAAAGGTATTTTAATTTAAAATAAATATGCAGATATTCAGGATAATCCAAGGTCTGCATAACGCAGTAATAATAGCACCTTATCAATTCTTCAAGACGTCTTAAAGCACTTCACAGAATATACTGTGGGCGAAACACGGTAGCCAATTGCAACAGCAGTGCCCCACAAACAGTCGTGCATTGAATGACCAAATTATTATGATTTGTTTTTTTTTTTTGAAGGGATTATTACTCCCAGAAAAGCAATCCACCAATCGACTAACAACCGGGTTCCTACTTACTGTGGTAAACAGAGGCGCGTGTGTGCGGAGTAAGTAAACTTGCCTATGGTTTCGCTCTGTCCTGCCCGGGAATCAAACCCAGGTCCTCTCGCTTGCGAGGCGAGTGCTCTAACCACTGCGCTACAGGACAAGTTGGGGCACTTCTTAGGAATCTATCCCAGGTCAGTCCTGCTCTTCTCCACAAGCTGATTATTTCAGTGTAAGTAAGTGGCAAGGGGGATTAGAGCAAGTACCCCACCTAAAGTTACAAACATCCCACTTACCCCCTCAGGTCAGCCACCAGTATCTGGCCTCCATTTTTTACATCAAATATTTTCACAGATCGATCTGAGGAGCATGTCGCAAGGCGGGTGCCGTAGTAATCCATCTGGGCATCGTGCTGGTTGTAAAACATGGGAAAAATAGGTGAATGTACAACATAAGAGGTCACACTGGTGGGAATCCGAAATGATTCAGCACTGTGGTGAGTACGAGCAATGTTAAAGTTCATGGTTCTAAATAGATTTTTCTTGGGTTTTTTTGGGGGTGAGGTAGGAAAGGGGTGATCGTAATTCACTCCAGGCAGCTACTAGTGTACATACAATTTAGACAAGCCCCTGAATTATATTCCAGCCTGCAAACCATACATGGGGATCCATTATACAACAACAATAATAAATAATCCTTGCATTTGATACAGCGTCTTATCACATCTTCTACACGTCTCAAACCGCTTAATGGGATACACTGCAAAGTGAATTGACTGTATATGTGTGTATTTTGTGGGCGAAACGCGGCAGCCAATTGCGCACAGCGATGTCCCACAAACAGTCATGGATTAAGTGACTTATTTTTTATTTGAACCAGGGTCTACCTAATCTGAAATGTAGATTAGATTCAACCATTCCCAGTATGACGTGGCAACTATGAAATTAACATCTTCTAATGATTATTAAAATCATAACCACAGCGGTGATAATCCACCTTTCTTTCCTCTCCCTCCCTAAGTTACCAAAATTAATTTGCACTGACATTACTTTGCTCTTCTTGGCACGACATTCCTCTCAACACACTGGAGGAGCAAATGATAATGAATTCATTGATTTCACCCCGCCACACTGAGCCCTTATAGTGTGATAGAAAGGAAACAAGAGAAATTGCAAGGCATTATCTGGACCGTGCATTGGATTTTATTGCCAGTCCCACTGTTAAAAATAATTGCAGTGTTCACTAAAGCATATATTCGGAGCTGAGAGGGTGTTCGTGACTGCAATACACTTAGTCTTTTGTTGTTCTTAATTGCTTTCTCTGGTATCCATGTGTTATTGCTCACCCTCTAGTGAACTCACAATGTACCTGCTCCAGGCCTCACCAGACTTTCCGAATCAGCTGTTAGAAAATGTGGGAAGAGCAGCTTGAGGTCAAGTGAAATCCAGAACGGGGGGTAGGGGTGGGAGAGGCATCATCTTAAAATTACAGCCAGGCCATTTAGGAGTAAAATCAGGAGGCAGTTTTTCACCCAAACGGTAGAGGAAATCTGGAACTCTCTCCCTCCCCCAAAAGGCTGTGGATGATGGATCCATTCAAGACTGAGGTGGTTAGATATTTGTTGGTATCAAGGGGTACGTGGCAAGGGCGGGTAATTGGACTTGAGGTACAGATCGGCCATGATCTTATAGAATGGCAGAACAGGTTCGAGAGGCTGAATGGCCTCCTCCTGTTTCAATGTTTCTGCAAACATTGATATCTGGAAATATCCACCTTTAATAGCTGGGGAATAATCACTGCAAGGTCAGCTGAGTGATGGTCAATAGTTAAATCTGAGGCAACTGCGCAGAATGTGGAATAAGACAAGGCAGTTTCTTTCAGAAAGAGAATAAAAGCTCATTCATTAGACCGTTCCCCGTTCTACAATAGACAGAACAATGCACAACATTGTCCCGTGTGTCCGCTGAAACAAAAGTACACTTGAGATCACAAAAGACTTTAAAAAAAATACTGTGGTAGTGGATCAACTTGAGCTGACAATGCAATTCCCCAGAGCCACAAGTTCTACATTCACTGTGAAAAGGCGATAAGACAAGGGCTAGCTCACAGGAAAGGTCATTATATTTCATTCCTGTCAAACCCTTTGAGACATTTCAACATGATAATGCGCTATATATAAAACAAGTTATTTATTTCCCCAACCCATCTCGATGACTGGGATTTGTGAACTGTATTGTGGGAGGCTACCTGCCTGGAAGCCCCACAGTTCTCTCTTCCTCCAGCTGTTAGATATCTTAATGATCCTGGCAAACAGCGCTGGAATCCTGCCTCAGAAACCATGCCAGGCAAACCCTATAAATTTCCCTTGTAAAGGTTGCCAAGGGCCTCGGGTTAATTCAGACTGGGCAATTGTACTCCAATTCCCAGCCGCCGCACTTGCAGTGTAAAACTGCTCTGAATGTCAGCCACGCTCGACGATGTCTCTCACCGAGGCCATTAAGATTTTAATTTGGTCGCTGAGTGCCTGCAAACGCAGAAACCACACTCCTCACTCCGCAGCCTTGAGGGGGGGGGGGGGGGAGATGAAATACAGGTGCGGGTCGGCAAAACCACCAAAAAAACTAGACTGAAAGGGCACGTCCTACGACACGAGTGTGATGCTTCTATTCCTTACATCAGCCGCCCTTCCCCAAACTTGTGCTCAGGTGCCGAGTCAGCAACAATTGGGAAATATTCTCTCGAGTTTATCTATGTCATAAACCAGACAGGACACCTCACACTTAAGACTGAACTACGCTCCTGACACGAAATGAAAGTTACGACATGTTTAACTGGGGCAATTAGCCAGAATAGAAATCCTACGAGAGATGCCATTTTCGTAGCTGCTGATGAACGATTCACTTACGATCATATCCTCGTGGGATGTATCCACTGTGTTAATTACAGACACCTAAAAAAAAAACCAGAGAGAAAGATAATTAAATGCATTGTACAGCACCTGGTCATTATCATGCCAAGCATTTAGCAGAAAACACAAACATATATTAAAATCTATTTCTACAACATCAACGTTCCACCCATTTTTCCGCAAGAGAGAATGGCCAATAACAGTACCTCACTGTCCACATAACACCACAAATAACCAAAAGTAACCAATTAATAATAATCCTCGTATTTGATATAGCGCCTTGTCACGTCTTCGAGACGTCTCAAAGCGCTTCACAGAATATACTGTAAGGTGAATTGACCGTATATTTTGTGGGGGAAACACGGCAGCCAATTGCGCACAGCAGCGTCCCCACAAACAGTGGTGGATTGAAGTGACCACGTTATTGTTTTTTTTTAATTATTTTTTAAAGGGATTATCATCCCCGGAAAAGCAATAATAATAATAATCCTTGCATTTGATATAGCGCTTTTCACGTCGGGAGGACGTCCCAAAGCGCTTCACAGAACACACTGTAAAGTGAATTGACTGTATATTTGTGGGTGAACGCGGCAGCCAATTGCGCACAATAATGTCCCACAAACAATCCGCCAATCGACTAACAACGGGGTTCCTACTTACTGCTGAGTAAACAGCAAAGACTTGGGATGGATAAGGTGGTGAAACCCTCATATGTACGTCCAGGCTTGACTGTGCAAACGCCCCAACTCCTCCCTCCATAGGCCGCAGATCATCCAGAACTCTGTAGCCCGTGTCCTCTCCCGCACCGGGCTCCGCGATCCTATCACCCCCATCCTCGCCCGACTCCGCTGGCTTCCCATCACACAGAGGATAAAGTTTAAAACCCTGGTCCTGACTTTCAAAGCCCTCCACGGTCTTGCTCCCCGCTACCTCTCCGACCTCCTAACCCTCTAGCATCCTACCCGCTCCCTCCGCTCAGCGGGCTCCAGCCTGCCACTCTGCCCCCCCCCCCCCCCGCCTCCCTTGCCTCCTTCAAGACGCGTCTCAAGAACCTCCTCATCGACCGTGCTTTCGATCTCCTTGCTTCCCCCACGGCCCACCACTCTCCCTCGACCTCGACCCCCAGCTCGTGTCCGAAACGCTGACTGTCCAGCGCTGTGGGACGTCCTCTCGACGTGAAAGGCACTTTACGAATGTCATTTCGTCGTCGTCGTCGTCGTCGGTGCACAAAGCACCAAATCAGCCCGAACTGAGGTCTTCGTTGCCGTTCGCTGGCCGCCGGGGTTCAGCGTGAAATGAGTAAACGGTCACTAAATACAGGGATGTCTTTAACCTGGTGAGAGCGAGAGCGACGGGTGTTGTAGCCTCAGGAGCCGGGACTGTCGTGACAGTGAGTCGGGGGGTCGGGGGGGGGGGGGGTGGGGGGATTAACGGCAGCGGCTTCAACCTGATGCGGCCTCGAGAAGCGATAGAATCATCTTTTTGTTACAAAACAGAGATAAGCTCAACAAGACCCTCCCCACCCCCCACACACACAGACACTGCAGAGAGCACAAGACCCTCCCCACCCACCCCCCACACAGACACTGCAGAGAACACAAGACCCTCCCCACCCCCCACACAGACACTGCAGAGAACACAAGACCCTCCCCACCCCCCCCACACAGACACACACTGCAGAGAACACAAGACCCTCCCCACCCCCCCCACACACACACACTGCAGAGAGCACAAGACCCTCCCCACCCCCCACACACACAGACACTGCAGAGAACACAAGACCCTCCCCACCCCCACACACACAGACACTGCAGAGAGCACAAGACCCTCCCCACCCCCACACAGACACACACTGCAGAGAGCACAAGACCCTCCCCACCCCCCACACAGACACTGCAGAGAACACAAGACCCTCCCCACCCCCCACACACACAGACACTGCAGAGAACACAAGACCCTCCCCACCCCCCACACAGACACACAGACACTGCAGAGAGCACAAGACCCTCCCCACCCCCCACACACACACACACACTGCAGAGAACACAAGACCCTCCCCACCCCCCACACACACAGACACAGACACTGCAGAGAACACAAGACCCTCCCCACCCCCCACACACACAGACACTGCAGAGAACACAAGACCCTCCCCACCCCCCACACACAGACACACAGACACTGCAGAGGACCGGAGACCACCACATAAACACAAGGCCCCACAGCAAAAGGCGTGAGGATAGAACCCCCCGCACAGCCCCTCCCTATCCCCCCCCCAGGCCCCCGCGGGGGTGGGGGGGGAGTTCCCTCCTCCCCGGGGGACACTCACCATGACTCCGCCGCTCGGTGTTGTTGTCGCTGATGGTGGTGTTGGTGGTGTCTGTTCCGCTCAAACCGCCGCCGCCGCCGCGCGGGGATTCCCTCAGACGTGGCGCCGACCAGGGACTCACTTCCGGTTGTGTCACCGCGTTGTACCTCCCCCACACCCCCGCCCCCCCCCGGGCAAACCCCGGGAGAGAAAGGTTCCGAGGGCGAAAAGGACCCCACGTGAAAATATCCCCAACACTCCCCTCCCCCACTCCCCCCCCCCCCACCAGCAGCCAATTCACCCCCAAATGAAGGCGGCAGCTGTGCTGTGCTGTGCTGCAGATAATACATCCATAATAATATGACGTTGACGATGTTGATCACAATCCTCGCAGTCGAATACGGCGCCTCGTCCCCGTTCCCCGAGACGCCCCGAAAGCGCTTCGCCCCGGACCCGCTGTCCGAAGTGGAGTGACTGTGTATCTCAAGGGCGAAAAGGCCCGGCAGCCAAGTCCCCCCCTCCCGACCCCCCACACCCACCCACACAAACGGTCGTGGAATCGAAGCGACCGATTTATTATTATTCAGTCATTTCGTGAAGGGCTTATTTCCCCCTCCACCCGGTAAAAGCGATCCGCCAATCGACTAACAACCGGGTTCCTATTTACTGCTGGTAACCAGAGGTGTGTGTGGAGTAAGAAGACTTGCCCGAGGTTTCCCCCTGACCCGCCCGGGAATCAAACCCGGGTCCTCTCGCTTGCGAGGCGAGAGCTCTAACCACTGAGCCATAGGACACCCTATATATATGTGTATATATATATTACAACTAACCTACACACTGTATCCATTTATAAATACCTATCAGTGGTTACACATTTACTCCACAGCCTGAGCCTGGGTCGGGAGGACAGGTCAAAAAGGTTCACAAGTGTTTGCAAATGGGGAGGGAGTGAGGGGAGCCTGAGTGGGGGGAGGGGGGGGAACGGACAAACTAACTGGTTTACCACCTAACCCTAACCCCCTGTGGGTGTGGCTGCAGGAGCCAAGTTCCATCTGCTGGTGGCGGTGGTGATGATGGTGATGGGCGCCACCAGTTGCGAATTGGTCGTAGTGCTGCAAGAGGTGCCGCTGGGTGTCGCTGTGGCGGGTCAGGCTCGGGGTGGTGGGTGGGTGGTGGTGACGGTGCCCTGCAGGTGCCGCTGGGTGTCGCTGTGGCGGGTCAGGCCGGGGTGGGGGTGGGTGGGTGGTGATGGTGCCCTGCAGGTGCCGCTGGGTGTCGCTGTGGCGGGTCAGGCCGGGGTGGGGGTGGGTGGTGGTGACGGTGCCCTGCAGGTGCCGCTGGGTGTCGCTGCAGGCCCAGGCCAGGCTCCGGGGCTGGATTGAGGCTGAGGCCGGGGTTCCTAGTGGCTTCCAGCCGGCGCTCGCGCTCGGTCACCTCACGTCACGTCACCCACCCGGTGCCAGGGCGGAGCGGCCATCTTTGGAAACGGGGCGAGGGGCAGAGAGAGAGAGAGAGGGAGAGAGGGAGAGGGAGGAAGGCCCCGGAGTCTGTCACACAGCACCACAGCAACAACATGGCCAACGTGTCCTACCACATCTCCAACCTCCTGGAGAAGATGACATCCAGCGACAAAGACTTCAGGTCAGGCCCTGAGAGGGGGGGAGGGGAGGGGGGCAAGAAGAGGGGAGGGAGGGGGTAAGAAGAGGGGGGGAGGGGGGCAAGAAGGAGGGAAGGGGGCAAGAAAAGGGGAGGGAGGGGGTAAGAAGAGGGGAGGGGAGGGGGGCAAGAAGAGGGGAGGGGAGGGGGGCAAGAAGAGGGGAAGGGGGCAAGAAGAGGGGAAGGGGGCAAGAAGAGGGGAGGGAGGGGGGCAAGAAGAGGGGAGGGAGGGGGGCAAGAAGAGGGGAGGGGAGGGGGCAAGAAGAGGGGAAGGGGGCAAGAAGAGGGGAGGGAGGGGGGCAAGAAGAGGGGAAGGGGGGCAAGAAGAGGGGAAGGGGGGCAAGAAGAGGGGAGGGGAGGGGAAACAAGAGGGGAGGGGAGGGGGGCAAGAAAAGGGGAGGGGAGACAAGAGGGAGGGAAGGGGGGCAAGAAAAGGGGAGGGGGCAAGAAGAGGGGAAGGGGGCAAGAAGAGGGGAGGGAGGGGGGCAAGAAGAGGGGAGGGGAGGGGGGGCAAGAAAAGGGGAGGGGAGGGGGCAAGAAGAGGGGAAGGGGGCAAGAAGAGGGGAGGGAGGGGGGCAAGAAGAGGGGAAGGGGGGCAAGAAGAGGGGAGTGGGGGGGCAAGAAGAGGGGAGTGGGGGGGCAAGGTGGGAGGGTGGCAAAACGTGAGGGGGGGGCAAGAAGAAGGGAGGAAAGTCTGATAAGAAGGGGGAGTGGGGGGGGGGGGGAGTGGGAGGAGGGGGGAGAGAAGAGACAGAGAGAAATATATTTAGTAATTTTTACTTCCAGTCAACGTTAAAGCCAAGTTTGGTTTTTTTTGTTAATGATAATCCTCACATTCGACGCAGCGCCTCATCGCGGCTTCGAGACGTCTCAAAGCGCTTCACAGGATACACTGTAAAGGGAATTGACTGTATGTTTTGGGGGCCAAACGCGGCGGCCAATCGCGTCCCCACAAACAGCCGGGGATTGAGTGACCAAATTTTTATTAATCTACTGAAACGTGGAGTGACTTGTGTGCTTTTTTTTTGTGGGTGTTTTTTTTTAAAAAAAAGGCGATGTGTATGTGTGGTGGTGGGGGGGTGGGGGCGCGCGGGCGTTCTCGAGCTTTTGTTTCCTTTTTTTCATTTACAATATAAATTAAAGTCGAAGGAAATTTCAGGCCGAAGTGCTCAAAGTAAATCCGCGGCAAATCCTGATATCAGTAAAGGAATAAAATAACTACATCTTCGAGACACCTCAAAGCGCTTCTCACTGAATGTACTGTGAAGTGAATTGACTGTATATTTTCTGGGCGGAAACAAATTAATGGATTAATTAATCCATGAAGCAAACGGTTGCCGCAGAGTTAGGCAGGTGGTCCGGGGTCAGAGACTTTGCACAAACTCTGGTTTCTCTCTCTTTCCCCCTCCCCTCTGATTGCTTTGCTGCGGGGCCGCGGAGAGACGAAAAGGTGGGGGTGGGGGGACTTTGCATCTGTGCCGAGAGAGAGGTGCTTCTTTCTCTCTCTGGCACAAGCAAGTCAGCACATTGCAACTGTGAATAGGCAATAGCAACCAGCTGCTGAAATTAGGCCGGCGTCTTAGAGGGAAGGAGAGGGGGTGGGTGGCTGTTACGTCATTGATGAGGCTTCTCTTCTCACCCACCCACCCCCAAACCCAATCCCGGAGTCACTGTGCTTTACCTCCTTCAAGGTCTGTCTCAAGACCTTCCTCTGTCTCCCTCCCAACCCGCACCCTCTCCCCTGGCTCAGTTGAGGTTGCAAACCCTCAACTCTCCGGCGACTTGGGACTTACTCCCGACGTGAAAGGCGCTACCACAATATGATTTGTTGTTATTTCCCCTACCCTCCTTTGCCCCCTTCTCCGACGGCTCTACTAATGCTGCTCTTAGTAACGTAGAGAAAGGGGAGGAAGAGCGGCCTGGCTGACATTCTGGCATATCGCAGGACTTCCCCCCCCTATTGCTCCCAACCATACCCTCGTACATATATCTATTTGACAAGGCCACAGTCAGGACTCCACTTTGTACGTCGATTGGGTTTCATCCTGCTTCGCTTGCGTTATATAGAATTGATAGCTTTATATAACATGTAAATAAATCTGTGCAAAATGTCATATGGATCTCAGATTAGGACAGAATCCTTTTCAATATGTTTTCCAATTCTGATCTCCTGATCCTTCCCCCCCCCCCCCCCCATGTCTTATGAAGAATAATAGATGGGCAGGAAGAATGTGGTGTTTATTGGGTAACCTCTTGTGACACTATTGGTGCCAAGTGCTGAGGCCACCAACTGTATTTTTGGGCCTTGCTGAGTGTCCACCTTGTTGCATAGGTTTATGGCCACCAATGACCTGATGGTGGAGCTGCAAAAAGACTCCATCAAACTGGACGATGACAGTGAGAAGAAGGTGGTGAAGATGCTTCTGAAGCTACTGGAGGACAAAAACGGAGAGGTCCAGAACCTGGCTGTCAAGTGGTAAGTGACGGCGATCACCTAAGATGTGTGCCATTGTGCACAGTTTTAGATCATGTTAGCTGGCGTGGAGAGGAGGCATTCGCTAAGGTTGTGTGTGTGTGTGTGAGAGAGAGACTGTCGAGCGAACTCGGACTTGGACTCGGCTTGATATTGCCCCTCATGCAGCTTGTCACTACTGAAGTAAGTACAGATGTGGGTGAGAGACTATGGAGATCACAGACTCATAGTATTTCATCTATTCATCCCTTTAGCTTGGGTCCGCTGGTCAGCAAGGTCAAAGAGTACCAGGTAGAGACGATTGTGGATACTCTGTGCACCAACATGCTGTCTGACAAAGAGCAACTCAGGGATATCTCCAGCATCGGACTGAAGACTGTCATTGCTGAGCTGCCTCCTGCCTCCAGTGGTAAGACCTTCCTTTGTATTCTAAAAGGTATTCTGCGCAAATTATGAGGTGGGACAGGGCCCCTGTTATGGTAAAGGATTGAGCGAGTTAGTCTCCCCATCACGTTAAAAAATGGACAGTCCTTCTCTGATAAAAGATCATTTCCGTTTCTGGTTGCTACAATGCTTTCATGTGTTGAGTCATAAATGGATGCTGTCTTTGACGGTTTTCACTCATCCACTGGAATTACTTGCTCTAATTCCTTGCTAATTTGGTGGAGCTTTCAAAGCTAAATAAGATGCATCTAATTGCTCGGAAAACATTTGTTTCCACTTGCCTTGAAGGTTGAGTTATTGACATTGACTGCCCAGTTTGGAAGGTTTCGGGCCCATTCTGGGCTGAGCCATCTGATCCAAACTGGGCTGACAGTGGGGGAGTTACATTAGTTCTCAGTGCCAGTGTGGTTCATGGAGGGGAGAGACAAAGGGACGCGATTCTATCTCTTCATTTTAACTCAGTGACGTGTTTTGCTATGTGTTTTATTCTGAGGATATCAGTTGAGGACTGGATCAGATTCAGAGATTTGTTCAAAGTAAAGCAAGATTAAGTAACTGAAACAAACTGCAAAATGTGTGTGTGTGGGGGGTAGTGGGGTGAGGATTGAAATGAACGGAAGAATATTTAGTCTGTTGCAAGAATGCCGTAGTTTCTGGTCAGCAGCTCAGAGGTATAGAATTTACTTCAAATCTCTCAAATGTTCCAGGTCTGGCATTGTCCGCCAACGTGTGTAAGAAGATCACTGGCCGGTTGACGAGCGCTATCGCCAAGCAGGAAGATGTGTCTGTTCAGCTGGAGGCGCTGGATATCCTGTCTGATATGCTGAGCAGGTAACGTGTTCTTGTGTGCTAGATTTGTCGAGGCAGAAGGGAAGTACAGTATATACACCATATTCTGTGCAGGTCCTTATCAGGAGTAATCGCACAGTTAATCAATACCAGTGTATCGGAGTTCCGCATTCTGTGTACTGCGCTTATGTTTTCCTGTAAACGCGGGGATTCTGATGCTGCTGCATGCTTCGCAAAGATTTACAAAGATTGTACAGCGTGGGAACTGGCCATTCGGCCCAACTAGTTCGTGCCGGTGTTTATACTCCAGACAAGTCTCCGCCCACTCTGGATTCTCTCCCATACCTACACAGAAGCTCCATTCCTGCACTGTATTGAGCTCCTGCTCTTGTCTGCATTGCACATGGAGAGCCTGGAGGGCCGGTCTAGCCAAGGCTGGCCTTGTGACCCCATACCATATTAACAAGGGATATGGGGCAAGGGCAGGTAATTGGAGTTGAGGTGCAGATCAGCCATGATCTTATCGAATGGCAGAACAGGCTTGAAGGGCTGAATGGTCTACTCGTGTTCCTATCCTTTAGCAGCAGATGCCTACAAGAGGCATTGTCAGAGACTAGGACATTTGATCCTTCAAGAGCCCCAGTCGTGTGAGAGCAAGTCAAGTGCAGGGAAAAACCTATTCTGCATAAACGACAGGGAATCCTGTAGGTCAGGAGGCTGTTTTTCTGATTGCTGTTTGTGTGCTACTCCAGGCTGGGGGGAACTCTGATCACATTCCATTCCTCTATCCTGAGCTGCCTATTGCCTCAGCTGTCGAGCACCAGGCTGGCTGTACGAAAGAGAGCCATCATCGCTTTGGGGCACTTGGTCATGAGCTGCAGTAGCTGTCTCTTCTCCGAGCTGATGGATCATCTCCTGGTCGAGCTTTCAAAGAACGAATCCACCTCCATGACCCGAACCTACATTCAGTGCATCGCCGCAATCAGCAGGCAGGCTGGGCATCGAGTTGGTGAGTGCGTGTGTGCCTGATCCTAACTCTGGGTGGCAAGATTGAGTGGAAAATACTATTGAATTTCCCAGTGCTGACACCACTGACCTTCATCAGTATCTCTTCTATGATGTAAATTCTGTAATGATATGAAAAATCCTCTGTAACAGACTGCTTTGTGTGAAGCCAAAGACGCCCTAGCAGGCAGCTCATTCGTGCCTGTATATGTATGACACATTTCCCCCATGGCCTCATTAATGCACTCTTGTGTTTGTGGTTACAGGAGAACATTTGGAGAAGATTATCCCACTCATTGTGAAGTACTGCAACGTGGATGATGACGAGCTCCGCGAGTACTGCTTCCAGGCCTTCGAGTCTTTTGTGAGGAGGTGAGTCTGCGAGCAGATACTATTAAAGGGCTCCTTCCCGTTCAGCTGTGAGAGGCCCACAGTCTCTCTTGCAAATGCTTTGCCAAATCTCAGACATTCAGAGTTGAGCAGCTGCTGACACGTTTTATTTGGAGAAATGTAGATTTTATTGAACACAATGTTTGGTGTTATTTTGCTCTCAAGGTGTCCAAAGGAAATGTCCTTTCACATCCCCACTGTGATCGGCCTGTGCTTAACGTACATCACCTACGACCCAAATTACAACTATGATCACGACGATGATGACGAAGATGCAATGGAGACGGACAAAGGCGAAGACGAGGAGGATCAAGGTCAGGACTCAATCTCGTTAACAACAACAAGTTACATTTGTGCCGCGCCTTTCACATCAGGAGGACGTCCCTGGACAGTCAAGGATCCGCACCCAAGCTGGTGTTTGGGATCAGAGGGGTGGAGGGTGGGGAGGGGAGGGGTAAGAGGGTGACTGAAGATGCAGTCGAAGTGAAGAATCTTGAGACGGGTCTTGAAGGAGTCAAAGGAGTTGAGATGTGTTCTTATTCTGTTAGAAATTAATATCTCGGGATATGGTATATAATTAGAGACACAATATTGTCAAGCAAGTGAGGGAAACGGGCTCCAGTTGCACCTGTTTTGTCCATGATCAGTGTCCCCCCCCCCCACCCACACACACACTAAACTTGATGTTTCTCTGGTATTCACTCCTCAGATAGTGAAGAGGAATACACCGACGACGACGACATGAGCTGGAAAGTGCGACGGGCATCCGCTAAGTGCTTGGACGCCATCATGAGCACCAGACACGAGATGCTGCAGGAGTTTTACAAGACTGTGTCCCCGGCCCTGATCAGTAGATTCAAGGAGAGGGAGGAGAATGTGAAAGCAGACATCTTTCACGCTTATGTGTCTCTTCTGAAACAGACTAAACCAGTCCAGAGCTGGCTGCAGACCGCTGATGCCCTGGAACAAGGCGGGATGCCTCTTAGGATGCTTCAGAACCAAGTGAGTATAATTCTGTAGTGACTCCACCTCTTTAGAAGATTGACGTCTCTTTTCCCTGATGCTTTTCCCCGAGGGCTAGGTGTCGGGTTCACCTGCTGACACTCCCCAAGTGGTCTTCCTTCACCTTTGAGGAAAGTCCACAGAAAGAGTAGTTAATGGCATTCGCCCAGACAGAAGGCAGCTCACATTACACCAACTCAAGACAGTAAATGAAAGAACATGGCTGTTTCACAGCTGTTCTTTCCAAACACACGCTCAGCTTCTACGACCTAAACTGAACTATTGAGGAGATGTGCCAAGCATGTTTTCCTCAAGAGAATCATTATTATTACACCAAAATCCCATTTTAATGCGGTAGTTGGGGTCCATAAAATCCATACCCACTGTTTAATACCCAAATTGGCTGCATCATTCATCTACAAAATATAGTGGCTACGCTGTATCAGTAAATCCTGTGAAACGCTTTGAGGCATCCTCCTGACGTGAAATGCAAGATTTTTGTTACAGTGGGATGTGATCGCTGGAGTTTTATGAACAAATTTTGTGGTAAGAAAGTAATTCCTGGGTCTTTCCCCATCTATTGTGTAGGTGCCCAGTATAGTTAAAGCCTTGCACAAGCAACTTAAGGAGAAGAGTATGAAGACACGACAAGGCTGTTTCAACCTGCTGACCGAATTGGCAAATGTCTTACCGGGAGGTCTGTCCGAGCACGTTCCAGCGTTAGTACCAGGTAAGAATGACGAGAAAACATTACCAATGCTGTTTTAAAGAAAAAGGTAGGTTGAAACCCATACTTGTTGAAGTTCTCTCAGGAGAAGCATTTGTGTGTTGTGCCGCAGAATAGACTGACCGACCGGCTTGTGACCACAATTGATCATACTCGTGTGGTGAATCCCTGAAATGCTAGGGTTCTGTTCCACATGTACGTGGCCAGGTAATCATTCTCTAAACCTCAGCTCTGACAGTGAGAGTTGGTACACAATACGAATATTTGGGCTGGAGCGTTAGGATCAAGTCAGATCATGTCCTGTGTTCATCAACAGAGTGTTCAAAGGTTTGTGGAAAATTAGTAAACTTCATCCTCTCTCTTCCCTCAGAGATAGAAGTAGCAACCTGCAGTTGCTTTAGTAATAGTGTCTAGGTTGGCTTATGTAGCCCAAGGGTATAGAATGGGAAGGGAAAGGCTCCTGTGGATAGCATTTGATTCTTTTGTTTGAACAAACCCATCTTCTTTCTCTCATTTTTCCCAGGCATTGTTTATTCCCTGACGGATAAATCGAGTACCTCCAACATGAAGATCGACGCACTGTCTTTCTTGCACGTCATCCTGTGCAGCCACCCACCGGAGATATTCCATCCACACATCAACACTTTGCTGCCCCCCACGGTGGCCTGCATCAGCGACCCTTTCTACAAGATCACCTCCGAAGCCTTGCTGGTAACTCAGCAACTTGTGGAGGTCATCCGTCCGCTGGACAAGCCTTGTTCGTTCGACGCGAAGCCTTACGTGAAAGATCTGTTCAGCAGCACTCTGAAGAGGCTGAAAGCGGCAGACATTGACCAGGAGGTGAAGGAACGAGCTATAGCCTGTATGGGGCAGATCATCTGTAATCTCGGAGACAGTCTCGGTGCTGACCTGAATCCCACTTTGCAGATTTTCCTCGAGCGACTAAAAAACGAGATCACAAGACTGACCACCGTCAAGACGCTGACCCTGATTGCGAGTTCTCCCTTAAAGATCGACCTGCGCCCCATTCTCGGCGAGGGTGTCCCTATCCTAGCCTCCTTCCTGCGGAAGAACCAGCGGGCATTGAAGCTCAGCACCCTGGCTGCTCTGGACATCCTCATCAAAAACTACAGCGACAGCCTTAAACCAACGATGATCGAGTCGGTCTTAATGGAGCTTCCGTCTCTGATCGGGGAGAGCGACATGCATGTCTCGCAGATGGCCATCACCTTCCTGACCTCACTGGCCAAAGTCTACCCTTCGTCTGTCTCTAAGATCGGTGGCTCCATCCTGACTGAACTATTTAATCTCGTCCGTTCGCCACTGCTCCAGGGAGGGGCACTAAACGCCATATTGGACTTTTTCCAGGCTTTGGTGGTGTCTAAGACTGCAAACATGGGCTACATGGAGCTGCTCAAGCAACTGACGGGAACTATCTACTCATCGACTCAAGCAGGAGGCGCGGTGGTCTTGCACAAGCAAGCCTATTATTCTGTGGCCAAATGCGTGGCTGCACTCACCTCGGCTAGCCCAAAGGACGCCAGCACTGTGGTCAATCAGTTCGTCCAAGACGTGAAGAACCCCAAGTCATCCGATTCAGTCCGTTTGCTGGCTCTGCTCTCTTTAGCCGAGATAGGCCGCACCATGAATTTGAGCGCACAGAAGGAACTCAAGGTGGTCATCCTAGAGGCCTTTTCGTCACCCAGCGAGGAGGTCAAATCAGCCGCCTCCTACGCACTGGGGAACATCAGTGTCGGGAACCTCAATGAGTACCTGCCTTTCATGCTCAAGGAGATCGGCAGCCAGCCCAAACGACAGTATCTGCTGCTGCACTCACTCAAAGAGGTCATCAGCTCCTCTTCGGCAGATGGCTTGAAACCCCATGTACAAGACATCTGGGCCTTGCTGTTTAAACACTGCGAGTGCACTGAGGAAGGGACCCGGAACGTGGTGGCCGAGTGTCTGGGCAAATTAACCCTCATAGACCCTACCCACCTCCTGCCCAGGCTGAAGAAGCAGCTCACGTCAGGTAAATACGGCAACTTTCTATCATCTGAGCTCGTAAATGAGAATGGATACCACCCATAAATAATAATAATAATCTGTATTTTGTGGGCAAAATGCAGCAGCCAATTTGCACACAGCAGCGTGCCACAAACAGTTGTGGATTGAATGACCAGATTATTATTTTTTTTGAAGGGATTAAGGATTACAACTTTCAGAAGAGCAGTAAGTGGGTGGGGTGGCGAGCGGAAGATAAATACGAACAGAATAAAAAACAAGCTCAATGTACAATATCTCTGTGGCAGCCAGTAACCATTGCTTTCTGATTACTGCTTCTTCCCCCCTCCCCATTGGGGGGGGACATCTGGACTCTCAGTGATGCTAATCCTGACCCAACTGTCCAGCGCCTTGGGACGTCCTCCCGACGTGAAAGGCGCTCTATAAATGAAATCTTGTTGTTGTTGTAATACCTGTTGGCACCCTAGTGAGTCAGGAACTTCATATGTGATGGATTGAGAACCCAATCCAACACCCCACCTGCCCATACCACACAGGCACAAAGGCTTTTGGTGGGAGTGTGTGACACAGACTGCTGTATGTGTGGGACAGGTAATAAATGCAGTGATATATCAGTTTATTTCAAGATACTCAGTTCACTGTTTGAAACTTTTTTTTCCCCAAGGTTCAGCATTTGCACGGAGCACAGTGGTGACAGCTGTCAAGTTTACGATTTCAGACAATCCCCAGGCCATCGACCCACTGCTGAAAGCTTGTATAGGTGAGTCTCCCCAATAAGCCCTTCGTTCTCTAAAGGTACCCCTTTTTCTCCTGCGGGGTCTGACTCCTCCTGTGGTACTGTCCAATTCTCAAACTCTCTCCCTCAATCCTTCTGCCTTGCCCCCTCTCTCCCTCCTTTTAAATCCACCCTAAAGACCTTTTTGATCGTGCTTACGGTCACCTCCCCCTCCCCCCCCCCCCCCCCCCCGGCTCGGTGTCAGACCCCGACACTGTCAAGAGCTCCGGGACAGTACCCCGCATGAAGAGCGCTACATTAATACAAGTTGTTATTGACTCGGAGTGTTTGCTGTATTAACGTTTGGTTCTGTTGGCACACTCACTTTGCAGGAGACTTCTTACAAACTCTGGAGGACCCAGACCTCAATGTTAGGCGTGTCGCTTTGGTGATGTTTAACTGTGCGGCTCACAACAAACCTTCGCTGATCAGGGACCTGCTGGAGACTGTTCTCCCTCATCTGTACAATGAAACCAAGATCAGAAAGGAGCTCATCAGAGAGGCAAGAGCCCATCTCTCCACTGAGGGGAGATTTTGAACATTCCGTGAAATTGCTTTTCATTGACTCCCAATGTGTTAAATGTGATAAATAGCAAAATTGGGACTTTTTCTGGGATACTGCCGCGCGCAATTGGCTGCCGCGTTCGCCCACAAATAGTCAATCCACTTTACAGTATATTCTCTGAAGCGCTTTGAGACGTTTCAACGATGTGATAAGGCGCTATGTCAAATGCAAGGATTATTATTAATTGATTGAGTGAAACAAATGACAGATTGAATCTGTCTGAATCTTGTTTAGCTTCAATGGGCATCGCTCCACTGCTTAAACTCATCCCATCCGATTTATTTCTTACAGTGACGTTTTGTATCATTTTCCCCAGTGTTAACACAGAGCTCGCAATTTCTTTCCAGGTGGAAATGGGACCTTTCAAGCACACAGTAGACGACGGGCTTGACATTAGGAAAGCCGCCTTTGAATGCATGTACACACTGTTGGACAGCTGCCTCGACAGGCTGGACATCTTTGAGTTCCTGAACCATGTGGAAGATGGCCTGAAGGACCACTACGATATCAAGGTGAATTGGGAATTGTTTCAGTCCAGGTAAAACTGGCACTCTGGTCTCTTTGGCTCAGTACAATCCATTCTCCTCTTATCATCCATCCTCCCTCATCCACCTCTACGGGACTGTGCTCTCCCGGTTCCAGTCCTTTGTGACCCACAGGTGTGCACCAGTGACAGCCTGTGCATCTCCTCTCTGTATGAACCTGTGAAATTAGTAATAAATAAATGGGTAATTTATTTACTGGAGTTATGTTCACTCAGAACCGGTTTAATACTGTGCTAAACTTCTCTCTTCAGATCCCTTATTGTCCAGAGAGAGGACACTTCTCCCATCTGCCTCAACACATCAGTGGCTTAACATTAGATTTATTGTTGTGAGATGTATTAAACTATTGGTCTATCCTTCACCAATAGCGGGTGTGAATTTGGTTTCCTGGTTACTGTTCTAACCTCTCTTTCTTGCTGTCTTGCAGATGCTAACATTTATTATGCTCGCTCGCTTGTCGACTGTTAGCCCCAGTGCAGTGCTTCAGAGACTGGACCGGCTGGTGGAACCACTTCGTGCAACCTGCACCACAAAGGTGAGCATTGTTAGTGAGGCCCACCCCACCATCAGCAGTCAATCCTTCAGCCTCTCTGCCCCCCGCCCCCCCCCCCCCCCCCTCACCCTTTGGAACTCCATCTCACATTCCCTTCACCTCGTCCCCTCCATTGCTTCCTCCGAGGCACATCTCAAGACCCTCCTCTTCGGCCGGGCCTTCAGTCACCCTCTTACTCCTCACTTGATCCCGACCCCCAGCTCGAGTCCAAATCCCTGACTGTTCTGCACCTCGGCACGTGCTCCCGACGTGAAAGGCGCTGTGTAGATGTCATTTGTTGTTATGTAAGCTTTGTCAGCCGACAGGGTTAGAAATATGGTCTGCCCTACAGAGGGGATTAATCATGTGGTGCTCTTTCCAGGTGAAGGCCAACTCTGTGAAGCAGGAGTTTGAGAAACAGGACGAACTGAAGCGCTCGGCTATGAGAGCAGTAGCGGCTCTCCTCACCATCCCGGAGGCTGAGAAGAGTGCTCTGATGGCAGAATTTCAGTCACAGATCCGATCCAACCCCGAAATGTCAGCCATTTTTGAAAGTATTCAGAAGGACACCACCTCAACCAGTAGTACAGAAACAATGGACCTCAGTTAAAAAAAAAACAAGTAAAGCAAAAAGGATCTGAACAAGATGCCTTGGCTTCCTACCTAACTCCTGTGTGAAATGTTATTTATATCTTACCCCTTTTTGTGTGTTTTTGCAGTATATATTTACCTCATTTCAATGCTCTCTCTGGTATGATGGGCTGGCCAGTTCAGTGCTGCCTTTGCATGAGTTTATTTCTGGATGTAGTGTTGAGTCGAAATACAAGTCAACCCCCCCCGCCACCCCCGCGTTCCTGCACACAACCTGCTACATAGTTAAGAATTTCAGAACTCTTATAGGATGGGAGGAATGGCTACGAGTAAATAGAGTGAAAATCTATTCAAATTTCGCCCAAAAAATACAGTCAATTCACTTTACAGTGTATCCGGGGAAGTCCTTTGAGACGTCTCGAAGAGGGTGATAAGGTGCCGTGTGAAATGCGAGGATTATTAATTATTAAATTTCCATTTGGGTTTTGTGCTGAACGAGATTCTGAATTCTCAGTCACTCACGTTCATAGTATAAGCCTTGCATTTGATAGGATTATTATTATCAACATGAAACACTGAGGATTTAAAAAAATGTACATCAAATGCCCAGTATATTTCAGAGCTGTAAACCCTCACTTCCCCCTTGGTTGCTGTGTGTATGTGACCTGCGGCACAGGCAGGTAGGGCAACAGTTGGTATTGACTGTCCAGTCAGCAACCATCCAATCTTATTCAGCACAAAACCAACCCACATGGAAATTTGAATAGATTTTCAATTGGTTTATGATTGATGCTAAATCACTCTCCCTTTTACTGAGAGCCAGTCGATGTTCATGAAGTCGAGGCAGCAAGACCTGGCACTGCTCTCCTCTAGCTATGGTGACAGGATAGTCAGCCAAATTGCAGCCATTAGATCTCCACGCTTTCCTGGGCTGGTAGGGGGTTGTAACTGAAGCAAAGCTTGCTCACCACATCTCTAACCCAACACAGATGGAGTGATTAATCTACAGTACTATGTTTATTTTTGGACCAGACTTGACAATTACAAGTGAATGTGTGATCAGTCTTCCCACGAGGATGATATAAGCCTCAACTCCACAGCAGTCAAACACCCAAATGGTTGGAGGAAATGAACTCAAATTGAGTACATGGGAAATCCAACTGCTGCCCTTCTAGATTGTGCGGTATAAAGCCATTGTAACCAGACTATTGGTTTCTCTATTGATGAAAGAGTGGTTTTAAGGTGATTTATCAGTCCCATGAGCAGACTAGGACAATGGAAAGCTAAATTCCTTCCACTCTGCAAATCGGGCTACACAACTGACTTGAACAAAGTGCCAATAAATAAAAAAAATGCTTCCATTTGGTATAGCTTCTTATGTTAAAAAAAACTGAAAGCAACATGTTAGTGGAAGACAATTACAGGCAGAACTTATGCTTTATACCATTGATGATACACCTTACTGTCAATTTCCCAAATCCCCCCCCCCCCAAAAAAAAAAGCTGTGAAAGTATATCACTATAATAATGCACTGTTAGATTCAGGATTCTGAGATGGGATTTATAGTCGAGCAGGTTCCAACCTCAAGAAGCCACTATATTTGCAAAAAACATACTGAATCACTAGCTATCTGCAGCATGTTTTTTAATTACTATAAATTAACTGATGGGTTAACAAATTGGGAGTATAGATTGAACCTGCAACAAAGCAAGATTCCTACTGCGGTGCAATCCCGATCAGGTTGAATGTTTGTAGAAAGACAGAATATCTTCCAGGGTTCTGCTCTGTGTTCTCGAACCCCGTTCAGAGTTGTCTTGTGGTGTTGTTTCTGATGTTTGGTGTGATGGCTGGTCCTGTTTCCAGCGGGGCCCACTCATCCGGGTAGATTGTGTGAATTGGCTCCTTGTCCAGCCTCGGCCCGTTGGTTTTTTGGAGTCGCTGTGATAATCCGAAGGGGGCGCAAACTCGGACGGCCTCTCCTCTCGAGGATCTGCATGCTGCCCAGGCCAACGTCCGTACAACTCCGCAACTTTTGGGGGTAAAAAAAAAAGGAAAAATCATTACCAAAACTTTAATGGACCTGGGTCGTTGCTTCTTTGGTAAATTGAAACCTTTAATGCAATCTTTTTCAGGGAAATAAAGTCCAGAAGAAGTACTTTTCGTTCGATCTAGATTAAAAAGTCTTAAAATAGTTCTGTACCTAAATTGAGCAATCATTTCTTTAATACAGTACTTAATAGTTATACCTTCTCTTGCAGGTCAGGGCACGTTTGTTATTTCAACATTATTTTCACTAGCCAGACTCGCCCATTGAGAGATGACACTTAGCAAGGTACTGGAGGGATAGTGATGCATTTACCTAGTCAGCAACTTATGTTTTCTTGTACCTTGTACTTGAACATGTTTGAACTTGATCAGAACAGTACCTACTGGTTTGGCAGCCTGACCAACTTTGGAGGGACTTTGTTTCTCCATTATAGTTTACCTTTCTCTCTGTCCCATTCCCGAACGTGCATCAGACCAAAATTCGAGTCCTTCCGTTCTTCTATTACCACATCCACCTTATTCCTCGTGGCAGGGGTTTCTGCCTGAGATACGGTTGGTTCCAAAGCCGCTGGCGTTTGTCCCACCAGCTCTGCCTCGTCACCTGCACAAGAAAGAAATTAATGCGCGTGGAACACAACTGAGGAAAACCTGACTGAATAAAAACCAAATGCATTTAAGATAACTCCCCATTATCTCATGCACTTCATGCATTATAAGTTAGTTTATAGCCTGGTTCACTTGTCGTTATCCAGACAAAAACATTAGCTAATTATACAAGAAACGTCTTGTGAACAGGAAAGATAAATAACCAATGAATGTTTTGAAGATAATTTGGATTAAAGGTGTCAGTCTTGCTCGCCAGTTGAGAGGTTAATGGAGTTCCCAATTTTTTTAAAAATTACTAAAAATTAGTATTCTACCATTCTGTGACGAAAGGCTCACTGTATCACTCGGCTTTGCTTTTAAGCATCATGGCATCACACTATTACCCAAACCGCACAACATTTGAGACATCATCGATCTTTAGGTCTTGTCGAGCTCTCTCTCAGACATCCACCTTCCCGTAGCCAACCATTCATTCCCTTAGCAACACAAACACTTGTTCGCACCTTCATTGTTCTCTGCCGGCAGCTCGGAATCTTCTTCAATTCCATCTCCCTTCAGTTTCTTCATCTTTCTCTGACGAATCTTTGCCAGTCTCGCGTCTAACACGGCTTTTCGTTTCTCCTTCAACTTCTCTCGCTTGCTCCTCTGATCCATCGTCTGTAACACAAACCCAAGCCAGAAATTCTGGCTCCTACTCAAGTCTGGAAAGTAGCAACTAAGCGATTGAGCCCAGGACGGCTATGCGCTCAGGCAGGGTGGATGGACGTCGAACACTGTTGCCTGTCTCCCTCAAAGTTTTCTTATCAGCCCACCTCTAGTTAGTATCAGAGAATGCTTGCCGATAAATAATAATCTTTGCATTTGATACAGCGCCTTATCAAGTCTTCGAGACGTCTCAAAGCGCTTCACAGAATATAGTGTAAAGTGAATTGACTGTATATTTTGTGGGCAAAACGCAGCAGCCAATTGCGCACAGCAGCGTCCCCACAAACAGTTGTGAATCGAGTGACCAATTTCTTGGGGGCCTATTTTTAAACCAAACAATAGGATGTAAAGTTGCTGTTCAAAGGAAAATATCTAATAAGTCGATCTAAAATAGAAAAACAGGATGTTTAATATTAGATTTTTAAGACACTTCGTCAAACAAGCGGTGCAGAGGTTTGCTTACAAAGGGACCTTCTTTGTCCTGATCGCTCATGAACACATTATTTATACTGTGACATCAGGCAGTGGGCACCCACACACGTGGAGGGGAACAGCAGCATTTGTGTGCGAGTGCCAAAGCTTAAACCTGCTCCTTAAAACTCAAATAGATGCACGTCACTCGTATCTGTGGAGGGTACCTGCTCTCTCAGCATATCCAGTGTTTCAATCTGTTTCTTTCTGACGCTTTCTTCACGAGCGAAGGCATAGTAACCGACACCCATCTCTCGAGCCTCTGGAAAAACATCAAGGTAATGGTAAGTCCCTGGCTATTTATTGTCAGCTCACTGGGCTTCCCACGCTTTCCCAATTTCCATCTCAGTAGGTGGCCATCTTCCAACTTGATCAAGATTTCCTCTGGTGGGTGGGTGGGTGGATCAATAACCAGAGGACACAGATTTAAGATAATTTGCAAAAGAACCAGAGGGGAGACCAGGAGACTTTTTTTTAATACCCCAGCGAGTTGTTACGGTCTGGAACGCACTGCCTGAAAGGCTGATGGAAGCAGATTCGATAATAGCTTTCAAAAGGGAACTAGATAAGTGCTTAAAAAGGAAGAATTTGCATGGCTATGGGGTAAGAGTGGGGGAGTGGGGACTAGTTGGGTAGCTCTTTCAGAGAGCCAGTACAGGACCCTTACCTTAAATATCACCAAATTACTAGGAACCAGAAGCTTTTTTTAATTAAATGATAAAAGAATGGAAAAGTAAAAGCATGACACTGCGCCTGCAAATGCAGTATTTAACTGGGGGGGACCTTCAAATGTGAAACACAAAACGTTTGCTGCTGACATTAAAATGTGTTTAATGAGACGGTGCGTTGTGAGAAAGCATTGTACCTTGTTCCCGAATATCCTCATAATGCAACGGCCCAACTGGTCTACTCAACGCTTCCTCCTCCTCCTTCTCCCACTCTTCCCGCTGAAGCTCTCTTCTCATATCCTTTGATAACAAGGTCTTTTCTTCAGTCTTGTGTCTAGAAACAGTATACAGATACATATTGTATATTGTGCGAAGCAAATATGGGAAACTAACAAGAGTCACAGTACAACATCTCTCATCCTCATTTCCAATTAATGGGGCATAGCAACCGGAGTATTTAAAGTATTTAAGTCTTGCTTCGGATCACTGATCAAAATTCAGCCAGGGTTCCAGAGCTTCCAATTGCTAACCATTGACCCCTCCTAGAGGTGCTTGTGTTTGTGGACATCGGGCAGGAGACAGGATCAGGAATGACTTTGCTTCCAACATCAAATCTGTTGACATTCGTTATTATGGTTCACGGTTAAATAACGGCCATTTTCAGAGAAGAAAGGTAGGGTATTAAACTGGGGAAGAGATTGATATTGTGTGCATAAGAATCCAAACGAAAACCACCGCATTCAGTCATCAGTTGGCACCGGGTGCTGGAGGACATCAGCCTGCACGTACCTTGAGCCCTTCAGCTCTATGTCCATAGCGAGCAGCGCCGTCATGTCCTTCTTCATACACCGTCTGGATCGACCTAAAGAATCCACATAATCGACCCTGGAAGAGGCAGGAGAAGGTGAAAGAAAAAAAAGCTTCAGCTCAAAATCTCCCACAGTAATCAATTCTCTACAAAACATCACTGCAAACACACGAGAGATAAGAGTAAATGTACAAACAGCTGTAAAATCCCACCTGGTTTTAGTTTGTAAGACCATCTGGTCTTAAAATTTAAACTTATAATAATCCTCGCTTGATACAGCGCCTGATCACGACTTTGAGACATCTCAAAGCGCTTCACAGAATATACTGTGAAGTGCATTGACTGTATATTTTGTGGGCGAAATACTGCAGCCAATTGCGCACAGCAGCGTCCCCACAAACAGCCGTGGATTGAGTGACCAAATTTTTTTTCAAGGGACACTTGTGCAGAATGTGAGACATTCTTAAATCCACCTTTAATTTGGAAACCCGTCCTGTGCAGTTCTTAAAAAGAACAGCTTCCAAAGGTTGGATTTTTAGCAATTCTCCACAAGTTTGCCCAAGCGTAAGATACACTGCACATGTGGTAGCTCTGAGTTGTCACCTCCCTAACTCACGGCAGGAAACTCACCATTCCTCGTCAGGATTCTGCGGGGGTGGAATTTCAGATTCAGGCGTTGTCGTGTCCTCATCTTTCTTGTTCTCTGCTGCCTTCCTCTCACTTACGGCCCGCAACTCTTTCTGCTTGTCAAAGATCTTTTGTGTGAAATCAACCAAGTACATACTTTCTGTTTCTTCGTCTGACACAAAAGGGAGATTATTTTACATAACAGGGAGGGAGGAGAAGAAACAGGTGGAACAGAGAGAGATGGTCATTAAACTGCAGTGAACTGTAGCTAACAACTGTGGCAACTTAATCCATATAATTATAGCGCATCAACCACTACCATCAACTAATTCTACCAAACACCCAGTGTTCAACATTTAAGGTACTTCAGTAGACAGTTAACACTATTCTTTCCCTACAATTAAGTATAAAAGTTTGAACAATATCAATCGGGTAACAGACATTAAGAATCAGGAAAGGACTGTCACCTGGAAAATTTCCCTTTGTCATCTGCTCGTACAGTTTTGCTTTTTCCTCCAGCTTCTGCCTGAAAGAAACAAATGCATTCATTTGACTAAAGGTGAAACTTAACTGAATAATTTGAAAGATCATTCTCACTTGTATACCAAACAATTGTGAGCATGAGTGCTACACAGATTTGTGCTCTGAAAATCTAGGTTTCCACTCAAATTACAATGCTGAGCGAGTGCTGAAATGAATCATGACTTCAAACTTCTCAATTCCCAATGTTTCTTTAAGACACCAAACCCTTGATTATCCTCCTCTGTATTGCCACGAATACATGAAGGTACATGGATCAGAGTTGACATAAAATATGTTCTCGCTAAAATTTCAAACCGTTCATCGTTTAAGTTGAAAACCTTACTTTGATTTGTCCAGCGTTTGCTGCTCCTCTGCTTTTTCTTCCACATCCTTCTCAGCTCGTGCATCAACACCTGCGTTTGCTTTGACCCAGATATTCGGTTTCTATTAAATAAACATGACAAGAGCTTTACACACTTTGCAGTCTCTCAACGTACAATAACTGCAACGTACAATGCACAGACGCGGTGCGAACCTTAGCTAAAATAAGACGTCAGAATCGGTATTAGGTGGGCGCAAACAATGGCAAGTCCTTGCCTCAAATATCAGTCCATCAGCACTAGGGTACGTTCAAGGAACAGCACCTTAACCGATTTTTTTTGGGGGGGGAGGAGGCAGTAAAAACGTACGGAGAACAATAACTGTGTACAACAGAGATATACCACTCCGGTCTGTGTAACGTATCGCACATCACAAGTGCGACAACGGGGACAATCTACCTGTGTGGGCGCAGCACTGAGCACTGAACACTGACCGCACTGTCATTCGTATTAATGATGTCCACGTTTTATAGGATTCAAACTGAGAGACTGAAACAGCTCTGAGTTGCAGAAGCTCCTTCAGGCCGAGTGCTCCTACTCTGCCAATGGAGAGAGGGGGAGGGTTGAGGGGGGGGGGTTGAGAAGGGGGGGGGGTGTGTTGGGAGGGGGAGAGAAAGGGGAGGGGGGAGAAAGGGGAGGGGGGAAAGAGTTGGGGGGTTTGGGAGGGGGAGAAAGGGGAGGGGGGAGAGAGCGGGGAGGAGGGGTTTGAGAGGGGAGAGAGTTGGGGGGTGTTGGGAGGGGAGAGAGGGGGGGAGAGGGGGAGAGTTGGGGGGTGTTGGGAGGGGGAGAGAGGGGAGGATGGGGGAGAGAGTTGGGGGGTTTGGGAGGGGGAGAGAGTTGGGAGGGAAGGAGGGGAGGGAGAGTTGGGGGTGTTGGGAGGGGAGAGAGGGGAGGATGGGGGGGAGAGTTGGGGGGTTTGGGAGGGGGAGAGGGGAGGGGGGGGAGAGAGTTGGGAGGAAGGAGGGGAGGGGAGAGAGGGGGAGGAGCGGGGGGAGAGAGGAGAGAAACAGCGCCGTCTGCGGGTTCACTGCCCCATTACCCGGTTCGCTGACTTGGCCGTCAACGGCGCCGCCGCCGCCTTCAGGAGCTTTTCCCGCTTGAACGCCTCCTGTTTCCGGTAGAGTTCGGCCTTCAGGTCAACCAACTGCAAACACCGGAAAGAGAGAAACCGAAACCACGCGGTCAAACCGATGCGATAGTGTGTGTGAGTGAGTGTGTGTGGGGGGGGGTCAGGCCTCACACACACACACACACACACTGCCCACACCCCCCCGGCCCCCGGGCCGCCCCGCCCCCCGGGCCCTCCTTACCGAGGCCGCCGTCACGTTAAACGCCTTCTTGCTCTTGTCCATTGGCAAACACCGGAGCCGCGGCCACTCCGCTCTAAGCCGCCATCTTCCCCCCTTTCCCGGCGCGGTGGCGGTCACATGACGCCCCCTGGATCACGTGGCGACCTCGCTCAGCGGATCACGTGGCTCCACAGGTCAGGTGGCTTCCCCCCCCGATCACGTGGCTACCTCTCTACCCGGATCACGTGGCTACCTCTCTACCCGGATCACGTGGCTACTTCCTTTCTTCCACCCCCACCGCCCGCCCCCGATCACATGACCGCCTCCGGATCACGTGGCTCCACGGGTCAGGTGGCCGCCCCCTGGGTCACATGACTCCCCCCCCCTGTTGCCCCATCGCTGGAGGTCACTGTGGGTCAGATCCCAGCATCGTCCGCCCTCTCCTCTCCCCCACCCCCCAAACCCCCACCAACCCCCCCCCCCAATCTTCATCGTCGTCGTGGTCCCCGCCGCCGCCGTCATGATTTGGGGTTCAGTGGTGCGGGGAAACAGACCCTTAGCCACGACCGCCACCGAAGTTGGGGTTCACATCTCCGATTGGGGTGTCACATTGGCCCCAAAGACCCCCCGACCCCACCCCCCCCACCCCACTTTACCTTTATTTGGGCTGGTGGTGCAGGATGAACCCAATGGCGTTCCGGGTCTGACATCCACACCACCACCGCCACCGCCGCCACCGCCGCCCCGGAGTTCAAGTCCATCTCGTTAGCCCAAAGGGCCACCGAGGCTTTTAACGTCCATCATCTCGACGGTCGAGCGGCGACCAACTCAAGTCGGATGGTTTTCGAAGTACAAGTGCGCTTTTCCCAAGGGTTTTTCGACGAGGAAGCTATTGCTTTCATTTTTCTGAATGAAACCGTACCTTCCTCAAGAGTCCCAATTTGCGACGAATGGTGCGAAATGTCCACAAAAAGAGTCCTGGGCTCGAAGTGAATGTTTTAATGACAGTTCTGTACCCGTGAAGAGAGTTCTCCCGTGTTACGTTCAATAGCTAAATCATCAAAGCAGAAGTCACTGGCGAAAATTACAGTACAACACGCAACATCTAGCATTTATTAAGTGGCAGGCACATGAGAGCAGCTTTTTGTAGATAGTAGACGCTCAGGAATAACTCTGAGATTATTCTTCTTCCTCTAAGGCCGGTTTCTCTCCCATCGTTGGCATAATATGTACAAGGACTGGTTTCGGTCAATCTATGGAAAGAAAAACAGGAGAGAGAATGTGTAAAACAGAACAGGTACTCAGCAAATCCTGTCGCTGTCATGTCAATTAACTCACCAAGAAAGTGTCCATCTTGGGAATATGATCTAAACATTTATGTTGGGCCACTACATTCGCAGAAATAGTTTAATCAAAAGCCTTTCATCCTAGTGTTCGGGCTCTTTTTTGGGGGGAGGGGGTCAGCCGGGTGTCTGACACATACAGAAACCCATCACCGTGCTTAACAGGATGCAAACAGTTTGAGAGTTCCCTGGAGGGCGCAGCCTGCTTACCTAATACCAGAGAGTATGAGGCGCAGTTTCAAGAGCCCAAGGCTTAGGAACACCAGAGAGTGCGTGACAGTACTGTACTGTCAAAGTTTAACCAGCTAAAACTGCACAGTTTACAACGGAGAGCACTGCGGGCAAGCTTCCTGCTGCTAGAAAAGGAATGACAAGAAACTAAAGGTTGTTTTCTTTCCAGGATTAATTTAGCAGTTTATGGACCTTCTTCAGGTAACGAATGGACTGAGAGAAGCTGGGCGCTGTCGATCTGATCTTCTTCATACAGAAGGATCTTATCCAGGAGTTTCTTTTTGTGAGGATTGATCGTGAGGTCTGAGCAAGTGAAGAACTCTCCCACTACAAAACAGAAGGTCACAAGTAAATTACTGCCTCAATAATAACAACACAATAACAATCCTTGCATTTGGTAGAGCATCTTATCACGTCTCCGAGGTGTCTCAAAGCACTTCATAGAATATGCAAAGGAATTGACTGTATATTTTGGCTCCAGTACTGGAAGGCCATTTGCCCAAGGAATTCTATCCCAGCAATTCCAGAAGAGCAGTAAGGAGAAAACTGCAAAGAATACCTTTCAAAACATTAAGTCTATGTCTGGGTGTATATATTTCAACACTGTGTATATGTTGTGGATGAAATGTAATTTATCAGTTATTAATTAATTATTGATAATTAAGACGTGCCTGTACTAAATGTTGAAGACAGTGTTGAGCATTCAGAAGTACAACGTGGCCCATCACTCAGCTTGTTAATGAACGAACTTCGGCAACAGGTGTATCGTGAAGAGGATTCTAAATGTTGAGACGCTGTGTTGCTCACAGTCAGTTCGCATACACTTCGAGGTGAGCCAGGAGACAAAGCAACGTTAGAGTTCCCGCAGGATGGCGTCATTGAGAGGTTGCTGTAGTTGACTTCTTTGTGGGTGAGAACATCGGCCATTATATCCTGTGAACCTGGAGGGGACAGTGCAGCACAATCTGAACCAGCACCAGACCAATCGAGATGCCTGCAAAGTCGGTTTGGTTGGAGCAACTCCTGATCAAAGCCACTCGGGGTCGCTGCTGATTCCGGCATGCTTCCATAGTCATGGCTATTGGCGAAAGATGAAGTTTCCTCAATTGCTTTGGGGCACGAATCAAAGTCAGAGTTACCACACGTGGACTTGAGTTTCAAACTGCGCATCCCTGCACTAGACAACGGCGCGAGCCGAGTTGGAACACGATAATGACCAAAACTGTCCGACTCATCTGACTCACAAGGCGTCCTTGGGAATTCTTCACCTAGTACTTGTGATGCCGTTTCTGGCAAGTATTTGAAGATAGCTGGATGTAATGACTGGCCTTCCAGACAAGGACTAAGCACCTCGGTATTCTCCTGTGGACATGAAGTCAATTGATTGAACTTGAAAGTAAGGTCCTTTAACTCCTCAGGAGTGCTGTGCAAGCCTTGTAGCTGATGTTCAAGATTTTCCAACATCATATAAACCTGTCACACACAGAAGTACATTAATTATCAAATAATCCCAGCTATTTCTTATGGCAGAATAAAAATACGTCTTTTTTTCAAGCAAGTTTCAGAGTAAGTGTTTACATTGCCGCACCAAGAACTCTCAGGTCACATGGATTAGATGCCCCAATAATGATCCGCTCCCCCAAATCCCCCTGGTCTCATTTCAGCCACCCTTGAAGTTTGTTGAGGGATACTCCTAAAATCCAACCCTGTAGGTCATTTAATAGTAAATATAGTCTGGTAAATTAGGTTCCATTATATGTGAATGTACTATATGAACCATCCATACCCCTTGATTAGATTGCAGCGAACATCTAAAATATGACTATCAATTATTTTTGGCAGGGCGGTCCAACTGTCGGCCCGCGGGCCGCATCCAGCCCGTGGGCCTCTACTCCCCCTCACCCCACCTCCCTCCATTTCGTCTGAGCTCCTTCCAAGTCAAGCACGTTACACTGGATTCAGCACCTCTGCCCTGAATGTAGGCAAAGTCACACATTCGTCAAATAAAACCCAACATTTGATTTATTTTTTTTACCTGGTTCATCTCAGGTCTTTTCTTTCCGAGGCAAAGGCAGGCGATTTCAGCAAATTTAACCGTGATCATTAAAGGCACTGGCCCACCTTTCTTGTCCAAATAGTTCTGACAGATGCTGTAGCTTACATCAGCAGAACTTCTCGTTTCCTTCGCTGCCCCCAGTTCTTCCAACATGAGATCTTTCTGTTTTGAGACCAAAGGGTTAAAAAAAAACATGCACCACATGTGACTAATTCTGTAGTTATTACAGAATGTACTCAGAGACGTCTCGAAGACCTCAAAAGGCACTATATCAAATGCAAGGGTTATTATTATTACACCCAGGAGGATGTGAGATGTCTTATTTGATGTGGGAGAAATCAGTACTTAGAAAGTAGAACTTAGCATTTGCTAATAGATTATTTGGAAAGGCAACCAAGGTCTCGTAAATTCCTCTATTATGTCTTTGCATTTGTACTAACACCACAGCTATGTCTAATTCTGTGAAATACGGATAAAAATACCGCCCTCCAACCCTCCTGATCCCAACCCCCAGCTCAGGTCCAATTCCCTCACTGTCCAGCGCCTTGGGACGTCCTCCCGACATGAAAAGTGCCGTGTAAATGTAATTTGTTGTTGTTGCTACTTCAGTCTATACTTTACAAGGATATGACGACATTTTGCTGCAAGCGTGAATTGATTATTGATAACGATCATCATAAGCTTAAATTTGTAGTAGTATCTTAACACACCATCAAAACATCTCAAAGTGCTTCCTATTCTGTAGTAGGACTAGCTATTTAAATTGTAATGAGATGTAAATATACAGAAAGTATAGTTTTCAGGTCACAGACGTGCGTACAAACTGCTGTAATGGGAATGGTATGTTTTGAGGTGAAAAGAGACTTCACTGGCATATTGCAGTAGGATATACCAAGGCAGGGGGAGGAGAAAGTCAGTTCTTCTTACCAAAAACACTGGCTTCCTGTTCTCGTCTATGGCTTTGATTCCAGTGAGGATCTCAGATAGAACCTAAAATAAAGTAAATTCAGAACTCATCAGAGTTTAACTGAGGAACATGTGGTAGCTCTCTCAAAATGAGATGCAGTCAGACAGAGGAATATTAAATAATAATAATCCTTGGATTGTACATAGCTCATCACATCACTGAGAAGTCTCAAAGCTGCTTCACAGGATATTCTCACAGTAGAGATGGCAGGACAGTAGGAGGGCAGTGACATGCAAACAGGATGTGGTCTCCTGACCAAATTCAAAGACCCAAGTCTTTGACAGCAGCCTCACATTAACTGGATATTTTGAATGAATTAATTAATGATCATTCATCTCCCTAATCCTTTAAAGAATTCACTTACTATTCCAAAGCTGAAGGTGTCGACTTTGACAGACAGCTGCCTGTGTCGAATATATTCATCGGGTAGGTAGGCCAGGGGTCCCTGTAAGGTTTTGGTCTTGACGGTAGTGTGATTGGAACCTGTACTGAGAGAAACAGTTTTCACCAGGCCAAAGTCTCCCAGTCTGGGTGTGAAATGTTCATCCAGCAGAATATTGGAACTGTCAGAACAAGACCAACATTAATACAACGTACAACATACAGTAAATTCCTGATAACTCGACCCTGACTTAACTTGTCACTACCACTTAAGTCATCATGCTGTCCATATCCCGGCCGCACTTGGTCCTGTAGCTCAATGGTCAGGGCACTCTCCTCGCAAGCGAGAGGACCTGGGTTCAATTCCCGGGCAGGGCGAAACATTGGGCAAGTTTCCAGGAAGTAGGAACTCAGTTGTTAGTTGATTGGCAGATTGCTTTACCGGGGATAATAATCCCTTACAAAAATAAAATAAAAATAATAATTTGATCACTCAATCCACGACTGTTTGTGGGACCCTGCTGTGTGCAATCGCCTGCCGCATTTCACCCACAAAATATACAGGCACTACACTTTACAGTATATTCCAAGAAGTGATAACACACTATATCAAATACAAGGATTATTAGTATTGTCATCATCTTTCAGTCAATGACCACATTGCTGAGAAAGAGATAAATCCAGTCATTTCCCACACAAAGAATGAAACTCAGCAAGAGATTCAGCCCAGGACGCTACTTCTGCTGTCTAATTCATAGCAGCACTAACAAAAGCAAAGGAGGAACTCACAAGCTTTATCTCTTAACCACAGGCAGCGATCAGGTAACTTGTGGATTGAAGAAGAGAAAAAAGCACAAATAACGTTCAATAAATTGCCTTTGGTGACAATCCGAGGAAAGCAATGCTTCAGAAAGGGCAATTATTAGTGTGGGTCCTACTTTTCCCATTCACATTCCAGGAGCTCAAGTCATGACTTGATCCCAGGGGCTCAAGACACGGCCTGCGTTCGAAGGGGGGTAAATTCAGAACAAATCTGTGGAGACACTACTTCAGTGAGAGAGTCGTAAACGTATGGACCAGGCTCCCCTCAGGAGACAGACGGTGGACGCAGAAAGTGTTGCTTGTTTGAAGAACAAACAAGATAGATTTCTGCTAGAAAATAATATCTGAGGGAAACACCGTATAGTTTGGGACACGACATGTCAAGCGACTGCCAGGATGGTGGAAGGTGAACCAGATGGACCTTCTTTCGTCCAGCAAATTCTTATGTTCGTCTGACAGACCAAACACCCCAAAGTTCGGACCAAGATAACTTACCTTTTAATGTTTCCATGAATTAGAGGCACATCACTCTTGTGCAGATATTGTATCGCTCTTGCTGTTCCGAGTGCAATTTTAACACGTGTGACCCACGGAATTCCATGTCCAGGGTTCTGTAAATAACAGAGAAGGACTTCAATATTCTGTATTGAGTTTGGCTTCTTGTCTTTTTTTTCCCTCTTTTCCTTGGAAAGGTCTAAGCAAATTCTTAAATGCAACCTTAGTTTTGAAGCTGGTTTTCTGTACTAGATTTACCTATTTACCCAAATTCTGTTCACTCCGAAATGCTTCAAAAATGGGGTAAAGCTCGAGACAGGTAGAATTTTTCTCCCTCTTTTGTAAGAGACACACACACACACACACACACGGGGTGAAGACTCCTAACTTCAACAGCAGAGGGGAGAAATCATAAAGCGATTCATTCCGACAGTGTATTGATGTCTAATAATGAATAATAATGATCCTTGCATTTGATACGGCGCCTCATCATGTCTTCGATACGTCTCAAAGCGCTTCACAGAATGTACTGTGAAGTGAATTGACTGTGTATTTTGTTGGCAAAACTCGGCAGCTGATTGTGCCCAGCAGCGTCCCACAAACAGTCGTGGATTGAAGTGATTATTTATAAAACACTCTAACACTCTTAGGGCCTAATAAGGATATTTAACAATAGCAATTATCCAAAGAGAGAGAGAGACACACAAGTAGAAGTACCGCAGGTTACCGTGTTCTGAAGGCTGTTCTCCAGAGATCCATTGGACATGTAGCGATATATAAGACAGAAGACACCACATTCAGCACAGCAGCCTTCCAGAGCCAATATGTTAGGATGACGATGCCTAAAGAAAATGAAAATTTCAGGAGGTTTTAACGAAGAAAAAAAAAAGGACAATTTTACCAACTCTACTTTCGCCCGATCTTGAGTTCAGCAACAAACTGAGCAAGAACAATAAAATTCTAAAGCAGATAATACTGATAATAATCTTTGCATTCGATATCACGCCTTATCATGTCTTTGAGACGTCTCAAAGCGCTTCACAGGAAACACTGTGAAGTGAATTGACTGTATATTTTGTGGGTGAAACGCGGCAGCATCCCACAAACGGTCGTGGATTGAGTTACCCAATTATTATTGTCTTTTCATTTTTTTTGAATGGATTATTACCCCCAGAAAAGTGATCCGGCAATCGATTAACAACCGTCTTCCCACTTACTGGTAGGTAAAGAGACGTATGGAGTAAGGAAACTTGCCCAACGTCTCACCCTGCCTGGGAATCGAACCCGGGTCCTCTCGCTTGCGAGGCGAGTGCTCTAACCACTGAGTTACAGGACTCCACAGCTTAATTTCAAATTGAAGCAGTAGCTTTCGCAACCAGGCCTCAAGAGGAGCTGCACTGGGAATATCCTGGTATGAAAACCTAGTGTATATGAGGCCACAGTGATGAAATACTTACCGATAAAGGCTCTGCACCTCCTTGTGGAACAAATCCTGGACCTTTTCCCAGTCGATGTTTTCACTCTGTGTGAAAAAGATTTGGAACCAGAAGCATGTTAAGATTTTCCGGCAACCTGATGATGCAAACTTGGAAACCTATCTCTTTGGCTACTGACCCGGTTTGACACTGAAGTTCTACAGGTCATAGGAACGTAAGAACAGGAGTAGGCCATAAAGCTGGAATTTAACCAACTAAAAGCACACAACGAAAGCTATTACGAGCACTGACTGGCGAGTTCTACGATAGAGACTGATCCCCTTTTACCAAATCCTTGTGATGACTGCGTACTATGTTGACTAAAGGGCTGTCAGATGGAAATCTTGTGAAACAAAAATACTTGACAAGATGTTCTGAGTAGTGAATCATCCCAGGAAGCCGCACGATAACAAGACTTGCCTCCTTTAACCACTTGATCGCGTAATCAGTATTGAACCTGCGGCCCTTGTAGACGTGTCCAAATGTCCCTCGGCCAAGTTCATGTCTCTCGTCGAAGTTATTGGTGGCTTTTCTCAGATCCTGCAAAGTCCAGGCACAGTTGGATGGATCTGCTTCCTGGAGCGGTACAATGGGAACATCACCCAGAGGGAAACAAAAAGCACACAGAAATAACAATGGGAATATTGTGAGTCCAATGTCCTACCCTCCAAATCTCCCTTGAACAATTTTAAACTAAATGCAATTTTAATAGATGACTTGGCAAGAATGAAGACTCTAACAGAGATAAAATGGCAGCAGAGTGCTATTAATTTTCGTCCACAAAATATACAGTGAATTCACTCTACAGTATAATTTGAGACATCTCGAAAACGCGTTAAGGCGCTATATCAAGTGCAAGGATAATTGTTATTATTATTATTATTCATTGAGTCCTCAAGAAAGAGCAAAGAGCTTTATGTTTGATTGTTAGCAGATACATAAACGGTTCAGGTAATACGATTGCAATGGCAATTCCGAATAGCTTACCATCTTGGGTGATCTGCCGTTGCTTTCTTCATTCTGCGATTCAGAAAGGGATATTCGTTCACTTGCAGAAGCTTTCTGATCGGGAAGTGGATGTGAGAGACGCGCTGAGGGGAGACAAAGCCAGCAGAAAATAAGATGTTTTGATGGGGGGGGGGAAGAAGTTAGATTTAACTGATCTCCAACATGGTTTTCACCTTTCATTAATATGCGTTAAAAGGGTACAATTAATTAATAATTAATATAATTAATGATTAATTAATTATATTAAATCCATGGCACTTGGCCCCACTCGTCACCACACCACGGTAATAAAACAGGTTTCGCTTAGAGAGATGACACCTCCATCCTTTTAATTAGAATACCCGGAGCATGAAGATCATTCAAGTCATGTATCAATAGTCACCATTGTTTGTCGAATCCGGGCCAAATGAATCTTTCTGCTCTTGACCGGAGGCAAATGTAGGTGTCCGGTATGTTTCACAAGGTTGGGATGAAGGAATACGACAGCTGCTGGGCTGGGTGATGAAATGAGTCGCTGGTTTCCCTGTTAAAACAAGGTATCGTTTTTTTCAACATCCAAATAGAAATATTTCGTTCTGAAAATACACAGTCAATAATAATAATAATAATCCTAGCATTTGATATAGAGCTTAAGCACGACTCAAAGAGACCTCTCAAAGAATATACCGTAAAGTGAATTGAAGTGAATTTTGCACTACCGGCACTGCCCCACAAGCTGTCACGAAGTGAACAGATGATTTGCTTTTTATCTGAAGGATTGTTGTCCAGAACACTGAGAGAAACCCCTTCTCTTTTTTGAATAATGACGTAATATCATTAATGTTTATTATTGTCATTATTATAATGTGCACCTGAACAGATGGACAAGATGGGGCCAGATCCCACACCTGTAGTGTATTGGTTAGAGCACTCCAGCGAGAGGACCTGGGTTCGATCCCCGGCAGGACGAAACATTAGGCAAGTTTTGTTACTCCACGCCTCTGTTTACCAGTAGTAAGTAGGAACCCGGTTGTTAGTCGATTGGTGGATCTGAGAGTAATAATCCGTTAAAAAAGTAGTCACTCAATCCACGACTGTTTGTGGGACGCTGCTGTGCGCAATTTACTGCCACGTTTCACTCACAAAATACACAGTCACTCCACTTTACGGTATATTCCGTGAAGCGCTTTGAGACGTCTCAACGACCTGATAAGGCGCTTTATCAAATGCAAGGATTATTATTATTATAACCTAAAAGCAAGAATACTAAAAAAAAAGGCGTTACCACATGCAGTTATAATAATAATAATAATAATCCTTGCATTTGATATAGCGCTTTTCATGTCGGGAGGACATCCCAAAGCGCTTCACAGAACACACTGTAAAGTGAATTGACTGTATATTTGTGGGCAAACGCGGCAGCCGATTGCGCACAGCAATGTCCCACAAACAGTCGTAGATTGAAAATGACCAATTTATTATTGTTTTGGGTTTTGGAGGATTATTATTAGGCTCTGTGTGGAGTAAGGAAACTTGCCCAAGGTTTCGCCCTCTGCCTGGAATTGAACTCAGGTCTCTCACTTGCAAAGCGAGTGCTCTAACCACTGAGCTACAGGACTCCACAGTTAGCAAAGGGATGAGTAATACGGAGTAAGACTGTGAGCAAATCACTTACCCCTCTTGTTCCTTACACTTCCTATTTTTCTGTTACAATAGCATTAGGTTGAAAGGGCAACTTCAGCAAATACAGCGAAATAAATAGACCGAAACCAACGAAACAGGAAGTGGTATTGGCTGTAAGACGAAAAACAGGAGATAGCCAGGAATCTATATTTTGATGATTTTCATTTCAAGCTTATTCTGTAATGCAGTGGAACATGATCGCAATGTGGTGGCTGGAGCTCATTTGATACAGAGCCGTATCACCTCTTCGAGACGTCTCAAAGCGCTTCACAGGACACACTGCAAAGTGAGTTGACTATGCATTTTGTGGGCGAAACGCGGCAGCCGATTGCGCACAGCAGCGTCGCAAAAAACGGCCGTGAATATACAGTTTCACTGTGCAAATGTCACACAGAAAGATTCCATGACACATTTCCAAAAGTGAAGGCAGCTTTTTTTTCCCAGTGTCAGAGTCAAAAGTCCCCTAATATGAAACTACTTCTTTGTTGTTTGTAGTACTTCACGCTACGCAAATTGGCTACCGTGCTCACCGACAAATACACAGTCACCACACTTCACTGCAAAATTTTTTTGTATATTTTAGGAGGTTTGTGGCAATAAAATCTTTAAAAAATCCTTTAAAAATATAGTGCATAGAAAATAATATCTAGTTGATTTGAATTTGACATCTACATTAAATCTCCTGGATTTACCTTCTGCTGAAGAAACAGTACTTATTAACAGTACTTATTGTGTTGCCTTCCATTGTTTTAAATAAAGAGCTTTCTACCTACATCAAAGAATGTTTCGCCCACAAAATATACAGTCAATTCACTTCACAGTATATTCTGTGAAGGCTTTGAGGCGCTATATCAAATGCACGATTATTATTATTATTATTATAATAATAGGAACTTAGCATCTGATGTAGATCAGGAACTCTTTGTATTCAAGGGGAATTGAGAAAATAAGCCCAGAACAATACTTTGGCGGTGATAGCAAAACAAGAGGAAAAGCATTAGACTTGTTCTTCCCCCTCCACCCCTCGAATGTGATAAAGGAAGCGATACCATCAGGCAAGTTAAATGCGCACTTGGAAAACGCTGCTCCTTTGCGTTATACATAAAGGATTTATGCCATTATTCTGATGTTAAGGACATCTCAAAGTGCTTCACAGAATATACTGCAAAGTGAATTGACTGTGTATTTTGTGGGCAAAACGCGGCAGCCGATTGTGCACAGCGGCGTCCCCACAAACAGTCGTGGATTGAGTGATCAAATTTTTTTGAAGGGATTGTAAAATACGCACAATGCCAGAAAATGGGCATTTACAGCTTGACCAACCTACACAAAGTTCAGCGTGCAAAGTTGCTTTAGCTATCAATAATAATCCCTCCAAAACCAAAAACAATAATAAATTAGGTCATTTTCAATCTATGACTGTTTGTGGGACATTGCTGTGCGCAATTGGCTGCCGCGTTCGCCCACAAATATACAGTCAATTCACTTTACAGTGTGTTCTGTGAAGCGCTTTGGGACGTCCTCCCGACGTGAAAAGCGCTATATCAAATGCAAGGATTATTATTATTATTATAATGAGCACTCACATGATAGAATAATATTGATCGCTCGGTAGAGTTTCATATCATTCAGGAGGTCTAGAAGCTGTTGGACAGTTCCTTGTCTCATGCCCCAAATCCACATCAGCTCTTTCGTTCTGCTACGTTCTCTTCTTCCGAAAGATTCAATGCTTCTCAGCTCTGTTTGATTTGTGATGATACAAGAGGCTGAAAGACGAGGCAAGATTCAAATACAGTAGTTAAACTCTGAGATCACTGAACTCACTGTTCACTGCGGAAACCTGGGGAAACCAGTAACCTATAATCATTATAATAACACTGTAATAATCTTTGCATTTGATACAGCGCCTTATCACGTCTGGGAGACATCTCAAAGCCCTTCACAGAATATACTGTAAAGTGAATTGACTGTATATTTTGTGGGCGAAACGCGGCAGCCAATTGCGCACAGCAGCGATTGAGTGATCAAATTATTATTATTTATTTGTTTTGATGGGATTATTACCCTCCAGAAAAATGATCTGCCAATCGACTAACAATCAGGGCTCCTACTTGCTGCAAGGTAAACAGAGGCGCGTGGAGTAAGGGAACTTGCCCATTGTTTTGACCTGTGTCTGGGAATCGAGCCCAGATCCTCGTGGTTTGTGAGGCGAGTGCTTTAACCAGTACACTACACGGACTCCACAAACAACCGTGAATATATACGTGTGACTCCTTACAAAGGCACGGTATAAACTCAGCATTAATCATTAATCTAACTCTCCAGAAGAAAGGTAAATATTGTCTCTTTAAAACGTATTCTCTCCTCCCCGGGCTAGGAAGGAAGAAGCAGATGGCGGGCTGGCTTTTAAAGTCTTATTTTAAAGCTGTTTTAATGTAAAAGTAGTGAGCGGGGAACGTGAATGAGGTGGAAACTAAGTCAGCGTTTGAACACCGCCCAGAATCGACTGGTTCAGTCAAGAAATGAACGCAGTAAACAGCAGATATAAGTGACTCACCGAACCTCATCCACGCCACATCCACCAGAGTATCCATCACCCTGTAAAACTCTTCCATGATCCCGGCGGGAATGTCATACACAAAGTTCTGCGAAGACATTTCTGGTGTTTCCTTAAAAGAAAAAACAACGGAGTAATCTGTGGATTGCAAATAATCCGTTCGTTACTGCTCCTCTAGTTATCTGCGTAAACCAGTGAATGATCAAACTTCCTGAACTGAAACTATTTGTACTGAAGGGGAGGGGGGACTTTTTCAGAGTAGTGCGAGAGAAAATCTTTGTAAGAGGTCATACGTAGGACTTACAGAAGATGTGGTGGCGGAAACTGGTGCGTGTAATGTTTTAACCTTAGACCTCAAACCAATTTAATGTAAAAATGTGTAGGGCTTGAGTTTCCGTCGGTTGTTATGCAATGAGAAGCATTGCGTGCCTGTTATGAATAAATCCCAACGTGACAATTACCGTACTCAATCATAGCTATAGCGGAAGACTCATCATCACCAACAATACAGACGAGATGTGCTCGTATACACGAGCTGGTGAATCATTGTCAGTTTTTGTCTGCCTGACACATAAAGTAATACGTAATACCTTACCGGTACTCCTCGAGTGTTTGTACAAAGCAGCTACAACAATAATTCTTGTTATCTGGTATACGGCCTATAAACAGCTCAAAAGTTTTGGCTCGGCGTTGCCATGAAACAGTCCTGAAGTGAACGAACAGTTTCATCGCCCACAAATTATAGTCAATTCACTTCGCAGTATATGTTCTGTGAAGCGCTTTGAGACATCTCGAAGATGGGATAAAGAGCTTTATCAAGTGCAAGGATTACTAGTGTTTGGAGGATTGTTGGCCAGGACACCTTTCTTTTTAAAATAGAGTAATAATAGATTAACAAAATTACACTTGCACGACACCTTTCACGTCGGGAGGACGTCCCAAGGCGCTGGCACAGCGAGCTGGGGGTCGGGATTGGGGAGGGTGGAGTGCAGGGGAGGAGGGGAATAATAATCCTTACTTTTGATATAGCGCCTCATCACTTTTTCTAGACGTCGCAAAGCGCTTCACAGAATATACTGTAAAGTGAATTGGCTGTACACTGTTGGGGTGAAACGCGGCAGCCAATTGCGCGCAGCGGCGTCCCCACAAACAGCCGTGGATTGAGTGACCGATTTTTTTTATTACTCCCGGAAAAGCAATCCGCCGATCGACCAATAACCAAGTTCCTATTGGCTAGGTAAACAGAGGCATGTTTGGAGTAAGGAAACTTGCCAACATTTCGCCCCGCTGTGAATCGAACCAGGTCTCTCGCTTGCGAGGCGAGTGCTCTAACCACTGAGCCACCGGATTCCAGCCATGGAATATTTGTGCACCTTAACATCTAGTTAGGACCTCAGTTTAACTTATCTGAAGGATGGCACCTCTGACCACAGTGCTCCCCCAGTATCGACTGTCCCGATGTCAGGTTTGAACCCACAACTTTCTAAGAGGTAAGACTGCTAAGACCAGCTGAGCCAGGCTGAAGTCTGTGTCCACCTTGCCCTTGGGAAGCTTGCCAGACAGTGCTCATGACAAGCTATAGCTTCAGCGGATTAGATTCCAATGGACCCTCACAAACATTCTGGGTCACCAAACCCCACCAACCTACGCTTAAGATCTCACAGAATTAGACAGTTGTGTGCAGGCCATGGAAGAGTGCATTCCGTTCCACGCGCATCATTTTACATGCCTGAGTGGCACGCACACGTGGTATTTTCAGTCAGCTGGACACATGGCGATACCCGGTACCGTGGTTATCCACATTTCCTGCCACCTCAATGTTTCCAATGTCCTCCTTTTCGGACTCTCCAGCTCCCACCATTAATTCAAAACTCCACCTCCCGTGTCCTCACTCACGCAAACTCTGTACCCCCATCATCCCAGTCCTGGCCACAGAAGCCAATTCAGCTTCAAGGAGACCCTACTTACCTATCCCTCCCCCCACCCACCGGGAGATGGAACTCTGGTCTGGATCATCTTAAGCACGGTGATGGGATTCCGCACGAGTCAACACCAAGCTGACCAAAAAAGCATTTGGTTGTCGCCTCTCCAAACTAACGGTAACTGTATAGCTACGATTTAAAAAAAAATGTTTTGAAGTGGTCTTCACACCATATCCAATGCAAGGATTATTAAACCATGGGATTTAAGAATTAAAACTAAATGCAAATGGTAGGCACGACACATGAGCAGAGAATATGGTAATGCAGTAACAGTGGACCCCCTCCACTGTTTGTAGGAAATCCAACAACCCAGAAGAACAGACCAACAAATTGCCCGCTGCTAAAAAAAATACACACAGGTCAATCAGCATAACAGTCAGGGTATAAAGGGATATGGGGCAAGGGCTGGTAACTGGAGTTGAGGTACAGATCAGTCGTGACCTTATAGAATCGCAGACAGACTCAAGGGACTGAGTGGCTGCCTCCTGTTCCTACTGCAAGAAATTGTTAACGGATAAACCACTTGTGTAATATCACTTTATTATTAAACCCAGTTACAATGACGCAGTCAGCACTCAGTTTATTCGTTCTCTTCACTACGTAATCTGGCATTTGGATTGGTGACCTTGATTGCAAGTTGGGCTGCTCTCTCCACGATCAATTTGCGGTTTTTGGACGAGACATTATGCGCGATCTCCGCACAATAAGACCTAGGAACAAAGCACAGAACTCTGTCAGTTACAGAACAAGAATTGCATTCCAAATGGCACGGTGTGGCACTGTATCATTGCAAAGTTTCCCATTGTAATGATCAGCAGCAAGTCACAGAATCTCTAAAGCTAGCCGTCAGGGAACGTAGTTTATAACATGCTTGCCACTGGGTTAGCAGGTAGTGGCAAGCGTGTTCAAGCACGAAACTAGGCGCAGAATCGCCGCCTTTTATGTTTGGCTGAAACCATTCCACGTTTGCATACATTACCCTGAAACACTAAAGGCGCTGACATTATGGGACTGTAAAATAAAACGTAACTTTTACATCGCAGGCAAATTAAGTTTGAACCCAAATCTCAGAAAGGTTTGTTCAGCCAGCTATCAGACACATAGAAACACATGGTCAAGAGCCTCATAACCAAAATAAGCAAGTTTCACATACGTATGTTTCCGATTATCTGATAGAGTGTGTGCACTCTCTCCCCAAAGGGTCAAGCACACCCTGATTGCCTGTTCCTGGAAGTTTAGGCAGAACTAACGTTTGGGGATCCCACGGGGTGCATTTGGCAACCCAAAGTAAGTAATGACAAGCTACCTATCCACTACTTGTCCAGCCAGGACCAGCTTAACATATTAAGAGTTTGGCTTGCAGGGTTAACAGGAATTAACCTGGACGAATTTCAACTCAAAAGTCTGCTCCTTAATGTCGTGTTAACAAGCCAGGCTGACTGGTCTGTAACCAACAGTGCCTCCACCCACCCCAGGCCCCACTGTGACATTTCCTGAACAATCTCCCGCACATATTCCCATGTTAGGGCCTAAACATCAGAAATCTTCCATGTTAAAAACACCACGTTGTAAACTGAGTGGATTCTTACTTGTTGCTCATCATGAGAACCTCCAGCTCCTTGATATTGTGGATCAGGAATTTCCGGAATCCTGAGGGCAACATGTGTTTTGTCTTCTTGTTGCTGCCGTACCCAATGTTGGGCATAAGAATCTGGCCTTTAAACCTCCTCCGCACCCGGTTGTCAATACCTCTGGGTTTACGCCAATTACGCTGCGGAAGACAACACAAGAAATTTGATTACAGCATCCAACTGCCGATTGAGAAACATTACAGTTCTCTGCCGCTTAACAGGGAAGATATTTGGGATGGGATGAAACTTGCCCACACCCATCAGACTTCAAATACGGAATGAATATTCCACACATTGAAACATTTTGAAGGAAGGAAGCAATTTTTTTTTTTTTTACTTGAAGCGATCTTACGACTGCAAATTAAGTCGTTTGAATTATATTTAACTCGCAATTTCAGTCCGGACAGAAAAGCTGGTTATGCTTTCAATAAGTCTTTTTTTTTAAAAAAAACGCCAGCAAACACATCCGACTTTTATTCGCAATCTAAGGAGACGCGGACATCGCGGCCCACCCCTGCACATTTTAAGTATCCCAGGGAAAAGTATTCGGAAACGATTAAAACCATCGTTTGACAGCAAACTTTTTTTCAAAAAAAAACTAAGCAATCGCAGTGCAATCCACAATAAACTCGTACTTGTCAGCACAAAATGAGCAGGTCAACCCAACCAATAAACACGGCGCAGAACACCACAAACTCACCTTAATCTTTACATAACGATCAGACTGGTGACGAATGAACTTTTGCCTCCGTTTCTTGACAATATCGGGCCTGATGAGGGGTCTTAGGGCAGGCATGTTGCCTAGGCAAAGAAAATAAATGAAGTGAGCAAAAAAAAATTGGGACTCAAAATACCCGGATCGGGCCCCCTGCGATGACGATGATGATAATAATAATCCCTGCACGTGATATAGCTCCTCAGTGAGACCGCTCAAAGAACATACTGTAAAGCGGATCAACTGTGTATGTCTTCGCGGGCGAAACGAGGCAGCCCGAGCTCACACGGCCACGTCCCGCCAACGGTCATGGATAGAGCGACCCCATTTTTTTTCTTCTCTCTCTCTCTCGGGATTACCACCTCCGGGGGGGGTGGGGGGTCACTACACCCCCCCCCCCCCCCCCGCCAATCGACTTAACAACCGGGTTCCTACTTACTGCCTGGGAAACAAGAGGGCGGGCGGGAGTTAAGGAAACTCGCCGAAGAATTCTCCCTGCCCGGGGAGGAGGGGGGATCGAACCCGGGTTAGAGCGAGCGAGAAGGCGCTCTAATCTCCCCCCCCCCCCCCACACACCGCCCGGAGCTCAACAAGTAAACCCACGCGCGCCATCCGCAGCGGCCAAAAAAAAAAATACCCGCCTTGGGTGGGGGGGGTGTGTGTGTGTGGGGTGTGTGTGTGTGTGTGTGTGTGTGGGGTGTGTGTGTGTGTGTGGGGGGTGTGTGTGTGTGTGTGTGTGTGGGGTGTGTGTGTGTGGGGGTGTGTGTGTGTGTGGGGGGTGTGTGTGTGTGTGGGGGGTGTGTGTGTGTGGGGGTGTGTGTGTGTGTGGGGGGGTGTGGGGGTGTGTGTGTGTGTGTGGGGGGTGTGTGTGTGTGGGGTGTGTGTGTGTGGGTGTGTGGGTGTGTGTGTGGGGGGGGTGTGTGTGTGGGGTGTGTGTGTGTGTGTGGGGGGTGTGTGGTGTGTGTGGGGGGTGTGTGTGTGTGGGGTGTGTGTGTGGGGGTGTGTGTGTGTGTGGGGGGTGTGTGTGTGTGGGGGTGTGTGTGTGGGGGGGTGTGTGTGTGTGGGGGGGTGGGGTGTGTGTGGGGTGTGTGTGTGGGGTGTGTGTGGGGTGTGTGGGGGGGGGGTGTGTGTGGGGGGGGGGGGGGGGGGGGAGGAATCTGGAATTCTCCGGTCAGTTCGGGGGCAATTAAATTAATATCAGGGGTTATTGGGGGGGGGAGAGGAGAGGGGGGGGAGGCGGCCGATCGGGAGTGGAGGTGCAGGTTCGTCCGCCCTGATCTTACAGAATGGCGGAACGGGCTGGGGGGAGGGGGGGGGCTGAATGGCCTCCTCCTGGTCCTACTGCTGCGGTGGCGGCGGCGGTGGTTACGATGGGCCCACGGGTTGTCACTGAGACGCCTGCACCGACCGACCTGGGAATGGGGGGGGGGGTTCGTCGACAACCACCAGCGAACCTCAGCCTAACCCCCCCCCCCCCCCCCCACCCCTTCCCCCCCCCCCACTCGACCAACCGCCCGCCCCCTCCCCTGGAAACCCGCCACACAACAAAACGGGGAAGAGGGGGTCGGTCGAGGGAAAGGCCTCTGGAAATCACCGGCGTCCATTCGGTTTGTGGCCGGAGAGGCCTTGTGCACACACACACACACACACACCCACGCGCCACGGGACCGGCGTTTAAAAAAAAAACACCCGAGAAAGAAAGAAAGAGAGAGGCGCCGCGTTACGGGTGACCGTGTCGGTGGCGGAGGGGGGGGTCCTGAGGGCCGGATGGCCGCCGATGGCGACGGATTGCACCGGTGCGGGGCCTCACCTGAGGAGAGCGGCGGCGCGTCCTCGGCGGCCGAGAGCGGACTGCGGGCGGGAAGAGGCCGCGCGGGGGCTGCCGGGAACTTATAACCTCCGCGTCCTGGCAGAGAGGTAGTGACGCTCCGCACCGTTCCCTCCCCCCCAAAAAAATAGTACCACCAACCGCTTCGACCGGAGAGGCCGACCCCCGGGGCTCGCGGCGCTCGAGACGCTCGTTCGCGAGCGGATTTTTTTTTCCGCCCCTCTCGCTCGCTCGCTCCCAACCGCCGCTCCCGCACTCGTGATCTTCCAGGACCTTTGCTTGTGGGCGGGTCGTTTTTTTTGGGGGGGGCGGGTTTGGGCGGGTTCACGCCCAAATCGGGCGGGTTTTTGGGTTGGGGCTGGTGGTGGGGAGTGGGGGGGAAACAATACAACAATTTTTTAATTAAACCTGCAAGTTTTTGTTAACAAAATGCGCTTTCAACGTTAAACGTAATAATAATAATAATAATCCTTGCATTTGATATAGCGCTTTTCACGTCGGGAGGACGTCCCAAAGCGCTTCACAGAACACACTGTAAAGTGAATTGACTGTATATTTGTGGGCGAACGCGGCGGCCAATTGCGCACAGCAATGTCCCACAAACAGTCATAGATTGAAAATGATTTAACTTTGACCCCACCACCCCCCCCCAGGCAGAGGCAATAAGAAAATGTTGTATCTCATGTTGATATAGATCCCCACACGTAGAATATTACGCACAATTTAATGAAAAAACACTTATGCATTTGTTTTAATGTCTACTACATTACAGTGTTGGTAAAGTATGACATCGCCCGTACAGAATACAGTACAGCAAAAAACAGCAAGTTTCAAGCGCTCTGGGACGCTACTCCGCGTTAGGGGCGCTATGTAAATGCAAGTTGTTGTGGTTGTTGTTGTTCAAATGGATTCCCAGCAGAGCGAGCTACAAGATGTAGACTTTTCTCATATCTATATCGCCATAGCTGACGTATCCCTGGTTGCTAACTGGCCAAGTGATTTCGTTGCTGTAGCCAGGATTGCTTTGCGGTCCTTGGCGAGTGTTGCTGAACAGAACCTCCTCGTGCTTCAGCTTGACATCTGGGAGATACATACGCAATTTGTCCAGCTGGTGACCAGGCCAGAAGGCATCTCGATTGGCCTGGGCATACCAGGGTACGTTGCGATTAATCAGCCCTCTCTGCTTTCTAAAATAGAAAAAAAATGTTATGTTCTTTGATATATTTCCTCTGTGTAACCAAATGTCCCATTCTGGAACTTATTTTAACACTCGCCCACTGGTTCAGTCAGTCACCATGCAAATAACTTTCTCCCACAAAGGTACAGCCAATTCACTTTACAGTATATTGCGTGAAGCGTTTTGAGACGACTCGAGGACATGACAAAGCGCTATATTAAATGTAAGGATTGTTATTATAACTTGCTTCCTGTGGCTAAATATAAGTGGGGATATTGTCGGTCCACGTGAACCATTAAAATAATTATCAGAAATTCCCGTCAATTTTTCTTGAAGAACCAACCTTCTGTTTTTCTCATATTCATCAAATGCCATGTTCTGTCCTGGTTGTTTGATGTTTCCCTTTCTAGTGAGTATTCCAGGCTGTTTAGTGGGGAAAGATTTCCGGGGAGGTCTAAAACATGAGTAAGAAATATAAGCGATTAGAAACGGAAAAATGAAAGGTGATCTATCGATTACTCCAATGGCATAGTAATGCCATTAACCCCTCCAATAAAAAAGTAAAAAATAATAATTTTGGTCACTCAACCCACGGCTGTTTGTGGGGACGCTGCTGTGCGCAATTGGCTGCCGCGTTTCGCCCACAAAATACACAGTCAATTCACTTTACAGTGTATTCCGCAAAACGCTTTGAGACGTCTATAATAATTATTGTAATAGTGGGCAAGGCACACAGAATGTTCCCAGGTTGAGGAAACTTGTGTAGACATGTGTCTCACTCACTAAAGTGGGAGTAGATCACCCGCACAGGCAGCATGGAAGGAAGAGGGAAAAATGAATGAATGAATGAATGAATTAAACAAAAGCTCCCATTACTTTGGTTTTACTTTGCTTTCGATTTGTTTTGTTTCCGTATTTTGTTTTCCTTTTTTTGTTACTTGTTTTCCTATTTTCGTCACTTGTTTTCCTATTTTTGTTTGCTCTTCTTCTTTTTGCGTATCCGTGTCGTCTTGCTCAGAGAGTAAGGTTTTCTTCTGCTCCTCGGACACATCCTTATCGATCTCAATCTCAGTCTCCATTTCCGCTTGATCCAGCTGATCCATTAATGTACGTTCTCTGGAATAATTAAAACAATAAAGCCTTTTTCAGTACTTTCTTCCCTATTTCGTATTCATCAGCCAGAATGGTAGTACGATGGCAATGAGTTTTCTCCCACAAAATGTACCGTCAATTCACTTTACAGTGTATCCTGTGAAACACTTTGAGATGTCTCGAAGACGTGATAAGGCGCTGTATCAAACACAAGGAATATTTCAACGCTGAATCTAATAGCTCATCATCCTATTGTATTATTTCCATGCACTTTGAGTAGGAAAGACAGTAGACTTTTTCCCCAAACCTCTTTGAAACAATCTGCTAAACCGTAACTCTTGAAATTTTCTCTATGTGAAAGGAGACAGCTTTTCCTTTGCCCGCTTTCCGGCTGTAGTAATCCCTCCGAAAAAAANTAACAATCATTTGGTCACTCAATCCACAATTGTTTGTGGGACACTGCTGTGCGCAATTGGCTGCTGCCTTTCGCCCTCAAAATACACAGTCACTCCACTTTACCGCATGTTTTGTGAAGCACTTTAAGACGTCTCAACGATGTGACAAGGCGCTATATCAAATCCAAGGCTTGTTATTATTTTTATTACTGACTGAGCTGCAATCAGCAACTCATCATCTGGGGTTAGTGTTGGCAGGAACCTACATTCTACCACAGCTGTTGCCTTTATACCACTGCACATTTCTTCCTTTTTTTATTTGTTTTAGCCAGTGTTTACCTAGCAGTGAACCAGTCATTGATCTCCTTAATATTGAACAGATTTGTCCCAGGCTGTCTCAACCGGTATTTTTTTCCAACTCCTGGTAAAGTCTTGTCTCCCGGGTGAAGTACCGCTGCAAGAAAGAAAATCCAATCCAACAGATTTTTTTAAACACCATTGTGAAGGCCTTTTCATGGGACACTTGAACAAATAAATCCTCAGGACCTAACAGACAATTATGAGACAGAACACATTCTTTTTTAGATATAACATTGTCACTTAGCTCTGATACAAAATATAATAGTCACAATAATACCTGCATTTGATATTGCGCCTTATCACATCTTTGAGACGTCTCAAAGCGCTTCACAGAATATATGTGGACATTAATAATAATCCCTCAAGAAAAAAAAACAATAATAATGTGGTCACTCAATCCATGACTGTTTGTGGGGACACCTCTGTGCGCAATTGGCTGCCGGGTTTTGTCCACAAAATATACAGTCGATCCACTTCACAGTATATTCTGTGAAGCTCTTTGAGACGTCTTGAAGATGTGATAAGGCGCTGTATCAGATGCAAGGACTATTATTATTACTATTATTGCTTAAGTGGCCATTACTGATATGTGATTCTTCACAGTAAACACAACTGGGTTTTTCATTTCATTCGACAAGGCATCACAGCCATCCCAATCATGCGCTCACACAGCATTCAGCTCCAGCATGGTATGATGTCCATTTACTAAGATTAATAAATAGAATGAATGAGTGCAGCGAGTTTTACTGTTACCTCTTTCCAGCAAACCTTCGGTAAGGAGTATATTATACTCCTTAAGCACCTGCTGAAGTCTATAGTATTCCGTTAAGCATCGTTGCCGAAACTCATTCGTGGCTTCACCATCTGGTCCTTTCAGTGAGGACAGCAGGGAATGGCAGGCCACAGCCTGATCAATTCCTGTTTTAAATTGACATATTTGCACTTTTTCCTGGTATTCCTTGTTCTCCTGCAAGGCAAGGGGAAAAAGAGTCTGAAAAACATCCATCTCGTCTTTACAATGCATTTGACCACAAAGAAGAGCTGTGATTCCGGACTGGCTTAATTGTTTGCAAACGTAAAGTGCTTTTGCAGTTTTAGCTGGTTGAACTCTGGTAGTATCCCAGACACACACTCTGGGTCCCAAGCCTTGCCTCTTGTCGATTTGTGCCTAACTTGTGCCTTTCGCCCACGAAATATACAGTTAATTCACTTTACAATATATTCTGTGAAGCGCTTTGAGACGTCTCGAAGACTTGATGAGGCTCTATATCAAATGTAAGGATTATTATTATTATGGTTATTATTATTAATACAGTAATCTCCAGAATATAAAGATGTTTGACCATCATTTAACGTCTGATCTGAACTATATCAGATGCTGTGAGACACCAAACAACGACGACTTGTATTTATATAACGCCCTTCACGTTGGTTTGCGCCCCGGAGTGCTTGGCAATGCCTTCACATAGTGAGGGAGAGGGAATTGGATGAGTATCATCTCACATTGCCTGTTCTCATGCTTATTCCGAACAGCTCGCTAAATAAATTCTTGGGGGAAATAGAGCAAGTTTTACTCTTACGCTCTCCTGTTTATAATCAGGAAAAAATGTGGGAAGCCTTCCATTTCCCTCATCGAACATCGAATTCGGTCTACCACCCCCGTCAACACTCTATCCAAAATTCGATGAATAGGATACAACGCAGCCATTATACAAATGATTTCTAAATTACCTTCAATAGTTTGTCGCTTCCCAATTTCCACTGCTGGAAAAGCCTCAGCTCCTCTGCTGTAAATGGTCTTCTCTCGGACAGATCGATCGGCGGAACTTGTAGGTTGTTTGATAGTTTTACCAGGGGATAGGGCTCTATTGAAGTGTTTATGTAAGGTACAGCTGTACAGGGTTTTTCGGGGCAACGGTTAGATATTAAAGTGAGATACGAGGTGGTCAGAATAATAGAGGGAAAGCCGCGATCTGCAGGAAAAGAAAAACAATTTATAGCGGCTTATAAACACCTGAAATATGCTCCTTTGCTAAGCTGAAGCGGCTTAAAGGAGCATATTTTATTAATAATAGTACTAATAATAATCCTTGCATTTGATATAGAGCTTTATCACGTCTTTGAGATGCCTCAAAGCGCTTCTGAGCACGTTTTAATTGAAGGAGAGAGAGGAGCAGAAAGGCAGAAAGAAATGATGTGATGTGTTTTTCTGGGCGGCTCCCAATCCGTGGTATATTTTTTGTAAAAAGATAATAACACGTCTCCCTGCAGGAAAGACACACTTGCAAGCAGCCCCTCACATTGACAACAACAACTTGCATTTATATAGCCTCCCTCACACCGGGTAGTGTCCCAGAGCGCCTGACATGCCTGTCATCAACAAGTTAGCGTGTGAGGAATCGCTAACAATGAAGCAACGCACTCCTCTGCTCTAAGTCACAGAATCCTGAGTGGTCCAAACACTCAGTTTATGTGGATTATTTTCTGTGTCTTAGTTTCTGTACTTCGCTCGTGCTAAGGTGAGACGGGATCATAATTGCGCTTGGTATACCTTGGTATACTGAGAGAGAGAGTATTTTGTTGTGGATGTTGATTTTGTTGGGACGTACGTCCTCCTGACGTGAAAGGCGCTACGCAAATGTAATTTTATTGTTGTTGTTGTTGATTCGGCTCGCTAATGCAGGCTGGCGTGTCCTGATTGAGCATGGCTCATTCCCTTCTTGAAAAATGCTTCCCATAAAGGAAACAATGAAAGAATCATAAGAACATGAAAAATTTGCTCGGCCCAAGAAAACCAAGGTCCATCTGGTTCACCTTCCACCATCCTGGCAGTCGCTTGACACATCGCGTCCCAAACTACACACTGTATCCCCGAGATTTTATTTTCTAGCAGAAATCGATCTGATTTGTTCTTCAAATAAAACAACACCTTCTGCTCTATCAAATGCTCTACAGTCTACAAGTTCTCTGTGATAGTTTTGCCTATAAGGGCTCCTGATGAGGAGTCTCCTTGTCGGAGGTTTTATCTCTTGCAAGTTCTTACCTGATTGATACAATTGGTTCCGAACTTCCTGACGGACTTCCTTCTTCCAGGTCTTCTGACCATGAGCAAGATCTTTGTATAAAATATCGCCCGCTTTACCCAGTGTATCTACCATATCATCCAGCTCTAGGTCACTGATTGGAATGTGAGCCTGTTTAACAGAACAAAACAAAATAATAATCATAATCTTTGCATTTGATATACAGCGCCTTATCACGTCATCGAGACGTCTCAAAACACTTCGCAGGATATACTGTAAAAGGATTTGACTGTGTATTTTGTGAGCAAAACGCGGCAGCCAATTGCCCACGGCAGCGTCCCCGCAAACAGCCGCGGATTGAGTGACCAAATTATTATTTTTTTCAAAACTATTATTTTTTTTGAAGGGATTGTCACCACCGGAAAAGCGATGCATCAATCGACTAATTACTGCTAGATAAACAGAGGTGTGTGTGTGAATTAAAGAAATTTTAATTTTCGCCCTGCTCGGGAATCGAACCCGGGTCCTCTCACTCGCAAGACGGGTGCTCTAACCCCTGAGCTGCAGGACTACCTTCATAATGACATCTTGAAGGTTACTCTTCGATAGCTTCCATCTCTTTTCTTTGTCGGTAATTTTGAAGAAATCGAGTAATCGCAGCCTGTTTTTGTTCAGGTGTTGCTGTAGCAGCATAATCGCCTTCGGAGAGGGCCGCAGAATCAACGGAGTGGTGATACTGACCTTGGCACGCCGCTGCGGTTCGACATCCATCATAGCCTGGAGAAAGCAGGTAAGGTTTTTATTCCATCATTTCAGTGAATTATTCAATCGCATGTTGTCTGCCTCCACTTCTCTCATTCGGGTACGTGAGCCTATTTCACACACACGCTGCCTCCACTACTGTATTTTAGAAACGTAAGAACATAGGAACAGGAGGAGGCCCTTCAGCCCCTCGAGCCTGTTCCGCCATTCTATCAGATCATGGTTGATCTGTACCTCAACTCCAATTACCCGCCTTCGCCCCGTATCCCTTGATACCCTGACCTCACAAATATCTGTCAACCTCGGTCTTGAATACTTGAATAGATACAGCCATAATCCACAGCCTTTTGGGGGGAGGGAGGGAGAGTTCCAGATTTCCACTATCCTTTGAGTGAAAAACTGCCTCCTGATTTTAAAACATATTCGTGTCAAAGAGCAAGTGGGAACATCATTTTCAATCCAATCAGGTCCATCGCACACATCGGCGGGAACACACAGTAACTCTTGACTGCATATTTACTGTATGTATATATATATATGTGTGATATGTTATATGAAACAAACCAAAAAATAAAGTTGGATGAAGCAAACTGACATTTGTGTAGCACTTAAGTCAATTCTCTGGATTAGAGGAGAAAGCAACAACAACAACTTGCATTTACACAGTGCCCTCGTGTGGGGTAGCATCCCAGAGTGCTTGACACGGGGGGGAGACGGAGCGGGGGAGGTGACTGTAAGCACTATCGAAAAGGAAGGACCTCAGGCGGGATTTGAAAGTGGGGAGGGCAGGAAAGCAGAAAGCTAAAGAGCAGTGCCCTTACGCTTGCCAACTTGGCTCTCTCTGCTCTTCTGCGTTCTTCCTGCTCCAGTATTCTTTCCAACACATACGTCTCAATTTCAGTCAGAGACATTTTATTCTCCAACCAGTATTTCAAGGCTTCGATGGATGTCAGATCTCGCCTCATCTTCTTTCTCTCTCGCATCCACTTGGTGTACTCGTCCTCTCTCTCCTGGCTTTCCACTTCCAGAAGTTCTTTCTCTCCTTTCTCTATCTGTTGTTTCATGGCCTTCTGAATGGTTTTTATGTGGATGGAGCGAGTTGAGGCCGAATTCAAAGGAGCGGCATTGAATCGCCTGACTCTTAGTTTTGCTGGCCCGAAGCATTTTTGTGCCATGCGAAAATATTGAGTCTTATGCAAATCCCTTTGCTTGTACCTCTCCAGTTGTTGGGTGATAGTCAATTCTTGTCCTTCCATTTGAAAATAAGCCATTTGTTTTTTTTTTTGCACGATCAGAAAGTAATTAGAAGTCAAGGTAAGCGTGAGAAAGGAGTTACTGTTCCATTTCCAGCAACCAGTGCGCACGCGATGGATCGGAATGGATTGAAAATGATGTTCGAAAAAAATTGCTGTTGCTGTTATTATATTCCAAGGGTGACCTGTATCTTCGGACTTGTTCCCACGCTTGCAAATTCCGGCAATGATCTACATAGGCTGAAAGGGTTCTCTACGGATGAAGGAATCCTCTGACATCAGACACAGTTAAAAACCCCATTACCTTGGCAACACGAACGCAGCAACATTAAAGGTTCCGCCCTTCAACACTGATTGAATAGCAGTGACGCATTGCACTTTGTTGATTTCAAACCCCTGGTCGGTTGGTGTCAGATTCATTAAACACACAGCATGGACTTCTGGCCTGACTTTACTTGATGCACCGGAACACCAGGATCTGCTGGCGTTTATATTTCATTTCGCCCCCACGCCCTCCCTCGAAAATATACAACAATCCTGGCATTTGATTATGGCACGCGCCTCATCACGTCTTCTACGCGTCTCAAAGCGCTTTGCGGAATAGACTGTCAAGTGAATCGACCGCATGTTTTGTGGGTGAAAAACGGCAGCCAATTGCGCACAGCAGCGTCCCCACAACCAGTTGTGGATTGAGTGACAAAGAGTACAAAGAGTCTCAAAAAGCACCTTCGTCAACTTTACCATTTTAACATTTATTTAACATTTCATCAAAGTATAAAATTGAAAATACTGTACAAGCCATTTCTATTACAAACACACACACAACATCATTTAAAAGCTTCTAAAACTCAATACTTTTTTNCTCCCCATTGTGGGACAAGTGGTGGGCGGTTTGAGGGAAAGGTTTTTGCTCGGGTAGTTACCTTACGCCTGTGGAATAAATTCTGTATCTCACATGATGAGATAACAAACTACTTATCACAGCGAGTTTATGAGTCCGTTCATAATAAAAACTGTACAAGTAAAATGTTTTGCAACCTACTGCTTCTATTTCATGATGTCAAACTGAGAACTGACTGCACTTTAGAAAAAAAAAGTCCCAAGTGATATTGGCACAACAACAACAACTTGCACTTATACAGTGCCCATCACACAGGATAACGTCTCAGCTGATCACGGCTGGTTGTCGGTCTGTACAGTGATATGGTTTGCATTCAAAGTCACATCTGGCATACTTGTGATCATTTTAAATGATCAGTTGGTGTGCGGTATATTGAAGAGTTGTGGGATTCATTCAGCAGTTTATTAAGGCATTTTATGTTTGTGTTCACAGGGCAACAAAGCTGAACATTACTCAGAGACTGTGAATCTCCACCAACAGAGTACAATACAATACAAAGTTACATTTGTAAAGCACCTTTCAAGTCGGGAGGACGTCCCAAGGCGCTGAACAGTCAGGGATTAGGACCCGAGCGGGGACGGGGGAGTGGGGGTGGGATCAGGAAGGGTGGAGGGCGTGGAAGGTGGGGGTATGAGGGTGGCCGAAGTAATGTCCTTGGGTCGGGTCAGACCAAGCTTCTCGTGGTTCTCCCAAAGCCAGGCCCAGTACTTGTTCAGTTTGTGATCTTGAGGCTGTACCTAGAAAATAAAACATGCAACACATATTTATGAAAGCTCCAGATATGATCAATTATCTTAGGAGTCATATGAATCAAGAGCTTGGTGCTACACCTTACCTCCTTCCACTCTTTGATACAAAAAATCCGGTAGGAATCATTTCCATACTTCCCAATGCCATGCAGCTCAATCGGGTACTTCCACGATTTATTCAGGAACTGATCTGATGCCCAAAATAACAACAGGTAAATAGCCACTTACAGCAACAGGTATGTGTCACATCATGGATTTCCGTACAGTAGCACAAAAAAAAGTGGTGGAAAACACACACTGTCCTGTTTTACGCCCTTCAACACAGGGCAAACATTTTCACCAGTGGTCAGATCGATGTCAATAGAGACCTAGACACAGCTGTGCGCAATTGGCTGCCGCGTTTCACCCACAAAATACACAGTCAATTTACTTTACAGTATATTCTGTGAAGCGCTTTGAGACGTCTCAATGATGTGACAAGCAACTATATCAAATGCAAGGATTATTATTATTATTATTACAGGAACTTAGCATCTGATGTAGATCAGGAACTTCTCTCACTCTTTGCTATTGTATGGCGATATTACAACTACTCTAATCCACTGCTCTCATGTTGTAACTTAATGGAGGCTACATGGGTCACTTTACAAAGAGACTGAACCAGGAATTGAACATATCCCACATTACAAACCAATATGACAACAGATAACAGCAGAACACTATACCAGAAAATTTGACGATAGCTTTGGCTCTCAGTTCATTTAGGCCGAGTGGTTTCATAAGCTCTGCGATTTCCTTCCAATCAGCTGCTCGAGCCACTTCAGCACAAGGGTATTGTTCCAGGAACTCCCACAGCATGGGAATGGCCTTTTTACCTGATATAAGAAAAAATATACTTCATTATATTTGTATTGTGCTTTTCACGTCAGGAGGACGTCCCAAGGCGCTGGACAGTTAGGGATCCGCACCCAAGTTGGTGGTTGGGATCAGGAGGGGTGGAGGGTCGGGAGGGTAGGGGTAGGAGGGTAACCGAAGGCGCGGTCGAAGAGGAGGGTTTTGAGACAGGTCTTGAAGGAGGCGAGGGAGGGGGCGAGACAGAGGGATTGTGGGATGGAGTTCCAGAGGCTCGGGCTTCACTTGCTCATATACATTTCGAATTAAAATGCTGATATATGATGATCAAGTCTCACCTCTACCAACCTACCAGAGGTTTTGTTGAGAAACATGGTTGCGATAAGAAGCTTCCATGGATCATGGAAGAGCGTCTCTTGCACCAGGTCGAATGGGGATCGAGGAGGCGTCCACTTATTGAATGCTTTCTGCCATGGAGGGCTTGGAGCTACAGAAATCCACCAAAACATTATTTCACCTGACAGCACAATTTCACAGCTGTAACAAACTGCAATTGGGGAAAAGATTTGATGTTTGTTACCTCCTTTAGAGTATTTCTTAGAAAAGTAAGGACTGGTTTTCCTCCTGTCGAGTTTTGCTCTTGGATGATGATTCTCTGTTTAAAAAGACAAGAAAGCCTCAGCTTAAGGAGCAGTGAGTTTACAAAGGAATGTACTGCACGGAAACAGGGCATTTGGCCAAACCAGCCCGTGCTAGTGGCAAAGAATGTTGTGAGATTTATAAACTGCAGGATTGCTGGATATGTAAATGAGTAGCATTTTTGTTGAAAATGCACCCCAAATTATTATGTGCCTGTGTTTGGGGTGGTGGTGGGGGGAGGTATATTTAAATTACTTTCTTGCCCTTCTCCAACCAGCTAGATCATCTACATCTAGAAGGTTTCCAGGGCTCTGTCAACGTTACTTTCATCTCGGGATACAGTGTATAGTTTGGGGTCACAACATGCCAAGCGACTGCCAGGATGGTGGAAGGCGAACTGGATGGACCTTGGGCTTCTTTGGCCAACAAATTCTTATCGTCCACAAGATACAAAATAATTTGAAATGAGAATGGAAAGACCTCATCTGCAATAATTATAAACAACATTAAATTATGCCGCATGTAATACCTTGGGTTTTCAGTGATGTAAAAGCGTTGCCATCCGAATGACACACCAATATTCTATTGTCCGAGTCTTCAGAATTAGGCTCTGATTTGAATAAATCTGTTTCCAAACAAAGTACACTTGGTGTTGATTCAGATTTTTTTCCAGAAATCGTTACCTCAGGCAATGACAAGGCAGTGGAAGCATCTTTCTGACTGATCTGTGCTGAATCCCTGTTAAATTCAGATGTCTCCAAGACAGCTTGTTTAGCATCTTCTATCATTTGTAATTCTGGTGTGTGTGGGGTTCCAGACAGTTCCTCCTTTAAAAGCTGTTCTCTTCTTTCTTCTTTATCTTTTTTGGACCTTTTCGTGCTCGCTGTCTTCTCAGCTTTGAAACTATGCTTTCCTTGCAGAGGCAGCGTTTCCTCCTTTTCAGTTAAAAGAGACTTTTTCTGCCTCGTGTTTGAAGACGGCTCTCTTCTGCACTTCTTTCTGAGCTTACCAAAGTCTTGCATTCCCGCACCTTTCTCGGATTTCTTGTTTGAAGTACTGCTAACTCTCGCACACCTCCGCCTTTTAACTGTTTGGGATATTGTCTCGGTCTCAGGCTTTTGCAAAGTATCCCCCATCTCTTGCGTTGGAACCTGTGCCGGAGCTAATGGAACACTGAAAGTTAATTCACTGACAATATATGCAGACGAGCAAGACACCAGTTTCTGAAGAGATTTTCTGTATACCTGCTGCCTGGTTAGCCGCAGTTCTAGAAGCTTTCCGAGTTTTGCCTTGGCCAGAGATAGCACAATTGGTTGTAATTTCATCTCCGGTAGATTGTTGAAAATAATTTGCAAGTTCCTTAGAAGATCGAAACCGCTTCCCCTGGGGACTAAATAAGAGATACTTCTTAGAAACAGAAATGTTGTTTGAGTATTTTTAATGTGCTAATATATTGATGATCTGAAGGCTAAACTATCACTTATAAAACTATAAGATGACCATTAAATTTCCCACCTCTCCCGACAGTTAACTAACAAAAGTAAAATGTAGGTAAGAAATTTATCTTTCTGATCCCTTTATTGCAGGATTATTTCAAGTCTTTGCACATACGGCTGCTTCTCAGGCTGAGGAGGGTAAATCTGCACATATGTGTTTTTTTCAGGAACTAGTCCAAGACGGCTACTTGATATTCTTGCTATCTTGTGTGATTGGGAACTGTCTGGATTTATAATAATAATCCTTGCATTTGATACAGCGTCGTTGAGACATCTCAAAGCGCTTCACAGAATATACTATAAAATGAATTGACTGTGTATTTTATATCTCACCTTACAATGTAAACATCGTGTTTTCCTGCTGACTTCCCAGTTTTTCTTTCTTTTACGATTGTCTTCCATCCTTCTGGGAGCTCTGGGTGATGATGTAGAGGCGCTTTGAAATCCAAAGTCTGATTTACAGGTCCGTCTTCAGTTAATGCAAAGTTTGTGTTTTCCTGGTCTGGCGATTCAGATTTCAAACCATCTTCCTTTGCTAAATCTCTCTGGAGGCAGTGTTCATCTTCAACGTTACCAGGAGGAAATTCCATCACGCGAATGCAAACTTCTTAAATGTTCTCATCACTGAAAATGGAACATAAAAAGTAAATCTGTATTTTGTTTGCAACTGTGGAGTCCTGTAGCTCAGTGGTTAGAGTTACGGCTCAGCACCTTGGGATGTCCTCCCAACGTGAAAGGCGCTTTCTAAATGTAATGTTGTTGTTGTGTGTTGTAGAGCACTCGCCTCGCAAGCGAGAGGACCCGGGTTCGATTCCCGGCCAGGTCAGGGCGAAACGTTGGGCAAGTTTCCTTACTCCACACACACACACACACACACACACACACACGCCTCCGTTTATCCAGCAGTATGTAGGAACCCGTTCGTTAGCCGATTGGCGGATCGCTTTTCCGGGGGAGTAATAATAATCACTTCAAAAAAAAATAATAATAAATTGGTGACTTCAACCCTCGGCTGTTTGTGGGGAGACGCTGCCGTGCGCAATCGGCTGCCGCGTTTCGCCCACAAAATACACAATCAATTGGCTTTACAGCGTATCCCGTGAAGCGCTTTGAGACGCCTCGAAGACATAATAATAAGGCGCCGTATCAAATGCCAGGATTGTTATTATTATTATGTTATCATATTATTATAATATTGCATTATTGTATTGTTATATTCTAATTATATTATTATTGTTATATTATTATATTGTATTATTGTTATATTATTATATTGTATTATTATATTATGTTGTATTATTGTTATATTATATTGTATTATTGTTATATTATTATATTGTATTAGTATATTATATTGTATTATTATTATATTATTATATTGTATTAATATATTATATTGTATTATTGTTATATTATTATATTGTATTATTATATTATGTTGTATTATTGTTATATTATATTATATTATTGTTATATTATTATATTGTATTAGTATATTATATTGTATTATTATTATATTATTATATTGTATTAATATATTATATTGTATTATTGTTATATTATTATATTGTATTATTATATTATATTATTATTATATCATTATACCGTTATCTTATTATTATTGTTATGATTATTAATTATAGTACCTGATGTGCAGTATTTAGTTCAGTTGTGGACCTAAAGCTGAGGCTGAAGCGGTCCGAGTCGGTGCGTTGGTGTCCAGGTGACAAACAGCTGTGTGACCTGACACTGTGAGCGCCGACATCTTGGAGGAGGAGGAGGAGGAAGGGGGAGGAGCAGCAGCAAATCCCGCGCACGCGCGCGACCCTTGACCTCGGTCACGTGTCAAAACCTCGCGAGATGTCACCGGCCTCGTCGGGGTGGGTTGGGAGGGAGAGTGGCGGGGGAGGGGGGGGGGGGCGTGGCTTGAGACGTCACGCGGGTGGGGAAGGGCGAGGGCGGGGAGGGAGGAGCGTGGGAAGCCTCACGTGAGAGAGAGGGGGCGGGGGGGTTGGGGCGGAGCGGGTGGGCGGGGACGAGAGGCGGGGCTTTGGCGGAAGCCACAGTGCGCAGGCGCCTCCCCACCATCAGCCCCGCCCCTTTCCACCTCCTCCCGCTCCCGCCCGCCCCGGGCCCCGCCCACCCCCGACACGTGACGTGTCAGTCCAATCAATCAGCCCTCGGGGGCCCGGGCCTAGTCACGGACGGAGGCGGCGGGTGTCGAGTCGCGGGTTGGTCTGTGTTGGCGCCCGGGCGTTTGCTCGCAGCACGCGATGCGGGCCGTGCCCACCTGGATAGACAGGGTCCACGACCGGGAGAAGGTCGAGCAGTGGTAAGAGAGAGGGGGAGAGGGGGAGAGGGAGAGGGAGGGAGGGAGGGGCCTCGGGGGGAAGCCATGGCTTTGCTGGTTGCTACGTAGCAACCATTGGTCTCCCAACGTTACACCCGTTGTCGTCTCCTCACTCGCCGCAGGGACTTGGCTTCAGCCGAGACGAGGGAAGCCTTGGTGGTTGTTTGCGGACTATTATATATATATAATATATAATAATCGTACAATAGTAATCCTCGCACTTGATACTGGTCCCATCAAAGCGTCTCAAAGCGCCTCACGGGCTATAGCGTTATCAGTGTAACGACTGCATATGCTGTGGGTGATACGTTCATCATTATATATATATATATATTAATTAATATATATATATACATTTTCAATTTCTCCAAACTTAAGTTGCGGACCGAATAAATCCGAGGCAGCGTCAACACATCCCCCCCATCCCCCCCCCCCCCACCGCCCCCACCCCCCCCACCCCCACGCGCAGGACCGTTTTCTTGTCGTCGTCCACCCCCGCACCGCCCACCCCCACCACCCCCACCGCCACCCCGCGTTTCCCCCCCCCGCCCCCACCCCCACGCGCAGGACCGTTTTCTTGTCGTCGTCCACCCCCCACCGCCCATCGCCACCCCCACCCCCACCCCCACCACCACCCCGCGTTTCCCCCGCCCGCCCCCCCACCCCCTTTGTATTTTGTCGCTGAAGGAAACCGTCAGAATGTCGGAAAACCCACCTCTTTCGCCCGCAAAAGTACACGGGTCAATTTCGCTTCACGCTACATCCCGGGAGACGTCTCGGTCTCGGTCTCGGCGGCGCGCTCTGTGTCAATCGCCAGGTTTATTATTATCAAACACGAGGATTATCGAATCCCCCGGATAAAATTTGGCGGTTCATTCGTGGGACACCGCTGCGCGTGGATTGACCGCCACATTCGCCTACAGAATGCACTGCACCCGGAATTTACAGTAAAACCCCGTGAAGTGTTTTGAGACGTCCTCACGCCCTGAAGGTGGCCGGATCAAATCAGAAGCTTATTATTAATCTTATTGTTGTCATTACTTATCAGCTCATTGTTTCTGAACATGTTTTTGCTCTCGTATTTCGGCAGTATCTACGACCTTGCATTCAAACCGGATGGAACCCAGCTGATAGTCGCAGCAGGGAACCGAGTTTTGGTACGTTCGATGTTTTGGCAAGTTGGTGTGTAACTTTTAAGTTGCAGGGCGAGGAAAGGGCTGTTCCCGCACATATTTTGATCAGTTCGTACCAACAACAAAGCGCACAGCTGGAGGAAGATGGGGTAGGGGAGAAGTGGTTGAAGAAGAGCGAGATTTTTAGATGGGTTTTTATAGCAGAAAGCTCGGAGAATCCACACCGTCTGTCATCTCATAACTTAGTCTGATAATCCAGCGGCGTGCTGGGGGAGCACGGCATTGTCGTGGAGTGCTGTAGCTCAGTGGTTAGAGCACTCGCTTTGCAAGCGAGAGACCTGAGTTCAATCCCCGCAGAGGGCGAAACCTTGGGCAAGTTTCCTTACTCCACACAGAGCCTAATAATATTCCCTCCAAAACCAAAACAATAATAAAATTGGTCATTTTCAATCCACGACTGTTTGTGGGACATTGCTGTGCGCAATTGGCTGCCGCGTTCGCCCACAAATATACAGTCAATTCACTTTACAGTGTGTTCTGTGAAGCGCTTTGGGACGTCCTCCCGACCTGAAAAGCGCTATATCAAATGCAAGGATTATTATTATTATTATTGTTGAAAGTGCAGTCCTTCGGATGGTAGGCTCTACACAAATGTAGTTTGTTGGTTTTGTTAAACTCCTCTAACTTAGATACTTCCTTTTTTAATTTCAGGTATATGATGCGTCTGATGGAACTCTCATTCAACCACTTAAGGGACACCGGGACACAGTGTACTGTGTTGCCTATGCTAAAGATGGTAGGTTTATGATTTAGGATTTGATGTAACTTTTGAGATTTCTCTTAGAAATGTGTGTCATGTGTGATCAAATTAATAGGCAACAACAAATTACATTTACACTTCGCCTTTCACGTTGGGAGGTCGTCCCAAGGCGCTTCACATTTAGGGATTTGGATCTGAGCAAGGGGTTGGGATCAGGAGGGGTGGAGGGCAGGAAATGTAGGGGTAAGAGTGTGGCCAAAAGCTCGATTAAAAAGGACGGTCTTGAGACGTGCCTTATTATAATACATATGCCATAACCTTGGTTCCTAATGAAATCTCAATGTATGGCAGAGTGCAATTTGTGACTTCTGGGCTTTGAATCAATCCCACAAGCTCGGCATTGCTTTATTCAATTGCTGCCCCCCATTTAATAAAGCAATCCCAGTCAAATCCACCACTATTTTCAGTTTGAAAATGATTTTAAACTTATATTTCGGTCTGAATGAATCCTTTACTTCGTATTAGGTAAGCGTTTTGCATCAGGTTCTGCTGACAAGAGCATCATTATCTGGACCTCGAAGTTGGAAGGCATTTTAAAATACACGTAAGCTTCTGTTTTTTGTCCTATATTTATCAATTTTCTTCTTTGATTTCCCCCCCCCAACCCATGAAGGTGTTTGGATTCCTTTTTCTTTTAATGGGGCAAAACAAAAACTGTGTAATATCTTGTTTATTTTAGAATAAACAGTTATTATTTGTAGAATAATTTTAGAAAATAACTTCGAGAAGTAATTGACAAGCTGGAGGATTTAGCATTGAATTGGTTTAATATCAACTTCTTCTGACTTAACTTCAACTGATTCTTTGCTTTTTTACTCCCTCTTTCCTTCTTAAGGCATAATGATTCCATTCAATGCATTGCTTATAACCCAGTCACTCACCAGCTGGCTTCATGTTCCTCCAGTGATGTTGGTAATTTTACCTTTTAATCTTACATTTATTAAATTGTCATAATTTCTTTTAAATATTTGCCTTACGATTGAGCCTTATTGTACCAATAATCTTTGTGAGAAATAAGTTTTTAAAAAATCAGAATTTTGAGTGGAAATTGCTGAACAGATAATTGATTCAACCACAAAGTCTTCTTCAGCCAGCGACAGAGCTTTCCGGACATATTATATCTATACATGCCCATTAGTGTTGCTGCATTATCAAATAGAAAGTGATCTTAATACAGATCAGCATCTTTTGACAAAGTAAATGTCTGTCCTTTGGTGCTTTGTTGTTTCTGATAATGGCACAAATTATAGTGCAATAGATTAGGTTGATACATGCTGAAATCTGGTTAATATACCTGTCTGTCAGAAATAAAGTTTTGAATCTACTTGATTGTTATGAATGTTCATCAGTTTTCTTGATTTAAGTCTAACATGAACACATTCGCCACTGTATAAGGAATAGTTTTATAACTCAGAGGGAGTTATTTTCAAATAAATACTGCAGTTGGGTCAGATGAATGTTTACAGAGCAACTTCATTACTGGACCGGGAGTTCAGCTGATCTTTAATTTAATCTTGCTTCTCGTTAAACATTTTAAACAACAGGTTTGTGGTCACCAGAGCAGAAATCCGTCTCCAAGCACAAAGTAAACAGCAAAGTCACCTGCTGCGGGTAATTCATTCTTTGTCATTCATGTAAACGCTTTTAATAGTTTATAAACCAAACCAAAGCTGTAACCCACAATTAGAAGAATATTCGGATGCAAGTTATTAACTGCTTGAGCTTTACTCTTCCAGTTTGGAACATTAACCCTGGAGCTGGGTTAAGCTTCACGTCAACCTTTTTCAATATATATTATATATATATATATATACCAATCATATGTGTATATATGTATATATATATGTAGCTTATTGGAGCCCCATAAATTAGATGTAATGTTGCTAATGAACTCAAAAGTATTTTAGCGATTATATCTCTGCAGCACAAACGAGTGACAAGTGACCCATGACAGCAGTCAGTTTTGGCTACTGGACATTTGTCCCATTATTTACAAGAATTGGTAGAACTGGCATTTAAATACTGTTTTATTGTAACTTTTAGTTCTTTATGAAATGCAATCCGAGTACTATTTCTCTGTACTTTTGCTAGTTGGACCAATGATGGACAGTACCTGGCAATCGGGCTGTTTAGTGGTGTAGTGAGTATCCGAAATAAGAGTGGAGAAGAGAAAGTCAGAATTGAGCGACCCGGTGGTTCCCTCTCTCCTATCTGGTCGATTTGCTGGAATCCATCCAAGTAAGTAAAGTTATCCCTCTCCAAACTCTACCAACCTAATGATTATTAGCAGAGTGTTTTCTTTTCCCAACCTTTGGAACTCCATCCCACAGTCCCTTCGCCTCGCTCTCTCCCTTGCCTCCTTCAAGACACTTCTCAAGATCCTCCTTCGATCGTGCCTTCCACCCCCCACCCTGATCCCAACCCCCTGCTCAGGTCCAAATCCCTGACTGTCCAGCGCCTTGTGACATTGTCCTGATGTGAAGGCCGTTCGTAGTGTAAATGTAATTTGTTGTTGTTATTTATGGAAACTGTCTTGTAAAGCCCTCGCTTCTCTTATATTCCTATTTTACACTTGTAGCATTTAGTGGAAGATCTTACATGGTCTGTTCAATGGTGTTCCAAGAATGAGGCATAGCGATAAAGATATCTGAGCACACTAGTGAATGATAAATCTTTTGTTAATCGATTTTGTTACTGACTTTCACCTTGGATGATCTAGGGAGGAACACAATGACATTCTTGCTGTGGCAGACTGGGGTCAAAGACTGTCCTTCTACCAACTGAGTGGCAAACAGGTGTGTTTTGGAAAAGCTTTACTTATTCATCAAATACGTGTTTTAAGGAATGTACCAAGGGACACTGAGAGCCTTCACTTATTAACTGCAATATTTAAGACTTTGTGAATTGTTTTCATATTCAAACACTGTCCTAGCTTCCTTTGCTATGTTGCTCTTAAGTGTGTTGCCTGGAGATGCAGAATATTATCATTGAGCAATTTTTTGGGGTTTACATTTTAATTAGCGGTGACCTCTGGAACTCTCTCCCTCAATCCCTCCGCCTTGCCCCCTCTGCACTTTCGAATCCCGCCTAAAGACCTTCCTTTTTAATCTTGCTTATGGTCACCTCCCCTTCTCCCTCGCCCCCTGGCTCGGTGTCAGACTCCGCCACTGTCAAGCGCTCTGGGACGCTATCCCCCACGAAGGGCACTATATAAATGCAAGATGTTGTTATGAACTGTTTAAAAAAAAGACCTAAAATAATGCATTTTTATTCCTTACTGACATTAAAATAAATGTCTTACATTTGCATAACTACAAAGTCATTTTTGAATTTCAGATTGGGAAAGACAGAGCACTGAATTTTGACCCTTGCAGTGTCAGTTATTTCTCCAAGGGAGAATATATAATAATGGGAGGATCCGATAAGCAAGTCTCTTTGTACACCAAGGATGGGGTGCGTCTCGGTACTGTTGGAGAACAACAATCTTGGGTGTGGACCTGCAAGGTCAAGCCGGACTCCAATTATGTCGTAAGAACCACAGGATTCTTTTTCAGCTCATTCTCAAAACTAACACGGTGCAATTTACCCGTTTTAATCTAACACATGTTTTTTGTACTTCACATCCTTCCGTTTCGCTCACGAAATACACAGCAACAAAATTACATTTGTATAGCGCCTTTCGCATCGGGAGGATGACCCAAGGCAATTGGACAATTAGTGCTTCGGACCCCGAGCTGGGAGTTGGGATCAGGGAGGTTGGAGGGCAGGGGGGGGAAGGAGAGAGACCGAAGGCACGGTCGAAGAATAGGGCTTTGAGACATCTCAAAGACGTGATAAGGCACTATAATCAAATGCAAGGATTATTATTACTATCATTATTCTATATTAAATTTATGAATCCTGATCCCAAGGCTAGGTGCAGTGCTGCGCCAATTTAGGATTCAGATTAAGATTTACATTTGCTTAAATTCACTTCAACCCATATTTTTGTTAGGTGAATAGGAGTGCATTGTAACTGGTTCTTGGATTGTTTTCAGGTTGTGGGCTGTCAGGATGGGACCATTGCCTTTTACCAAATCGTTTTTAGCACAGTCCATGGTTTGTATAAGGACCGCTATGCTTACAGGGAAAGTATGACCGACGTCATTGTTCAGCACCTCATCACTGAACAGAAAGGTTAGTCTACAATCCCAAGCTTTGTCACTTGCATGGTCTCGAAGAATTGCATTAATGTAAAAGCTATCGGGTTCTGTGGTGTATTTAATCATCTCTCTTTTTAGCCATTCCTGCAAACAGATAAAGGATTAGTCATTCCTATAAACTAGATACTCATTATATATCTGGATACTTTTGGAATATTCTAATCGATTTGTCTCAACTAATATATAACTAATATATATTTTTAAAAGCAAATTGGGTTTGATTTTTTAAAAAAAAGTATTCTGTTGTGATTGAACCAACAGATTCTGTTAGGATTTTTATTTGAAATGTTCTGTGTGATTGAGAAATTCTATGCAATGGGTGTGAATAAGAAGGGGTTTGGTTCATCTTGCATATCAGGTGTATCTACTCACATTGAATTGTATATTAGAAGTTACTTCAGTCAAATCAAACACAACATTGTTTGCTAATGCCTTGTACAGTAATCACATTTCACCAACACCCATAAGCTGTGTATTTACCTTTCTATAGTGCGGATCAAATGCAGGGAACTAGTGAAGAAGATTGCTATATATAAGAACCGATTGGCAATACAGCTGCCAGAAAAAATACTGATTTACGAGCTATTTTCAGAAGATAATACTGACATGCATTACCGGGTGAAAGAGAAGATTGCTAAAAAATTTGAATGCAACTTGTTAGTTGTGTGCTCTCAGAATGTTATCTTGTGCCTGGTAAGTTCTCAAGTTAACCATTTTATAATTAATCAGTCTAATTAATCAGTGCGGATCCCTGACTGCTTTGGGACGTCCCCCTGACGTGAAAGGCGCGATACAAATGTAATTTGTTGTTGTTTTGCTGAGTTTCTGTTCATAGGGTAATTAGAAATTTACATGTTTTTTGTAGTGAGAATTCAATTTGAACATGAAATATTTTTACCAATGCAAATTTCCTTTAGCAAAGTATTGCTGGAGTTTAACCAGCTAAAACTTCATAGATTTCCAATGAAAGTAATGTCTGGCATTCACTTGTTTTAAATGTTGAATAAAACTCAGGCAATTCATTGCAACACAAAAATTGTCCCAATAAAGCAATTCTGTATTCACAGGATTCACTGAATGCAAATTGAAATCTAAAACTTGTTACAATTTATTTTTCTAGTTGAGATGTCTGAATCACGCTAGAATAGGTGTGAAAATATGTTCACAGCTTGCTCTCAGTGTTTCAACACATAAACTGGGTCAATCAGTAGACATAGGTAGACATATTCTCATTAACCTCATAGACTTATTTAGTAGCCGGGCTAAGAGGATGACATATTGAATGTCACATCTCAAGTGATCTAAACCTTGAAAGAAGAAGGGATTTTGTGAAATAATTTTTCAGTTTTTAAAACAAAAAGGAATGAATCTTTTGCAGGCACATTGTTTTGAATTACACCCCCAGTCAATTCGCTTTACAGTATATTCTGTGAAGCGCTATTAAGCCATCTCGAAGATGTGATAAGGCGCTACATCAAATGGAAGGATTGATATTAGTATTTATTTCGGGAAAGTGAGGACCAAAAATTCAACATTAAATTAAAAGTAGGGTTTGGAACAATCTTTTTTCACATTTCTCCCCATCCCATGTTTGACTTCCACGTAACTTGTACAGGTGACAAATGCCTTGTTAGCCAAATCCTTGTTAAGGAAATTTAGCACTTCTGCTGACTGTGGGTGAGCAGGCAAGACGGTTGCTGTGATTGAAAATTCTAGTACCGTGCAGAAGCTTCTGCTTTTACTGAACTCATGATATGTGCAGTTTTGGAGAACCCTATTTACTTTTCTCTTTACATTTATTTCCACTTATTTTTGACTTCCTCTAAAGTGTTTTTTGTTACGAGTTCTGTTTTCAGCTTTGCTAATGACTCCAATGTACAATGCAGGAGAAGAGACTGCAGTGTTTGTCATTCAATGGTGTGAAAGAGAGGGAATGGCTCATGGAATCGCTCATCCGTTATATTAAAGTCATCGGAGGACCATCAGGAAGAGAGGGCCTCTTAATTGGTCTAAAGAATGGCCAGGTACAGCTAAGTTAGCGTCGCTTAGAAAGACTAAGATCTTGTTTAAGATGTTTTGATATTTACTCTGCCATTCATTATTACTATTAATATTCATCATGTTTGTTGCAGATTCTCAAAATATTTGTAGACAATCCCTTCGCCATTGTGTTGCTCAAGCAAGCGACATCTGTACGCTGCCTAGACATGAGTGCATCTCGCAATAAACTAGCAGTGGTTGATGAACACAACACCTGCTTGGTGTATGACATCAGTAGCAAAGAATTACTTTTCCAGGTGAGTCAGGGTGTCAGGGAAGAGATGTTCACCTTCTGTACAAATGAAATCCCAATGTGGATATTTGCTGCTTTGATTGATACCCGCAACCTACTTTCTACAGTCAATGGAATTATATTTGTGGTAATGAGGGTGGGTTGGAGAGAGGGGTGGTGCCGTTTTAAAGCAATGCTGCTTCTGAGGCATGATTCTCAAATCAGTTCTGCAAATGATCTGTTACTTAATTTGCGGATGGTGCTTTAAAGAGGTGTCAATGCTTAATTGGTACGGTTCTTGGTGATCTTAGCAAAGCTGCAACTTGAAGAAGTATATCTATTACTTGTTCAGTACAGCTATTATCAAATGTGAGTAAACTTTATTCTCATTATCAATTTGATGTTTTCTATTGTTTGGTAGAGTGCAGTGGGTGGGGGGCATGGAATATGCTGTCATTTAAAGTTGAGTGTTATAAATGCTACAAGCTGTCCATTTTGGAATTAATATTAAATAAAAGCCAATAATTAATTTCCCTGTAATATTCTCTGTAGGAGCCCAACGCTAACAGTGTAGCTTGGAACACCCAATGTGAGGACATGCTCTGTTTCTCTGGTGGTGGTTTTCTCAACATCAAAGCCAGTAATTTTCCGGTCCACCAACAGAAGCTTCAAGGTTTTGTCGTGGGCTACAATGGGTCCAAGATTTTTTGCCTGCACGTGTATGCCATGTCTGCAGTGGAGGTCCCACAGGTAATAACTCTTGAACAAAATAATGTAGCAGCCAGGATGGGGAAATACAATACTATAACACAAATTGATACACCAGTGGATATATTTGGGTTGGATTCCCCTTCTCTCAGTTTAAAGAGCATTGGGCAGTAATAATAATAATAATCCTTGCATTTGATGTATCCCCTTAACACGTTTTCTAGACGTCTCAAAGAGCTTCGCGGAACATACTGTAAAGTGAATTGACTGTATATTTTGTGGGAAAAACACGGTACTAATTTGGTTAAAAAAATTGAATCGACAATTTTTTAAATAAATACAATTAATAAACTTTTTCTTTTTAAGTCTGCGCCCATGTACCAGTACCTGGAAAAGAAGATGTTTAAGGAAGCCTATCAAATTGCCTGTTTAGGAGTAACGGAAAATGATTGGCGAGACCTGGCCATGGAAGCCTTGGAAGGAATGGACTTTGATATTGCTAAAAAGGTAACCGGTTACTGATATGCCTCTGTTTATGCAGCATTCTGGGCCGCTACGCTGCGCAAGGGGTGCTATATAAATGCAAGTTGTTGTTGCAGGAATACTGAGCTTCTTAAACAAGCTATGTCATTCTAATAGTAATAATCTATTTGATGTAGCCCCTTTCACATCAGAAGGCAGTCTCAAAGCGATTCTAAGGATATACTATAAAGTACAATGACCGTGTATTTTACAAACATACACTGCAGCCAGTTATGTCCCACAAACAGCAATGAATTGAATGACCAATGTTAAGTGGAAGGTCCTCAACATTGTTGTGGCTTCTGGAGGGAAACCCAGAATGGTTTTGCGGGTGAACAGCTGTTTGGGGGAAAAATTACTAGGCAGAAATGAGTAAAAGAGGATGCATAGTTGGAAGTACATTTTGTTATTAATATTATAATATAAAGACTGAAGCCTTGGACTCTTCAGTAAATCGAGAGAACTGTACCACTGGATGGCAGCAGAGAATCATTACCCTGCATCAAATTTTGCTTCTTTATTCCCATATTTATTTTAACAAAAGCCTTGTTATAATGAGTTTAAGGATTGTTTTTACCAATGTGAATCACCTGGGCTACACTACTTCAAAACTATGCATTTAACATAAAGCACAGCAGGAATCTCTGAATAAGGTGTACTGCAGTAGATTGTAAACTGTATGTTGTCTGGAAAGGTACCTGAAAGCTTGTCAACAGTATGCATTAATGTAGCTAAGGTTGAGAATAATGACTCCTGTATTTCCACTATGTTTGAGCAATAGCAGAACTGTTAACAGTTCCATCAGCCACGTTTCAAGACCTGTTACTTAAGTTAACGCCTTGTATTTTGCTTTTAGGCATTTATCAGAGGTCGAGACCTCCGCTATCTAGAACTTATTAGCACAATTGAGGTAAGAATATCACTTCATAAGCTTAGAAAATGTTCATTGTATGAATGGTATACAGTAGAGAGCCGATCATCCACACTAATTGGGACCAACCGGTTTGCAGATAGGTAGACACTACAGATAATTGGATATCACCCAACATACAAATTGGCTTCAGAAGTTTTTATTGTAGTACCACACACACTGTTCACACTCTTAATCTTTCTGTCTGTTTTTCTCTCTGTGTCTCCATTTCTCTCTCTCAGCCTCTCCTTCTCTCTGTCTCTTTCTCCCACTTGGTCTCTCTTCCTTTTTGTACTTCTCTTTCTTTGCCTTTTTCTGATTCTAATGTTTTAAAGGTTCTGTTGAGACTTCCTTTGATGTTTGTGCTATCGGNAGGGGGGGGAAATCCTGATGTGCGAAGCTGCACATAATGGTAAGAAACACTTGGAGCAACAAGATGCAAGATCGAAGCCTGAGAATGAGATACAGAATAATATTGAATCAAGGAATTCAGCTGTTTGATTTGCTGACTACAATCGGGTTGAATGGCTCAGTTAATGGGACATTGTTCACAAATTACAGTGTTGCTGATTTCTGTTATTGTCTTCTTTCAGTAGCCGACAGTTACTTTATGTTTTACTAGCGCTAGAAGAATTATTGAATGTGCTTTTTGTGTTTTGTTCCCCCCCCGCCCCCCCCCCCCACTCCTTCTAGGAGCGTAAAAAGCGTGGTGAGAATGACAACGAGCTGTTTTTAGCAGACGTGTGTGCCTACCAGGGCAAGTTTCACGAGGCAGCCAAACTGTACAAGAAGACAGGAAACGATAGCAGAGCGCTGAACATGTACACTGATCTGCGCATGTTTGAGTACGCGAAGGTGGAGTATTGCCAAGCCCGGACCTTTTGAAAACATTGATTTCTCTTACCTTTCCGAAAAAAAAACAAGTGACCTAGTTTGCAAACCCTTTGAAATGAGCTGGAGTTATTTTGCCATTCCAGTCAGATTCGGTTTTTTTCCCCCCATCATAAATTCTGTGACGACGAATAATAATAACCCTTGCCTTTGATATAGCGCCTTATCACGTCTTCACAGAATATACTGTAAAGTCAATTGACTGTATATTTTGTGGGAGAATCGCAGCAGCCAATTGCCCACAGGAGCGTGCCCACAGAGCGAGTGACCACATTATTTTATTACAACTTCCGCAGGATTTCCTCGGCTCAGGCGATCCCAAAGACACCAAGATGTTGATCACTAAACAAGCAGACTGGGCCAGGAATATCCATGAACCAAAGGCAGCAGCAGAGATGTACCTTTCTGCTGGGGAGCATCTGAAAGCTATCGAGATCATCGGTGATCATGGCTGGGTCGATATGTAAGTTGATGAGATGGGGTTATATAAATGCAAGTTGTTGTTGCCTTTGTAATCTGACTAGACCTTTTCAACTCTTTCCTCCCATCCCTAGCTCCACCATCCATATAAGCTTTAGCTGATCCTGGACTTTTCCGCCCTCATCCTTGCGCACACCAAACTCTGCCTTTCATCACTCCAGTTCTCGCCACCAGGCTCCACTGACTTCCTGTCTCCCAATCGATTGACTTTAAGATTCCCGTTTTCATCTATAAACCCCTTCAGGCCCAGCATCCTCCCTTCTCTGTGATCTTCTCCTGCCCCACTTTTGTGATTGTCCCATCCGTTTAGTTAACTCAGACCTATTGTTTGCTCGCACAGGTTAATCGACATAGCTCGAAAACTGGACAAGGCTGAGCGGGAGCCCCTATCAAGATGCGCTTATTTCTTTAAGAGTCTGCAGCATCCTGGCTATGCTGCAGAGACATACTTGAAGATGGGGGACCTGCAAGCCCTGATCCTGTTACATGTAGAAACACAGCATTGGGAGGAGGTAAGGATCAGCCACACGGGTTATGAAGAAGAACAGTCGCAAATTGAACACACAGCCCAATCCAGCAAGGGCCATTACATGCTGTAATAAAAATGCAAGAAATAATGTAATGCACCTTCCAAGACAGGAGGGCAATGGTATTCTTTAGTCTGGGAAGACATTTTAAAGCATGGTCTCTGGCTTTACATGATTTTACAAATCATTCAGTGACGCTGCGTGGGAACTATCAGTTGTGTCACACATCCTTAAGGTGATGAATTTGAGTTCTGCCAGTGGCCAAAGTGTAAGTAACCCTGTATGACAAATTGCATGTGATGTGATGGCTTTAATCTGCCGTGGCAGCACTTGATAAATTGAATTGTTCGCCAGTGAGAGGTGACCGCCAGCCTTGGCTTGATTTCAAATGGGTTTGATTCCTTATTCCTGCTCAGGCTTTCTCTTTGGTGGAAAAACACCCGGAATTCAAAGACGACGTGTATGTGCCGTACGCGCAGTGGCTCGCGGAAAACGATCGGTTCGAAGAAGCCCAGAAAGGTAAGAGAGTGGATTCCAACATATGCAGATAGCGTGGGAAATATCTCTGTCATTTGCAGAAGTTTTGTTTTTGGCTGTTTCAATTGAAATTGAAACTTCAATTCACTCCCCAACCCACTACCCGCTGCCTTCGCTCGATTGGCTCCGGCCTCCCGTGTGTCCCTCGTGCCCTTCCGTTCTACCATCGGGGGGAGGGCTTTCAGCTGCTACTCCCCAAAACTCTGGACAACTCTTCCTCTGTCCCTCCACCTTGCCCCCTCCTTTCCCATCTTCGGATCGCTCCTGAAGACCTTCCTCTTCAACCGCGCCTACGGTCACCTCCCCCTCCCTCCAGCTCGGTGTCAAGCGCTCCGGGACGCTATGCTGCGTGAGAGGCGCAATGCAAATGCAAGTTGTTGTTATCTCCTTGAGGCGGCTACAAGATTCAAACTCATCATTTACCTACACCGAACAATTAATTACAACATGGGACTTTTCTGCTTTTTTTTTAAACAAACAAGATGCACACAATGCCACACACAGTTGATGGTTTAGGTCATTTTAGTAGTGTGAATTGTCTGATAAGTTGCTATTGCTACATTTGTTGTATAAGGTCTGTCTGAAACATTTGCTTTGACTTTCCTTTGCTTATTGTCGCAGCGTTCCACAAGGCTGGGCGTCAGGATGAAGCCGTCAAAGTCCTAGAGCAGCTCACCCACAACGCAGTGGTAGAAAGCCGGTTCAATGACGCTGCCTATTACTATTGGATGCTGTCCATGCAGTGTCTGGACATAGCTCGGGGTACGTAGATCAACAATCAGATGAAAACAAATGGAAATTTTCTTGAGATTTTTATTGAAGTTCTTGATTCTTTTTCTTTCTCTCTCTCTCTCTCTGCAAAATGTCTATGACATGTCAATGGTGTGCTAAGGCGCTGTATCAAATGCACGGATTATTATTAATGTAAACTAGACAGATGCTCCACACCTCACAGAGAAAACAGATTTCAATAATCGCAGAATCTGATAGTCTTTTGTTCGTATCCATTTGCCTACAAACTATACAGTAGCTACACTTTACAGTAACTCCTGTGAAACAATTTGAGACATCCTCCCTACAAGAAAGACATCAAATGCAAGGATTATTACCACATTATGAGGTTGGGAGGTAACACCCCAGGAACCAGACTTATATTCTGCTCTCCAAGATGCGGTTGGTGGTGGATGCACTCAATCCACAACTGTTTGTGGGACGCTACTGTGCGCAGTTGGCTGCCGTGTTTGGCCCACACAATGTACAGTCAGTTCATTTTACAGTATATTGTGTGAAGCGCTTTGAGACAGTTCGAAGACGTGATAAGGCGCGAGGATTATTATAGGATTATGAAAGAGGACAACCAGCTATTGTGTAAGTTCACATTCAATTTGCTTTGAATTTGATGCTGGGAAGTAGCCTCAACTTTGTAAAATGTCTTAGTGTTGTGTGTACAGTGTTTATAATGACCTAAATCTTGAATGATTGTACGCAGAAAAAGAGGAGAAGCAACAAGAGATGCTGAAAACGTTTCATCATTTCCAGCGCTTGGCTGAGCTGTACCATGCCTACCACTCAATCCAGAGATACACGGTAATCAATCGATGTATTAAATCATGCTCCTCCCCACCCAAACTAAAGCATGTGAAGAAAAATACTACTTTATTTGTGCTGGAAAATTTTCCATACAACATAGCCCAATGAATATTGGGGTCCTGTAGCTTAGTGGTTAGAGCACTCGCCTCACAAGCGAGAGGAGCTGGGTTTGATTCACGGGCAGGACGAAATGTTAGGCAAGTTTCCTTCTTCCATTCACCTCTTTTTAGCTAAGAGTAAGCAGGAATCCGCTTGTTAGTTGATTGTCGGATCGCTTCTCCGGGGGTAAGAATCCTTTCAAAAAAAATAACAATAATAATTTGGCCACTCAATCCGCATTTTGCCCACAAAATATACAGTCAATTCACTTTGCAGTATATTTTGCGAAGCGCTGTGAGAAGTCTTGGAGCCGTGGTAACGTATTATATCAAATGCAAGGATTATTGTTATTATCTTTGTTACAGGACGAGCCTTTCAGTTCTCATTTACCTGAAGCACTCTTCAACATTTCCCGATTTCTGCTCCACAATCTTACTAAAGAAACTCCTTTAGGCATCTCCAAAATGTATCCTTTTATTGTTCTGAAAACATTAAGATACAGGTTGGTAGATATGGACCAATATGATATTGACATGGTCTGTGGAATCTACTCAATACAGTTTGATCTCATTTTAGACCCAGTAATGAGGTTTCTGCAAAGGCTTTAACCGCATAGTCAATACTATTACTATTGTGTCGATATCTGGTTGCAAACAATTTTTTTTCCACTCTTCTAACCCATTGCTTATGTCCAGATTCCTCTTTTTTTTTTTTCCGAATACGTTATCATAGATTAATTCTACCTTCAAGGGGAAAAAAAAATAGTGTGTACTTTTTTTTTGTTCCTTAACGCTTGACAGCAACACTCTGTACGCTTTGGCCAAGCAAAGCAAAGCGCTGGGCGCCTTCAAACTTGCCCGCCACGCGTACGACAAGCTGCAGGGCTTGAGGATTCCATCCAGGTTCCAGGAGTCGATCGAGTTGGGCAGCCTGACGATTCGATCCAAGCCGTTTCATGACAGTGAGGTGAGAAGCTATTATCATAGAATCTTACAGCACAGAAAGAGGCCATTGTGCCCGTGCCAGCACTTTGAGAGAGCCACCAACTAGTCCCGCTCACTCCCGCCCACCCCCACCCGCTCTTACCCCACGGATTGCACATTTTATAATTTATATCTGGTATTTGCTGTGAGGAGAAAGGGCCAAATCTAACTCTTAATTTTGTTNACTCATTAGACAGAAGTCGTAGTAATCTAAATCCTTTACGGTCCTAAATGTTCTGTGGAGATGATCTGGACACTTCCAGATCTCTGTCACTCCTGCAATAAATATGTAAGCTCCAGCAACCTGCTGAAACGGAAAGGAAGAGGGATAATGTTTTTGTTGTAAGATTTACTTCCTCTGGATAAAGTTCGGGTAGCCCATATTAAGGACAGTCACAAAATATCTTACTGGAATGGACAAACGTTAAACACCTTTTTCCAGCACTGAGGTCAATGATGTTGCATTGCATGTCCGTATGTTGCTGTGCATAATTGTCTGACATTTGTACACAGGAGTTTGTGCCTATGTGCTATAGGTGCTCAACGAACAATCCTCTGCTGAACAATCAGGGAAATGTGTGCATCAATTGTCGGCAACCCTTCGTCTTCTCTGCTTCCTCTTACGGTGAGTTTGTTTCAAGGCTATTCAATCTTTCTATTAGGCTATCTAGTTCTTTTTATTATTTTTATTATAGAAGCGCTTTGAGACGTCTCGAAGACGTGATAAGGCACTGTATCAAATGCACGGATTATTATTACTGTTGTAATGTTTAGTTTTGTCTTTTTATGCTGCAGAGTTTTATAACTCTTTGTAAACTAATAATAATCCTTGCATGTGTTACAGCTCCTTATCACATCTTCGACACGTCTCAAAGCCCTTCACGGAATATACTGTAAAGTGAATTGACTGTATATTTTGTGGGTGAAACCCGGCAGCCAATTGCGCACAGCAGCGTCCCCACAAACAGTATACATATTTTTGAAAAACTTCATTGGAGAGGACAATATTTCCAAGCGTTCGCTAAACAATGAGTTGACGTAGTCAGTCCTTCTGTGCTTCAGCAGTTAATTTTAATAAGAATAGAATGGAATACGTAATCTTATCCCAGCTATTCGCCATCAGGCAGGTTTAAGCATTTAACAGGATCACCACAGCTTATCGATTCAAATCCAGGCTAATTTGTATCAGTTATTTTCCCTTTTAAAAGTGAAGTTGTTGTTCTTATTCCTTTCCCGTCACGTACAAAAACAATCTAATTAGCACTAAGTAGAAAGTAAAAGTAGTTTGATTTTAATTTTAATTTCTTAAGTCACTCTGTAGAATTCTTGACTGATGAGGAAAGACAATTGCCATTTACAAAGTCACTTTCAAAAGTATGTAGGTTTCCTTTTCCTCTTACCTGCCCCCACCTATGGGAATTATGCCAAAGTGGTTATTTGAATAGATCAGCGATTGACTTAATGGTCTAAACAAAGAAGAAATGTTACGAGATTTCAAAGGTGAAATTTAAAAATCTATATTTCTACCCGTTTACTTCTGTCATGCGTTTCTTTCATTTCTAGCACAGTACTGTTGCATTTCGCCCACAAATTATACAGTCGGTTCACTTTATAGTGGTTAAAAAAAGAAAAGAAATTTAAAAACATTAACAATTTGGTAACTCAATCCGTGACTGTTTGTGGGACGCTTCTGTGCGCAATTGGCTGCCGTGTTTCACCCATAAAATATACGGTCAATTCACTTTACAGTAGATTCTATTAAGTGCTTTGAGACATCTCGAAGACGTGATAAGGCGCTGTATCAAATGCAAAGATTATACAACAACAACAACTTAGATTTATATAGCGCCCTCCACGCTGGACGGAGTCTCATTATTATTATTATTATTATTATTATCATTATATTGTGTGACTTTTCAAAATCTTCTCACCTGATTTATTTTAAATTGCAGGCTGGCTCTAAACAAATCCTGTTTACAATATAGAAATTCAGCATTTGAGTCGTGCATTAGTTGTGGCTGAAAGTGTTCAATTTTACGTACTGTGATTGTAGAGTATTGTAACGTCAGAGGCTGAGTGTTACAGTAGTTCACTTTGGCTTACCACACCGCGCTAAATCCTTTTAGTTGCCAGGATACCGATCTTCTAACTGGATAAGGTGGCATAATATCCTTTCAAACAGATCTGCATGACCGGCTGCATGGGATTTGCTCAGCGACAGGTCAACATGACATGAATTTCAAGAGAATCAACAATTCTTAGACTTAACTTAGTCCAAGGAAAATTTTGACCACAGAATCTACAGTCAATTCACTTTACAGTATACCCTGTGAAGCGCTTTGAGACATCTCAACGACATGATAAGACGCTGTATCAAATGCAAGATTATTAAGACTGCATTTTACTTTGAACTCTTACACTTTACAGCTTGGTGACATCATTTTTTTTAGACTGTGGTGCATTCCATACTGAATTTTAGGAAACGAGAAAAGTGGATACACTTTGGGTAAGAAAAGGAGGTTACGCAAAATAAAACTACCATATTGTACCTTCCATGTTTTTGATTCAGCAATCTGCACCGACTCTTTTGATGCCAGCCACACAGCAGTCAGGAGACTACAATAGTCTTCAGTATGTCTGGGCTGGGCTAGGAAGTAGGAAAACAATCTTGATTTGTTTTACATTTGGTTTAAATTCAGAAAAACTACAGTGTAATCTGACGAGCTGGACTTTGTTATCAGAGAGCTTTGTTTAACATCTTGGCTGTGTTTTACAGAGGTGCTGCCACTTGTTCAGTTCTACCTGGATGAAGGCATTACAGATGAGGAGGCCGTGGCACTTATTGACCGTGAAGTGCCCAGAGCAGAGGCAAAAAAGGACGGCTGGCTTGAAAACAACAGTGCTGGTGTGTATGCTTCCTTTTTTGATAAAAGTGTTTGAAATTTTGGGACTAGCAAGATAAACCCTCATGGACTTTTCTGATCCTCTATATATCTATTGGCTGGGTTTGCTTATTAGGAATGTCCTAATTTGTGTCCCAGTGATTCAAATCCAGCCTTCCAGCATGAGAATCCAGTGCCGATAGGAAAATGGATCACTTAACGTAGCCATTACACAGTCGTTTTTAATTGAACCAAATGTGCCCATAGTTATAAGATTAATACGTTTTCATGCATTAAATGATGGAGTTTGAAGAGCTTGCATTATCCTTGCACTGTTGACTGGAGGGTGTACTTTCGTACACAAAATATAAAGTCAATTGACTTTACAGTATGTTCTGTGAAGTGCTTTGAGAGGATTATTATTATTATTAACACAGTGGAAGTTATGTGCTCAATTAGAATCGTGAGTTCAGCCAACAGCTGTGATTGAGTTCGATTTTCTTACTCTCCATATGTGTATTGGAAATGTGTTATTCTTTAACGTTTTTTTCTAGATGTACAGACACTAAGGCTTGAGGATAACATGACCAAGGTTCAGACAGACCCGTTCACTGCAAAACTGAGTTTTGAGGTAATGGAACCTGCTTCTCGGTTGAATGATGTTGTGTGAATGAATACACGTAATACAAGCCCCGATAATGATTGTTATGGACATGTGTCCATTTCTGAACCCCAGGGACTACAAGCTAACTTTATGCAACCTAACCTCACACTTTAACGCCTTTTATCCCCAGTATCATTCTGGTGAATCAGCACTGTATCCCCGCCAAGGCCAATATCCAACAACAACTTGCATTTACAGAGCGTCCCTCATGCAGGTTAGCGTCCCAGAGCGCTTGAGTTCTTCTTGAGACATGTTGTCCAAAACTGAACGCAATACTCTCTTATCCACCACGCGAGTGACCGCCTCAAAAAAAGTCAACTAGGTTCGTCAGACGTGACCTACCCTTCAACAATGTTTCGTACCCTTCACAAATCCATGCTAACTCTCTTTAATCAGCTCATACTTGTCCAAGTGCTCAGTCACTCTGTCCCTGATGATAGAGGGTCAGTCACTGTACACCTAGTTGTATCATCGGGACAGTCTTATTGCCTGATGCTTTTGTCTTGCTGATGTAAACTGGACATTGCAGAGAGTAGGGATTGGCCCTGTTGTGTAAAGCTTTCTTTGAAGCCAGTTGAAAACAGGACTTGCTTATCATCTGCGGTTGGTGCATGTGTAGAGAGATCAAGACAACGGGGTAGAAGACTACAGTGGCTCATAGCTCACAAAACCACTGTGGAAATCAAGTTGCTGGTATTATTTACACAGTGTCATTGAATGACATATCTTTAGCTTTGTTGAAGCCTGGTAACTAGACTTATTCTAATGAATGTTTATTGCGAAACAAGGTTGTGGGAGTTGGGGGATGCAAGACCTGTTGTGCGTAACTGGACCAAATTTGAGTAGAGGAGAGAAGGTGAAATAAATCCAGAAAAATAAGTGTTTGGTTGACTATAGTTTGGTTTTAAAGCCGTATGGATTATGGGCTTTTGTCTGAGCTTTGTATGAATGGTGAGCAGTCCAATCTGATTATGACAGCAGATCTCATTGGGCTTTTTTTTCCCCCAGTGTAATTGAATTGCTGTCCGTTGCTTCTTTACAGCAAGGAGGCTCTCAGTTTGTCCCCGTGATCGTGAACAGGACAGTGCTGCAGTCAATGAGCAGAAGGGATGTTCTAATCAAACGCTGGCCAAAGCCACTAAAATGGCACTATTATCGATCGTTGCTACCTGACGTGTCCATCACAATGTGCTCTTCCTGCTTCCAGGTAGGAAGCTTTGAGCCGTGTCATTTTAACAACAGGATTTTACACACTTAACTAGGAACTCATTATTCCTATCAACTACTCAACCATTTTAAACATGCTGGTAAATTCAGTCAATTTGCTGGCAAGCAGAAAATAATTTCTAATAAGTCACAACATACATTACATACAGATAGAGAGATAGAGAGAGAGAAATTACAACTTGTTGAATAAGACCAGGATCTTAAGTACTGCCTCACACCTTAGGCGTAATGACTCCGGATTAGCCCCCAAAAAGTATGTATTAAATACACACACTGCCCACAAATATGCAGTCAATTCACTTTACAGTATATTTTGTGAAGCTCTTTGAGCTTAATAATAATTATCATTATTATTAACCAACTCACCTGCAATAGCCTGGTAGAATAACCCTTGATACTCAAGACACATGGAAAGCATGCGTCAGTATATACCTTGTGTGTTTGGAATATGTCTGACTGAATATTGAAGTGTCTGCCTAACATTGCTTTCACGTATATAAACATTGCTGTCTTTTGTCTACAGATGTTTCACAGTGAAGACTATGAACTACTGGTTCTTCAGCACAACTGCTGTCCTTACTGCTGCAGACCGATAGATGAGTGATGGTATGGCAAGAAAAAGAATCTTCTTACCTTTCCTTATGCCGGCTGCTCAGTGTGAAAATCTCGGGCTTCAGAATTGTTTCAGAACGTTGATGGTTTGTAACAGCCGTTGATCATTTTGGGAGCTGCTCATGTTATACCATGGAATTCGCACAGTTGAGTTTTTTGCCTTCCAGGACAGGTTCGCCTGCGTGCGTGGAATTACAGGCATTTTGATCACATACCCAGGCTTCCACTAGGATTTTATGAAATGAACTTCATAACTTCCGGGTGTCCTGTTTTCCCAAAATATTGCATTTTACAACACAATTGAGTGTTTTTAAGTATAACGCAGGAAAATAGAGCAATAAAGTGCGTGCCTCACATTCTGGGTTCATAGAGGGAGAGAGGGTGGAATTAGTTGAATAAAATTGGCAAATATAATAGCTGTATAATCTAACATATATTACCATAGAAATGCACAGCAAGTTGATCAGCATCAGAAAACCAAATAGCTTAAGAGTTTGTCTAACCAACTTCTGCTGGGTGTTCTCTCCCCCAGTGTTAGCCTCACTCTCTCTCTCTCATTACTGATTGATGTGTGTCATGTTTTCACCATTTCACTGTTGTCTATTTCAGATTTCCAGCATTTCTAGCTCGTTTCGCGTCTCCTTCACGCCACATTCTTAGTTTCATTGTGCTGGGCTGAAAGCGAGTATGTTTGTCCTACGACCAATATATTTTTCGACTGACCAAAACTGCTTATTCCAATAGTAATTCCTCATAATTCACAGGTGTTTGAGTATGGGAAGGTGGGGTCAGCTGAGCTGCATATGTAACACGCTGACTAGATATTCTGTACCTCGCTGACAGCCACAAATAGGAGCTACGTGTTTTCGGTTTTATTTTAGGTTCCAACAAATATTGAACCATCATCCAAACCTCACAGGGCAGGAGGTCAGTCAGCAAAGTATTTTTAAATTCTTCCACTTCTCTGTCTCTTTTTCAAAAAAAAAATTGCAACCTATTTTACAGCAATATCAGGTCAACGACAACGTGCATTTATATAGCGCCTCTCATGCAGGAAAGGGTCCCAGGTTGTGTATATTTCCTGCAATCAAGCAATGAAATCATCGCTATGAGTGTGTGAGGGAACCTCAGTCTTATTATACTGATGCAGTTTAAGCAACACACAAGTTTCCATATCGGTTGCAAGAAAAATAATCCACCTCATTTTCCACCGTTGCACCATTCATTCCCAGGAATGCCATCCCTCTGAAGGTTTCCGTTGTTCAAATTGACACTAATCAGAATCTCTTTAGCTAATGATAATAATAATAATTAGTGCCTGTCAGCGAGTTGCAAGGTAGTAATTCAATCAAATGGTCCAAATGATGTCAGAAAGAACTTTCATTTTGATAGCGCCTCATCAGGTCAAAGTCTCAAAGTTCTTGGCAACTAATTACTGTCCAGTGTATTGGCTATTTTTAAGGCAAACATGGTAGGTAGGTTGCACAAACCGACAGGAGGTTCAATGCCCAATTAACTTGGCAGGTCTTTGGCGCAGACACTCGGTAGAAAGTTCCTTCTCTTCAAGTTGTGCCACAAGATATGATTCATCTACCTCAACAGACCAATGGGACCTTGCTTAACGATTTATGTGACAGATGTCAAAGCAATGATCCCCCAGTCCTGCATACATTGCATCCCAAAACTTGCAGTCCCCCAAAAATAGCCACAAGCTTGATACATCGCCTATATATATATATATATAGTGTATAGTTTATAAAAAATAATGTCCATTTCAGCCTTACCGTTTTTGCACTGAACCTGATAATCAATCTGATGGGGATGTAGGTGCTGATGGTAGAGATCATCCCTTGACTGGTACGGTGGTGATTATCGAGGCATAAACTACACACTATGTATCGTACTTGTATAAATTTGTTCAAAGTGGTTTGCTATATTTATACGTCCTGTTTCAGGAATAAATGTACACTTTATATAAAAAATGTTTTTTTTTGCTATTTTTGTCCCAAGCGGCTAGCTTATTAATCTTTTCAGTCTCATGTATATACAAGAAATAAAGGTTGGTTTTGTTTTAATCACAATGTATTACTTACAATTAGAAACAGCATTCGGGGCAGCGATCGATCCATATTGGTTATTTTTCACATAATGAGTGGGCCAGTTAGCGGTGAAAAAATATTTTGAATTGTACCTGCTGAATAGTGAAGTAATAATCCTTAAAAGAAAGCACTGTCCACAGGTCTGAAGAGTCTACTTTGAACGGAAACACTTATTGACATTGTGGGATGAGCTCGCAATATCCTCTCGCAAGATCAGTACATTTGGTTGGTCCTTATAATGATGTGCTTCAAAACCCTGACACCATTCAGAGAAGTTATTCCCGCTATATCGAATCCAAGGATTAATATTTTTATTATTATGTATTAAAGTTAAATGTTCTCAATGCCTTCATGTATGCCGTTGAGTGATAACTGTTGCTGAAAAAATGATCTAAAAACTTAAAAGCAATCCGTACCTCAACACTGGACTGATGCATTCCGTGTCATAGAAGAGGAAAACAATATATAGATTTAAGATCAAGGTCAAATGGGATCAGACCTTCTCCAAACAGACACTGGCTCTTAATCCACTGGATAATCCTTGAAAAAGTGGTTGCAATTGTGCGCAACCTGATTGCTCAAAATTCAGGTTAAAAACTTAAAATTCCCCACCCCCTCAAGTCATCATCATCATCATCGTCATAATAATAATCCTTGCATTTGATATAGTGCCTTAGCACGTCTTCGAGCTGTCTCAAAGCGCTCCCATAATAAAAATAGTAAAACAAACTACTCAAACTAAGTTCAGGAAATAGAATTTACAAACGTTAATGGTCATTGCCAGCGCCTCTGCTGTATTCTCAATGCAGAACACACGTTTCTCTTTTTAAAAAAAATTCTGACAAGTAAGAACCCGCAATTCACATATTCCGCTTGTAGGTCCTGATGGAAAGTGAACAGGTTCGATGCTGCGTAACTTTTCAGGGTGTCACAGGATTATTTTCAAAGCCGCATAACGTCAACAATCGTAGGAATATGTAATAAATGGTGAAATTGCCGTTCATCAAAAAGACCCAGTGTCAGTCGTATATGACCCAAATCCTATGCTTTCCCTCCCTTGTGCCTACAGATGACCTATAGGTTTCCAGATGTGACTTTGACTGTCACTTGCTTGATCAGCAGCCAGTTATAGTCAGCGTCTCACTCAATTAGCTCTCAGCAGTGAGTATGGGATTATTTTACAAACTGCCTTTACACTAAAACCATAATCGGGTCCCTCAGTAATGCTGCTGTAGAGCAGAGCAACTTTGTAAGTGGGCCACCCACATCTTTGCCCGGCAGGAGAATAAGCCCACGACTGTTTGTGGGGACGCTGCTGTGCGCAATTAGCTGCCACGTTTCGCCCACAAAATATACAGTCACTACACTTTACAGTATATTCTGTGACGTGCTTTCTGGGACGTCTCGAAGACGTGATAAGGAGCTGCAGGCGGTACGATGCAAAATGACATTTGTATCGCTCTTTTCACTAAATGCGAGGATCATTATTATTATTGTCAACTTGTATAACGATTTAAAGACATTAAACGGAAATACCAACAAATGCTGAGCAGAAGTAACACGAAGCGACAGAAGGGGAGAAACATTTCATTCATAAATGGTGTTCACAGTAGTTGTTACGATGCAATAAAAACTCGTTGATTATTCCCACTCTGTTCTCGTAAATGCTATTTAACCTATATTTTCCAAATAAATAATGAAGTTCACCTGCTTTACAACAGACTCGCACTGAACGTGGAATATTTCTTCCGCACTTTACTTTTCGAAAGATTAAATATATTTGTATTTTTATGCTGATCATGCGAGGAGGGGTGGGTGTCAGCTCTGAGAAATAAAACTACTCGCTCTTAGCACTGAATGTCACATCAAGCATTTCTACGTACAGTGTATTGGGAAAGGCATATAATGGGATAGTTACAAAGCAAAGATATTTTTTTTTTTACAGCTCCTATTATCCATCAATTTGGTCCGGATTTGCACCAGGTTCAATATTAAAAAGTATTTAATATTCAGTGATGGCTGATCCAGTGGTAAGAAAGCTTAACTTTCACCACTGGGATTCATACATTTCTAAACTTAAACTTAGAACCCTTTGACTTAACCCCTTCAAAAAACGTTCCACCTTTATCCGAACTTGATAGACATCTATCTATTCGGAATGCCAAATTCACGTCTGAACAACGTGAAGAGGCTCTATATCAAACACAAGGGATTATTATTATTATTATTATTATTTCTCTTGTGCCCTTCCCTATTTCTTATTTCTGACGATGGTACAGAAATCTGTACACAAAGTAAGCCATTTAGTACGGTGGACAACAGGGATTTTTTTTTTAAAAAAATTGACTTCAAGGAGTCATTTAATATGTGCGTTGATTGCATTGAACAGATTTTAAGCGAACTTTTACCAGTGAAATTACTTTGGCTTCTCAATGAAAGGAATGCCGTTGTTCCGCGACAGGCAATACCCAGATGAATTTAGAATAAGGTGTGCTCCTGAGAGAGAGAGACATACCATCTAATAGGATGCCTGACTGGATGTGGTCCTAGTTTTAAAAGATATTGTTCTGCAGTACATTATTTCAAAAATAACTACTTAAAAAATCCTTTACCAACAGGCTTTGCGTGACGAGCAGGTGTAACCTTAATAACTTGATGAGTAGTTAATATTGCTGGATCCTGGCTGGATTATTATGAATTACAACGTCCTAAATCTTTTTGTGCTGACAGGCAAGGGCACGATAATCCAAGGCAATGCTTTATAAGGACTGCGGGCCCTGGTGGGGGGGTTAGAGTATAGCCATTTGCTCCAGGGTAGTTCCTAGACTCCGCACAGGAAGCTTGAGCTTTGCAGAGGGGAATCTTTAGTAGAAATTAAAAAAAAAAGAACAAATAAGTTTGTTTCTTCTGAGCTCCACTAAGATCTGCAACCATGAATGGCACGGAAGGAGAAAACTTCTATATTCCCATGTCGAACAAGACGGGAGTAGTGAGGAGCCCTTTTGAGTATCCTCAGTACTACCTGGCTGAGCCCTGGCAATTCTCCATCCTGGCAGCCTACATGTTCTTTCTGATCATCACTTGCTTCCCCGTCAATTTCCTTACTTTGTACGTCACCTTCGAGCACAAGAAGCTCAGGCAGCCTCTCAACTTCATCCTTCTCAACCTGGCCGTAGCCGATCTCTTCATGGTCTTCGGAGGGTTCTTTATAACAGTGTACACATCGCTGCACGGCTATTTTGTCTTTGGAGTCACCGGCTGCAACTTCGAGGGATTTTTCGCGACACTTGGTGGTAAGGATTCTTAGTCTTATTATAATAAGGCTCCCCAAATCTCCTCTCGAACGACAGAGAGACCGAGGGAGAGTGAGATATCCAGCCATAATTCCAGTTGAAGTGAAGTAATATTGAAGATCGTGTATTTCTAGTGGAGAAAGTATGTGTCTCGCTCAATGTCAGCTCCAATCACTCTGACTTTATTAACCTCTATTGATATTGGCAGATCACTTTGGTCCTGAGGTCTCTGAGCCGGGCAACGCTGACTTATTTTACTTTGCACTCCCAGATCAATAAGCTAAAAAACAGAAAGCCAAACTAGATTGGCTGATTGCATAGCATTTAATCCGTTAGTTACAGTTGGACCTGTACAAATGTCAAAAAGTGAGAACACACTGCTTATTATTTACATGGGCAATCTGACTCGGATATTTAGTAGAGTTTGTGGAAAAATTCATGGTTTTCCAAATACATTTGGAGGGTAATGTATTTTATTTTATCTTTGAGGGGTCTCGAAAACGTGATAAGCCGCTACATCAATCGCAAGGATTATTATTATTATTATTATTAACGATTGGATCTTCTTTCTTTATCTGGGCAGCCTTGTACGTACCAGAGAAGGCACCTTAAAGGGCAGGGAGAGAGAATAACAAGTTCCAAAATAGAATTTCCCTTAGGGGGGAAAAAAATAATCTTGACACAAGCCAAACATTTGGAAACGTTTAAGCGTGTTCGTTTATTTAACCGGAAATATTTTGGAATATGGGTTTTTAATTTTTTTTAGTAAATGGTTAGCTGAGAACTTTAACAGAATGGTAGTTTTTTTCAAATATGAAAACGTGGGGTCTCTTTTACTCGTCCACGACATTGATTGTTTTTCTTTCTCTCTCTCTCTCTCTCTCTCTCTCTCTCTCGCAGGTGAAATCGGCCTGTGGTCCTTGGTAGTCCTGGCTATTGAAAGATACGTCGTGGTTTGCAAACCCATGAGCAACTTTAGATTTGGCACCAACCATGCAATTATGGGTGTGGCATTCACATGGGTGATGGCCTTAGCATGTGCTGTTCCCCCTCTTATGGGATGGTCCAGGTAATGGCAGAGTTAAGAGCCAACAACAAACCAACAAACAAACAAACAAACAACAGGAACAAGTTGCATTTATAATTTATATAGCGCCCTTCAGAGAGAGTGCGCAACCCGTTGCAAAATCACACGGGAATTTCCATGTGTAGCTGTGACGCACAGAATTCTCACTTCTAGTTGGATACTCTCAAGCGCGGTGATGGGTTTCCGTATGAGTCAGACACACCCGTTGACCAAAGGAAGCCCACACCCCCCACCACCACTCCCACCACACACATGGCAGAAATATCAGGAGGACAGAATATATAGGAGACACAGAACATAGAACTAATTATACCATTAGGCTTGTGTCGAGCACACCATGAAATGCCACAAAACAATGTCACACAAGAAACAAATCACAGAATCATGGAATTGTACAGCATAGAAGGAGGCCATTCGGCCCATGGTGTCCGTTCAGGCTCTTTCAAAAGGGCTCTTTTCCAAATCAATCCAACTCCCGCACTCTCCCCCCATAGCCCTGCAAACTTATCCTCCCCAAATAATTATCTATGTCTCTTTTAGCGGAGACCATGGCATCATTGGCACCAATAACACCATGGGTTCCTAACTTGAGGAACATCTCCTGTTTTGCAGGTATATCCCTGAAGGACTGCAGTGTTCATGTGGGGTTGACTATTACACTCTGAAACCAGAGATCAACAATGAGTCCTTTGTCATATATATGTTCGTTGTCCACTTCCTTATTCCTCTCATAATTATTTTCTTCTGCTACGGACGTTTGGTCTGCACCGTCAAAGAGGTGAGAAAACTGTTTCCAAACTTACCTTTAACCAACGTCCTAACCTTCTGATACTAATTAGGTAAGCAGGGGGGCGTCCCTCCAGGGAGAGAGAGAGAGAGAGAGAGAGCGCATTCCATTCCAACAATCTCTCTCTGAGATTTCCACGTGTCGGTGGGATGTGTGGAAATCTCAATTTGGTTTGGAGACTCTTATGCAACGGTGATGGGTTTCCACATGTGTCAGACACCCCCGGCTGCCCCACATCACCTTTTCTGTCTCTTTCTCTTTTGTTGCCTGTCTTCTCTTCCCACCCCCCCCACCCCACTTCCTACCCCGTGCCCCCTCCCCCACCGCCTCACATGTCAGAAGGCGCTGTTATCAATTGCTCCAGGTAGATTTGAATGCAGTCGTCTAGGCCCCCAAACCGTCTCGCCATCACTTTGACCAGTCCCCGATTCCAAGACCGCGACTGCACACAGACCGGGCTGGGTAACGTGCGACCATCCTGTGCGTCTCGGTATCGTGTTCTGGCTCCTATCCCTCGATGCTAAGGTTCCGCGCAATGAGTTGCCATTATTTCCAGTGTCTTCATTTCGTTCGTCTCCTCCTCCTCCTCCTCCTCCTTTTCTTGTGTGTAGGCTGCAGCTCAGCAGCAGGAATCCGAGAGCACCCAGAGAGCTGAGAGGGAAGTCACCCGCATGGTCATTATCATGGTCATATTCTTCCTGATCTGCTGGGTGCCCTACGCAAGTGTGGCATTCTTCATCTTCACCAACCAGGGCAGTGAGTTCGGACCCATCTTCATGGCTGTTCCGGCCTTCTTCGCCAAAAGCTCTGCTCTGTACAACCCTCTGATCTACATCCTCTTGAACAAACAGGTAGAACCTCAGTTCCTTTGCCCTCAAGTCCTTTCAGCCGTCCTCCTGCCCTCTCTACCCTAACCTCACCACAAAACATGGTGCAGAAACTCGAATGCCACACTAAACAGAGAGCAGGATGTCCTGTAGCTCAGTGGTTAGAGCACTCGCCTCACTAAGCAGGAACCCAGCTTTTCTGGGTGTAAAAATTACTTTAAAAAAATTGATACAAAATTGGTCACTCAATCCGCGACTGTTTGCGGGGACGCTGCTGTGTGCAATCGGCTGCCGTGTTTCGCCCACAAAATACAGTCAATTCACTTTACAGTGTATCCTGTGAAGCGCTTTGAGACGTCTCGAAGACGCGATGAGGCGCCGCATCAAATGCCAGGATTATTTTTTATTATTATAATTTAGTATTATAACATGGTCACTTTGCATGTCCCTCAGTAATATTTACATTCACACAACATCCCCTTAAGGACTCCCTTCATCCAAGTTACAAGAACACTTTCATTACTCGGTTTTTAATTTTGCAAAACATTTTTTTGTGTTTACTGATGATCGTTTTCTGTCTCTCTCTCTCTGTCTCTCTCTTCCCCACCCCCACCCCTCGCCACACGCACAAATACACGCATTTCTCCCCTGCAGTTCCGTAACTGCATGATCACCACCCTTTGCTGCGGGAAGAATCCATTCGAGGAGGACGAGTCGACTTCCGCCGCTGCCAGCAAGACAGAGGCTTCCTCTGTCTCCTCCAGCCAGGTGTCTCCCGCATAAAACATCGGCTCTTCGAATTAAAGCAAGCAGGAGGTTGGTCAATCACATCCCAAGCCACGGTTCCTTCCAGCGAACTGACTGCGCTGTTGCTGCGCTGCGTTGGGGGTTTGTAAACGCTAAGAATTAAAACATTTGAATAAAAAAAAGTCGCAACGGTAAATAGTGGAACTTTTCAACTTGTGTGGCGATTATTTGAGCATGCCCGAGATCCACCCCATCCCTGTAAAGTATTTATGGTACCCAAGCTTTGTGAACAAACTGTTAAAGAATCAGAGACAATTTCTTGTTGTTGTTATTTGGAATTATTATTGAAACTCCCAATTTGCTTGTTATGAGGATACTGTACATTTCTGTGTTCAAGTCGGCAGTGGAGGCCTGTTTAGTTTCTAACGGTTTTTAAAGGTGGGAGATGTTTTTTTTAAAAAAAATAAAATCTTGCTCTTCCTCCCGCACTCTCATATACGCAGCTTTGCAACCACAGGTATAAATCTAGCAAGTGTTAGAGCAAACAACGCAGGTTAAGGCAATAATTAAAATAATTATAATAATTATAATAATGATGATAATAAAGAGTTTATTGCAAATGACAAGCGAGTCCCTTGGTTTTCATTTCCGCTCGACCTCTTCTCGAAGAGCATTTGATTGAAAGAAAATTGCAAGGATTTATTGAGAAAGCACAAGTTGTAGGAGCAAAAGTCCATCAAACAAGACACCTCCGGAAACTGTCAAGAATCGGGAAAGACCGTGACATGAGGAAAACTATGGACCTCCGAGGAAAGCTCCCGTTTCAAATAAAATATCGTCTTTTCCTTTCACGGCAGTTTTTTTTGATCGTCCATTCACCCAATGTTTCGTCGCAAATAAATCTGTTCGTGTGTGTAATGTTTCGATTCGCGCACGCGCACATATAAAAGGGGACGCAGAATATTACCCTTCCAAAAGATGAATGAGTTGATCTCATGCTATCACCCAACCATCTCACCATCGTTACTCGGTTCAGACGGTCCACAATGAAAGAGAAATGTAATAATAGCATAATAATGAGGACAATAATCCTGGCATTTGATACAGCGCCTCATCACGTCTTCGAGACGTCTCAAAGCGCTTCAAAAGATACACTGTAAAATGAATTGACTGTATATTTTGTGGGCAAAACACGGCAGCCGATTGCACACAGCAGCGTCCCCACAAACAGCCGTGGATTGAAGTGACCAAATTATTAGGATTTTAGAAATAATAATAATTTAATAGCTTGAAGGGTTAACTGTGTGTTGTTTCTGAAAATCAAATACAACACGTTCCCACCATCAGTGAATTTCTCCACCTGAATTTAACACCAACATCTCTTGAGCAGTGAGCAATCACAACCAGTTTCCATTGATTTGACTTTTAAATGAAATTTGTTTTGCCACCTCAATTAGCACTATCAAAATACTGCTAACTCTGAACACCCTCTCTCCATAAACCAATAAAGATTCTTTCTGTTTCATTCCCCAATTGGGATAACTGCCCACTGATAGGTTGGACTCACTGCTTAACACCTGATACAGAGCATTTTAGACAAAACACAGGTAGGAAACCTGTATCCAGACGAAGAGGAAAGTGATTATGCCAGCAAAAAAGGAATTAACAGGGACTGACCTAATGGTATCTGCTGCTGTAAACCCACAGGTTGTCACTGGAAGGAAGCAACGCAAATTCGGTCAAGGTAAGATGGTCTAAAACTTCTGGAGAGATTTGAGTGCATTACTAATCCATTGGCTGCTGCGATGTGCCCACAAAACACACAGTTAATTCACCTTATGGAATATCCTGTGAAGCGCTTTGAGATGTCTTGAAGATGTGATAAGGTGCTGTATCAAATGCCAGGATTATTGTTATTATTTGGTAACCTTGCTTTCTGCTAATGGGGCTTTGACTTCCTTTTTTAAAAAGACTTGTTCCGATCAGAATTTCAAAGCTATGCCACGATAACTAAAGTTAGAAGAAATAAGTCGTCCTTTGAACTTTTAGTTTTTATTAACAGTTTCCTTATCTCTCTGTTCCCTCCCTCCTCTCTCCTCTCCCTCCCCAATCTGGATTGCAGTTCAGGAAATTAACGATCTAGGCTTGACTAAATCTAATAAGCTCTCAATAAATAAGCTTTTGTATGGAAAGTACGACGGCTTTATAAAGGGTCAGACGGGAACTGAAGGTGACTTATTACAATTGGTGACTTCACCCCAAATGTTGGTGTACAACAACACACTGTAGCCATAGGTGTGGACAGTGGCAATGACTTAAATAACACTAAACTTTCCGACCTCTGTAAATTCTCAGCTTTGTCGGGAGTAACCGACTTGTATCTCCAAGTGGTTTTGTGTTGACTGAACCTACTATAACCATCAAAGCTTTGCTTTAGTTATCAATTGGCTGTGACAAATACTAAGCTCAAAGCCATAATATTTTTGCTTGAATTGGATATTTGGGCGTAGGGGCAAGAACCAAAGTCTGACCTTGTGATGTTAATGCCTTAATAGGAGGAGGCGGTCGTTTGTATTCAAGCTAAATTGCTAACCTTGCTTTGAACTAATCTATGGCAGGTGGAGTGTCCATTAGGGTCAAAGGGATCCTCGGAGCTTATAAACGCCCTCCCACAATGCAGATGGTGATTTGTGCCTTGAAGAGCAACAACGACCGAAGAGGAACCTCTGTCCAGGCTATAAAGAACTATATTCTTTTCACGTACCCAACCGTAGACCCCGTTCGCCTCAAGACCTCCCTGAAACAAGCCCTGGATAAAGGAATTAAAAGCGGGATCCTTGTCAGGCCTGCACATTCCAAAGCAACCGGAGCCACGGGCAGATTCAGGGTAAGGGGAAAGTATCTGCATTTGCAGCTCAAATCAATAATAATTTTTCGGGGAGGGGGGGGGGGCGTTGGTTTAAAAGTCAGTGTTTCTTGGGCATGTTTTTGTTGCAACGTCCGTGAAAAAAGCAAAGTCGTTTTTTTTTTTGGTTCCTTTCTGAAGGTCGTTTCCTCACACCTGTTTGAAAAGCGCTGAGCTAAATCGGACGCTCTGCTGCTAATACCCAAAGGAGGCAACGCATAATGTCAGGCTGATGTTTGTCTGACTTTCGAGAGGAAATCCTTGTTAGTAGTATTATCAGCTGATTTATTGTGGCGGAGGGAGAGGAAAGGGAGGGAGATCCTCAAATAATCAATTCCTTTATAAACGGGTAGCTTATTATGCTATTGACCTTTCAAACTCCCGTTCGCAAGCTTCCAGCGAAGAGGGCCGTCCAGAAATCCGGTGAGGACACTGGTGAAAATGCTGACCCAAACATTCATTCACCAATTAAGGAACCCGCTAAAAAGATCACGAAAGGGGAGAAGCCAAAAGCAAAGAAAAATCAACCCACAAAAGTTCCTGGTAAACATACTTATGTTTATTGAATACCTAAATCCACGCACCTTCGTTTGAAAGGCCTTTCACCTATCTGATGGGATCCTTCTGAATGTATCTGACTCTGATGTCAGTCCTGTAGCTCAGTGGTTAGAGCACTCGCCTCGCAAGCGAGAGGACCCGGGTTCGATTCCCGGGCAGGGCAAAATGTTGGGCAAGTTTCCTTACTTCACGCACACGCCTCTGTTTACCAGCAGTAAGTAGGAACCCGGTTGTTAGTCGATTGGCGGATCGCTTTTCCGGAGGTAATAATCGCTTTAAAAAAAAAAAATTGGTCGTTCAATCCAACACTGTTTATAGGACGCTGCTGTGCACACTTGGCTGCTATGTTTTGCCCCCAAAATATAGTCAATTCACTTTACAGTGTAAACTGTGAAGCGCTTTGAGACGTCTCGGAGGCGTGATAAGGCGCTGTATCAAACGCAGAGATTATTATTCTGGTATAGTCACTACTTTCTTTTTGGCAGGTTTATCCAAGGCAGAAAAATCTGAAGCCATGAGCAGAGGACAACAGGAGAAAGTTGAAAAGGTGGGTGTCTTTATAATTGAATCGTGCAGAATTGTGGGCGGGTGGGGTTGGGGTGGGCGGGTGGGAGGGAGGGGTGGGGTGGAAGCAGAGAACTAGAATCAAAGGAGGCAGCAAATCTCTTATAATAATCCTTGCATTTGATATAGCGCCTTATCGCCTCATGAGTCTCGATGCGCTTCACAGGGTACACTGTAACATGAATTGACTGTATTTGTGGGTGAAAGGCAGCAGCCAATTGCGCACAACAGTGTCCCCACAAACAGCCGAGGATTGAAGTGACCCATCTATTATTTTTTGAAGGAATCGTTACCCCTGGAAAAGTGATCTGCCAATTGACTAACAATCGGGTTCCTACTTACCGTTGGGTAAACCGAGGTGTGTGTGTGTGTGGAGTAAGGTAACTTGCCCAACGTTTCGCCCTGTCCTGCCCGGGAATCGAACCCGGGTCCTCTCGCTTGCGAGGCGAGAGCTCTAACCACTGAGCTACAGGACTCCAGTCCTTATGAGAGCTCGGTAGGCTATGCACGTGTGTGTTGATGACTGGTGAATGAACTTTAATGGAAGGTGCTGCTTATTGGAAGTGCGTGTGCGGGAGAGAACTTGCAAAGGAAGTTGTTTAGAAGATCGAGCAGATGGTTTAACGTCTCATCTGAAGGACGGCATCTTGCAACGATGCAGCTTTCCCCAGCACTGCCCTGGTGTGTCAGGATAGACTGAGTTCCAATTCTTCATGTGGGGCTCAAACCCACAATCTGATTTCAGAAGCGAGAGTGCCAGGATGACACTGATAACGCAGCTATATTTTTATTGCAGCAATCTGATCAGGAGGTCCCTGGGGTCTCCAAACCCAAAAAGCCGGCGAAATCCGAGAACGTCAAGAAAAAAACGGACAAGGTCAAATCGGCTGCAACTTCGAAATCCGAAGTAAAGACTTCAGAGGCTAAGAAATCGGCGACGAAAGGCAAAGTGAAAGGCAGAACGAAAGCCAAGGAACAATTGGACACAGTCGCCGAAGCCTCAATCTCGAGCTCTTCCAGCAAAGGAAAGCACCCAAAGGAAGTTACCGCTGCCCCCGGCAAACAGCCGATAAGAAACCGGAGTAAAAAGGAAGGTCAGGGACAGTCAACGAAAGCCTCTTCTCAGGATCCTGCAGAATCCGGTGTTAAAAGAGATGAGAAGGTGTCAAAGGAGCCGCCAGCTTCAGGTATTCCGGTCAGGGAAGGGGCTAAAAGCAAAGTGAGAAAGGGGGAGTCAAAAGATGACTAGGCTGATGGGTCGGGTGGGGATTATGGGCTCTTATTCTCGCTCCTTTTTTGTAAATTCTTAATGTGTTCTGAAAGCAGATGATGATGATGATGATGATTTTGAATTATGTTCATTTTTTTGTGTAAATTTTGTAAACTTCAATAAACTTCTAGGAATTACCCGAACAGCTTTTTTTCCTTCACGCACTCGTGTCTCTGCACTCAAACGGACCAATCTAGTTTTCGGGAAGAGCTCAACAGTGGTCACCAACAAGATTTAGGATGTAAAATTTAGTACTGTGTGTGTGTGTACCAACGCTGAGGTACACATTTGTAAAGTGGTGTTCACAGATATCCAGTAGGTGAATGACATTAACATAATAATCTTTGCATTTGATACATCACCTTATCACATCTTCGACATCTCAAAGCGCGACACAGAATCTACTGTAAAGTGGAGTGACTGTGTAATCTGTGGGCGAAACGCGGCAGCCAATTGCGCACAGCAGCGTCCCCACAAACAGTCGTGGATTGAATGACCTTATTATTATCGCGGTCGAAATTTGGTTAGGTCCTTGCTTGACACGACAGAGTTCCAGTATATCCGCGGAGGGTTAAGTACAAGAAACAAGTTTAATCAATTTTCAGACATTGATGCATTAAACAGTGCAAGTACAGTGATTTCTTCACATGGCACCAATGATGACCTCTGACTAATTTGTGCTCCAAGTTAATTTGCACCATTGGTCTTGATATGTAATATTTACATTGCAGGATCTCAAAGCAATGGCTCCAGTGTGGACAACAGAAAAACATTGGGTTATGCACTCTGTACTAAATCATACATTCACTGTTCTTTCTCCAGACCACTTGCGTACGTCAGTCTCTGCGAGAAGTTGATGAGACTGAGATATTTTCACTGCTCCAGATTTACAACGGTCCAGTTCAGCGCTTAACTTGTAGTGAAAAGAAAGAAAGGCTTTGCTACTCATTGCCACAGTGTTGTTTCACAGTTCTGACTGCAATGATTTTCATATATATAAAAAAAACTTACTGAAATTTTAAATTAGAACGACTAGACAAAGCAACATTCAGCTCCTAAACTCTTGCTAAACGATTTGAGAACCAATTGCTAATTTCCCTTCATCCTTTTTTTTTTTTTTTGCACCCTCACCCTCTCTTTCCCTGGCACACAATCCAAGTACGTGTTTGCTAGTCCTCTTCATTTTCCCTTATCTGCCCACGAAACAGGGTGGGCACAAATGGCTTAAGATGCTCTTTTTATACCACCTCTAATTTTCTTGTCAATGTTATTGCCTGAGAACGTAAAGCTGGTTTGCCTACTTGCTAACACGCCGCACAACCTCATACGCTCCAACCTATCCATACCCTGAGATTATCGGAAACAAATCTTGAATGTATTTTCTTCCTGTGTTCAATGCAGGACTGGATGCGAAGACTGGTTCCTATTTGAAATGAGTCCACTCGTGTTTATATATATATCTCTTAGAAACTGTTGGTTCTGTTGGCTGGTTTGTTTCCCCCCTAAACCCCGTCCAATGGTACAAGGTTTAATCAATCGCTCCTTGAATGGTCTCAGATAAACATGACACATCAGTAAGGTGATGCACCTGTAACTGGTGAAACAGGAGTGAGGAGTGCACGGCGGTGGGTTGGGGGGAAGGTGAGGAATACAACATGGTGAAAAAACAGTTCATGGAAATGACTGTTGAGGATGTGAAACATCCTTGCTGTAAACCAATTTCTGTCCAGAGCAGACCACGCAGGTTTCCTGCACTCAAGCCTCGCTGAAACACTCGTAAATATTGTCTTCCATCAGTGCAATAACCTGCTCGAACTTGTGCTGTAGGTGTGTGCGTTGTGTCATGGCGTTTGTCTCCAAAGCGTTCATTACCTACAAAGGGAGAAGGAAACAATAAAAGCCGTTTGTTTGTTTGTTTGTTTGTTTGTTGTGTAAGGCCGGTTTTCTAATCTATTCCTTCGGTGGAGATTGAAATCCATTTGCTAATCAGCTGGTGTTTCTTTACCAATGGTTCTCCCGCAGACAATTCACTTCACAGTACATTCTGTGAAGTGCTTCACATCTCAAAGACGTGATATCAAATGCAAGGATTATTATTATTATCCTCCTCGACATGTTTATGATTAATAAATGATATTAATTATTATTACTAATATGTATTTTGTGGACCAAAAGCAGCAGCCAGTGAAGGCTGGCAGTGTCCCACAAACAGTTGTGGATATGAGTGATCAAATTATTATTATTTTAACGAGAATAATAATTGAATAGCTTGAAGAGTTAACTGTATTTTGTTTTTTTTGAAAATCAAATATCACGTTCCAAGCATCGGTGACAAAATTAATATCTTTTGGAGGGATTATTACCGCTGGAAATGTAAAATTATTCATTTGGAGGTCTGAGGAGTCCAACCCTATCCTCTTTGTCATAAGTCGCTGGGAACACTCAGCATTTTCCTTTTCCTTTCTCCATAGATGCTGCCCGACCTGCTGAGTGTTCCCAGTGACTTCTGTTTTGGTTTCGGATCTCCAGCAGCTGCAGTACTTCGGTTTTTCTTCTCTCTTTTCATTCTCGTTCAGCCCATCTAAGATCTCCAAAAGGGTTTAACCGAGCACAATGTAAGTCAACACTGGGAAAGAACTACCGGTAGAAATGTACTCACTTGAGTGCGATATCGCTTGGCGTATTCATAGATTTCAGCCATGGCAAAATTGGAGTTAAATTCATTCCTGTAGGCCTGTAAAACACATTTAAAAATCAGATGCAAGACTCACTGATGCTTTTATTGTTTTGAATGCTTCCTATTTGCCCCCTCACCCACTCCCCAAGGTGAGTAGTTTTAGTAATTTGGGAGTTTGGGAGATTCAAACCCTGTTAATAGAAACAAGAGTGTTGGAGCTTAGTTGAGGTCTCAAGTGATGAGACAGTAATCTCTACAGTCTCACCTCTTACCCCTCGATTGGAACAAGAACCTGGGAAGGTGCTCTATCATTGGAGGACCTCTAACTCCTACTTATTCTCTGTTCCATGAAACAACCTCTTTTTATCCTTGTAATCCGCTCCCTTCCAACATCCCCCCAGTTCTGACGAAAGGTCAATGACCTGAAACGTTAACTCGCTTTCCTCTCTCCATAGATGCTGCCTGACCTGTTTCGTGTTGTTGTTGTTGTTTTGCTAGTGCCATGCTCCAGTGGTGTCACTTATGTAAAAGCGCTCTGGGACTCCATCCTGTGTGAGGTGTGGGTGGGGTGGGGGGGGCTATAAAAATGCAAGTTGTTGTTGTTGACTTAAGTAATACTGACCCGGGATTCTTCTGCCAAGTGAGCATTCATTTCCTGTTCGCTGAGTGTCACCATTTTCTGGATGTCGCTGTAATATCTCTGGACCACTTTCTTGTACTCTGGGATTTCTTTGGCGTACAGAAGCTTATTCGTGGGCGAGTCCTTTTTAACATTAAGAAAAAGAGAGTTTCAAATGACAATAAATATTCGAATCCACAGTTTCGCTCTGTGTTTCAGGCCTTTACTCCGCTCAGCGTTATTTCCTTTCGATAATTCTTTTCACGAATACCCTGTGAAGTGGAACGAACTGATGCAATAACAGAACGGTGGCCTCGAGTGCTAGCGTGCAGGTTTGCAACAACCCAGCAATCAGTATTTCCTTCCTTTGTGGGACCATAGATCCTAAATGTCTTCCTTCTGCACAATGACCTATATATGGCCCTCCGCCCTACTGATGAACCAAATTACCCTGAGCCAGCTCTGTAGAGAGACCCCAGTTTGGATAGGAAGAAGGTATTACTTACTGTGAAATATAAACCATTGTTTTTTGATGTTTCAGTTCATGAGGGCATCTGACAATACTTTAGAAGTTATATTTTTATGTTACGCAGATCACGCCATGTCAGGAATACTTTACATATTTTCCAGCACCGTGCCTTAAGCCTTAAGGAATCAACAAATTGAATAAATCTCTGCTTAACAATTATGGAGATGCAAATAAATGTTCCACCGAACAAAATAGCTTCATTGCTGTTGCAGGAACATAGGAACAGGAGGAGGCCATTCGGCCCCTCAAGCCTGTTCCACCATTCTATGGCTGATCTGTACCTCAACTCCAATTACCCGACCTCGCCTCCTATCTAGAGTTGTCTGTGGTGGGGAGGGTGATGGTTGAACGGAAAGCTGTGGGCTTAGAGAAGTACAGATAATCTTCAGGTTTTGTTCAATTAGCATTGAGGTGTATCAAATGGATAAACCATTAATAATCCCCTCAATCGGATGCCTGAAAGGCTGGTGGAAACACATTCAATAACAACTTTCAAAAGGGAACTGGACAGGTAGATGAAAAGGAAAACATAGCAGGGAAATGGGGAAAGAGCGGGGGAGTGGGACTGATTGGGAAGCTCTGCCAAAGAGCTGGCACAGACCCGATGGGCTGAATGGCCTCCTTCTGCGCTGTAAGATTCCATGATTCCTGTTTACAGCTTATTCTGCGCGTCATATTGTTGGAGAGGGCTTACCTTGCCCAGTTGTAGGTCTGAGATGGAACATGCATCGATGAAGGCCTGAGCTATGACGGACAGACAGGCGTCCATGTGATCCGTCTTCTCCACATCGAACACAAACTGCGGGTTCTTCAGAATATTCACCCAGAACCGCAACGGCAAACTGGGAGGCACAAGGAGCAACAGTACGCAAATAATTCGCACGTGGAGGTGTTTAACTTTGTGTGAGTAGCAAAGTAATGTTTAATAATAATAATAATCCTGGCATTTGATACGGCGCCTCATCACGTCTTCAAGACGTCTCAAAGCGCTTCACAGGATACGCTGTAAAGTGAATTGACTGTATATTTTGTGGGCGAAACGTGACAGCCAATTGCACACAGCAGCGTCCCCACAAACAGCCGTGGGTTGAGTGACCAAATTATTATTATTTTCACATTATTTTTGAAGGGATTATAAAGCCCCAGAAGAGCAATCCGCCATCGACTAACAACTGGGTTCCTTCTCACTCCTGGGTAAATACAGGCGCGTGTGTGTAAAGTAAGGAAACTTGCCTAACATTTGGCCCTGCTCGGGAATCGAACCCGGGTCCTCTCGCTTGTCAGGCGAGCGCTCTAACCTGTTTGTTTTCCAGATATGAAGGGTGTCCGGGTCGATGATGCCTCTCATCTCCGCTTGCTCTTCCAGGAAGTCGAAGAAGTATTTCACAGCGTAGGGAGGTCTCTCTAAGGGGATGCTCAGGATCGCTCGGAATAGATCGTCCAAAAACTTCTGCAACGTGCCCTGAGACAGGAACAGCCACAAGAGGACAGAATGAGAGGAGGACACAATCCTGTATCGCTTCCCTGACCCAGTCTACAGCAGACTCTTCGAGGTCCCCAAAACGATGTAGAAACTCGCTCCACAACCATCGAAATTCCCTCGCCCTGCACCAAATCCTGAAAGTCCTCACCTTGGTGGAGAGTAGCCTCGTCAGGTAGATCTCGGGAAGCACTTTCTTCTGGTGGCTGTGTTTATGCGACCTTTTGCTATCGTTCATCTCATCGTGAGGGAGACCCTGGTTGAGAAAGACGGAGGGCAAGGTCACATTCCAGGACAGGCGGGTGTGAGGTTTGTGCCCTCCTTGTGCTACTTACTGCTCTAGAGTTTGGTTCACGTGACAGAGTGGTACCTCTGTCTGTCTCTGTCTGTCTCTGTATGTCTCTGTTTCTGCCGGTCTCTGTTTCTGTCGGTTTCTGTCTGTCTCTGTCTCTGTCTGTCTCTCTTTCTCCTCAGCCTGGATGGAATTGGATGCAGATCTTTTCATTTCTCTATTGCAAACCATTGACGCTGTCCATCCATTGGTGAGGGGCAGATTACAAAGCCTGACTTGAAGCATTCAATGGCTTCTATGATCAGCCACTAGGAGATGCTATCGTTTAGCACCAATATTGTTGCTAATCCACCCGACCTGCAATGGTCGTCTTGAAATCGAGACATGAAACACACGGAGAACGGAATACACAGAAATAAAGGAACTGTTACTCACTAAGTGGAAGTATTTGTCGGTGTCCAAGTCTTTCACTGTGGAATACAAACATATTTTAAATATTTTAAACCACACGAGAAAAAAATAACAGTCGATGATTCATAAAAATTTCGGCCACAAAATATACAGTCAATTCACTTTACAGCAATGTTTTGTGAAGCGTTTTGAGACGTATCGAAGATGTGATGAGGCGCTATATCAAATGCAATGATTATTGTTACTATTATTATTAAAATTAGCAGACTGTTCTGCGAAATAAATTATTATTTACAAATTATTAACAAAGGCGTCTTTAATTGCCCGTGCTTTATCAATCGGAATATATGCAGAATATGATGTTATAATAATATATCATTGAGCACTGGGTTAAGGCAGGTCCCAGCTGGCAGTGTGGTCAATCTGCGCTCACGCCACCGATAGACCGAAGATGAACGAGTGAAATGCCATTGAGAAAAAGGCCGGCAGAATAGAGATCAAACGATACCTACCTCTTCCAAGTGTGCCGTCCCACTTGTCTTTCAGGCTCATGGCTAGTGATGCTCCATCGTGGACCTGGGTGTAGTGGAAATATCCGAAAGCGATCGTTAATCTTGGTATCAGTGTGTGATATAACATAAGGCAATGGGCAGCCTCGCGTCAGGGCAGAGACTGCTAACCCTCAACCTTTCATCTCCCCTCCAACGCAAACACCTTATCTGCTTTTCTTGGTTTGTGATTATTATTTCGCCCACAAAAATACACAGTCAATTCGCTTTAGAGCGAGTTCTAAAGTGGAGCGCTTCGAGACGTCTCGAAGACGTGATGAGGCGCTGTATCGAATACAAGGATTATTATTATTATTATTAATTAGAAATGCAAGTTGTTGTTATTGTTGACGACAAAGAGGACCGCCCTTCGCCCACCTTGTAATGGGAAATCGTGTTGAGTTTCTTTCGACCGTCCTCATTGAATGACGTGTTATCCAGGTCCCGCAGTATCCAGCTGTCGGTGCTGGAGGCAAACCATTCTGTATCAACGGAGAAGAACATAAGAATTTCTCAGGTGAAAGAAGACCGAGGTGCATCTAGTTCACCTTCCACAACCACTTGACGCGTCATGTCCCAAACTATACACTGTATCTATCCCCAGATATTATTTTCTAGCAGAAATCCATCTGATTTGTTCTTGAAACAAATGACATTTTCCTTGGAAAACCAAGTGGACTCTGTCCATAGCGTGTTTCCATCAGCATTTGTGAGGATTCCAGCTGACAGTTCTTTAAAGTACACAGCAATTCAGAGACGTGCTCACAGTAAGGTCTATCATATTTACATACACACAAAATACACTCCTTCCAGTTGCATCGATATCTGTACAGGAACAGTACACAGCCAACAATTATCTCAGTTCCGTTGTGTTCATGCACATCAGTTGGGCAAAAGGAAGCGATTCACACTGTCTGACATTGTATGCCTCAGTGTTGACTCCTATAACATATGTACTGGATAAGCACTTTGAGACGTCTCGAAGACGTGATGAAATCAAACGCAAGGATCATTTATTATTTATTATAAGAACATAAGAGTTTGCTAGGCAAATGAAGACCGAGGTCCGTTTAGTTCGCCTTCCACCATCCTGGCAGTCGCTTGAACTACCACTCACCAACTGAGCCAGGCCGACACACAAGAGCCAAAAGGCAAAATACTGGAAATCTGAAATAAAACAGAAGTCGCTGGGAAAACTTAACAGGTCAGGCAGCATCTATGGAGAGAGGCAAGTGAGTTAACATCCCCCAGGTCTGATGAAAGGTCATCGAACTGAAACATTAACTCACTCTCCTCTCTCCATAGATGCTGCCTGACCTGTTGAGCGTTCCCAGCGAGTTCTGTTTTATGACACACAGGAGACTTGGGTGAAATGAAGGGAGAACAGTCTACCCAATGTATTCAGCTGCCGCTATGTCGCCTATCTTAAAAGTAAAATGAAGCATAAATTGCTTATCTTACCCAGATCAACATCTTCTACCCTAGGCCACTGGGAGTAAGGCACATTCTTGTAAAATCCTTCCAGCATCTTCTCCTTTACCTGGCTGATAGCGTCGCTGTCCATCACTCGCACTGTGAGGGAATCCATGCCACATCCTTGGAAGGAGACATTCAAGTTCTGTTGGCAGATGACGGTTATACAAGGAATGATATCTTTACCTTTCCCATTTAGCCTCTTTCCCAGACCCTCGCTAGTAGGAGTTCTGGAACTCTCTCCCTCAATCCCTCTCTCCGCACTGCCGAATCACAACTTAGGACCTTCCTTTTTGATCGTGCTTACGGTCACCTCCCCCCACCCCCCTTCTCTCCCTCTCCCCCTGGCTCGCTGTCAGTCTCTGCCACTGTCAAGCGCTCCAGGATGCTACCCCATGTGAAGGGCGTTATATAAATATAAGTTGTTGTTCTGCAGTGATCTACCTTCCTCCACTGTGCCAAGCCATCTTGTCCTCAATAAAGCCTCAGATGCTATCCTGTCTCACGCGATCACAAGAGAAGTGTGGATCAAGATGGCTTTTCAATGTGTTTGATTTTATCTTTCCAAGAAAATTGCCCCAACCATCCTGTCATTTCAGCCTGTTAAATGTCAATCTCTTGGCCTCAACCCCCCCTTTCTGATAAGCTGATCCAACTGATGATTACTCTCTGCGTAAAGTCCATTCACTTTACAGCGCTTTGAGATGTCTCAAAGACGTGATAAGGCGCTGTATCAAATGCAAGGATTATTATTAAAGGAATCATTCCAGGCGTCTGTCTTAAACTTGCTCAAGTCAGTACTGCATCTCTGTCTTCTTGCTTCACTGCCTTAGATTATATGAAAGTATTGTTCTAAGTTTATTTTCTTTACCCTTTTGGAGTATCAGCCTGAATTCAAACTCCCAATACGTAAATTGAGCCCACAACTTTATGACTCAGGAATGAGAGTGAGAGTGAGCCCATCCCTGAAAGGGAAGTGAGAACCAGAGTGGCTTTTGTGTGTAGTTGTTATTCCTATTAATAGAGGAATGTACCCCACGAAACTGGGAAATATGAAACATTACTACTTCATAATCCAAATGCCATTCTTACTGTGGGTTTCGCTTCAATGTTCTCTCTTAGAAGCCATTCTTCGTTGAGGGTGTATCTTGCCTTCCCTGTGATGGCATCCACCGATCCTTTGTTAATTTGCTGCTTCATGGCGCACAGCAATAGGAAGAAAGGCTCCCCTACAGTCTCCTGTAACAGCAGGAACAGTGGGGTGAGAAGCACGGTCAATGCCAACATGGAAGGTCTGTTGTTACGTCGCAGTGTGAGTTACATGGATCAGTGTCACTGTAGTATGGTGTGGTGCAATGATGAGGAATGACAGTGAGTAGACACTATCACATAACATAAGAACTTCCTAGGCCAAAGAAGACCAAGGTCCATCCAGTTCACCTTCCACCAACCTGGCAGTCGTTTGACATGGGACGAAAGGAAGTTATAAGCAAGTGGACCTGACATTTCTGGGCAAAAGACCCTTTGGGAGGACTGTAGACGAAGGGACATGCGGTGGCAAAGTGAGACTTAACATGAATAAGGGGTAATAGACACTTGGAGTGTGGTTGATGGAAAGGCCAACGGTTGAAGCTGTACCTTCAGGAAGCGGTACATGCAGATGGACATCCAGTTGGTGAGCATCTTCTCCACCACCGACTCCGTCCTCCGCAGCATCAGCTTTGGGTTCTTGGAGGCAGAGGCATCGATCAGGTCCACCAGCAGGTCCTTCATGATGCTGGTGTAGTACTCGAGCTTCCCATGTAACGCGATGGTCAGCAGCGATGCTAATTTACATCTGTCCAGGCAACCAACAGGGCGGCAATTACAATCACTAACCCCACTAGAATTCCAACCATCCTTCCATCTACCCTTTACCCAGCCAAGGCTATTGTGCCATCTTCCCATCAAATGTTGTGCCTTTGCTGCTGTGTGATCTGCCCTCTGCAAACGACATTCCACCCGCCTCTGTTTACCCGGCAGTAAGTTGTAACCCGGTTGTTAGTCGATTGGCGATTCACTTTTCCAGGGGTAATAATCCCTCGAAACAAAATGAAACAATTTGGTCACTCCATTCACCACTGTTTGTGGGACGCTGCTGTGCGCGACTGGCTGCCGCGTTTCGCCCACCAAAACACGCAGTCACTACACTTCACTGTATATTCTGTGAAGCGATTTGAGACGGCTCGACGATGTGATAAGGCTCTATCTCAACCTATATTCTCAATGTCAATTCAGTAAGTGGCATAAAGAATTTCACTTGGGAGTGTCATTTAACCTGTGCTGTACTTGATCTAAGATTGCTTGGATGGGTCATTGAGGGAGGAATTTTCATCCCAATATATGATTAGATTTGCAATGTGGGTGCAGCAATGCTACTGTTCCCAAAGGATGAAGAGAATAACCAGAGGTGCTGCTCTTGAACTGAATGATGAGCAATGTTGCCTCTTAGCCCCTCCATCCCAGCACAGGAATGAGCAATAGTTACCTGTCTCTCACTGCAAAGTCCTTCTGCTGTTCTAGTGCATGTACGAAGGTGACCAGAAAATGCTTGTTATTGAGCAGTGTTGAGAACATGCTGATCCCCTCTTCCATGTTGTGTCGGCAGTTTTCGGGAATCTGGAACGAGCAGGGGTTTGAGTTAATATACAGTCAATTCACTTTACAGTGTGTTCTGTGAAGCGCTTTGGGACGTCCTCCCGACGTGAAAAGCGCTATATCAAATGCAAGGATTATTATTATTATTATTATTATTATAAGGAAAGACGTCAGACGCAAAAAAACTGCAGAATGGAAGAAAATAATTATCTAATGCATCGAGCTCGTTCCTCTCAACCAAATTCAGTTCACAGAGTCGGTGACTGAGCCAGACACTGGACCTGAGCTCAGTGCGAATATCCCTAAACCCTTGAATAATTTGGTCGCTCAATCCACGACTGTTTGTGAGACGCTGCTGTGGGCAATTGGCTGCCGGGTTTCGACCACGAAATACACAGTCAACTTCACTTAACGGTATATTCTGTGAAGCGCTTTGAGACGTCTTGAAGACGTGATAAGGCGCTGTATCAAATGCAAGGGTTATTATTATTATTATTATTATTATATTATTATTATTATTATATCCTCACACAGATGTCCACACAACTGGCCTGAAGCCAAAGGAAAAATAATTATTCAGCATTTCAACTGAGAGTCACTGACTTACGTTCCAATCGTTGAGCAGAAGCGGGTGGCTCTCTGGGGGCATTGCGGTCATTTTCGTCATGTTGGGTGGAGAGCTCAGTTGGTGTAAGGACTGAGGGATTCGGTTTTCATACTCGTTCGAGCACTGCAACACATTCAGATTCACGAACGCTCAGGAATGGAAGCTTTAAGTGCCGTTAACCGTACAGACCCAAGTGTTGAAAAGTCCGTGTGCCTTCACAATTAGGCTGAGCGCAGGGTACAGAACACTTAACCCTGACACGGCACACGATACAGAGGAGTTCATCGGAAAGCCAATACGCTCAATCTCAAGCGCTCTGGGATGCTGACTCCAGGTGAAAGGCGCGGCGTAAATGCAAGTTGTTGTTGTTGTTGTTGTCGGTCACTCACCTTTGGGAAGAAAGTGCGAATCACAAAGTGCTTGTACTCCAGGAAGGGAATGCCCTGGCTACGGTTTAATTCTTTGGTGAGGTCCGTCATGTCCGTCTGCAGCTCGGCGAACCCTGAACAGCGCAGGGAGGAAGGGACAAACGTGAGCCACAGACCACGTCAGCGCTCAGGATAACTTGTGTGACTCGCCCACTTCTCCTGGGGAGTAACGTGCTGTTACTCTGCCGGAACTTGCTCGGTTCGGAGAGGGGGTGGGGGGGGGGGAATAATAAAAATAATAATAATAATCCTTGCATTTGATACAACGCTTCATCACGTCATCGAGACGTTTCAAAGCGCTTCACAGAATCGACTGTATATTATATATATTTATGTATACAAATATATATATTTTGTGGGTGAAATCAGCCAGGATTACTGCTCCTAGTCCCTTTACAGCACCCTCTGCTGGTCATGCGTGTGTATGACAGGCAGGTAAGGAGTGCTTGACTTTGATGCCCTCTGCAGACAAGTGACTTGGTTTAGCTTTGCAGGTGAAAAATGAGCAGTTGAGTAGGGTAGTGGAGGGCAGCCAGTGTCCGTTGAACTCGTACCCCAGCACGAGGAGGCTGGTGATCAGGAACAGAGGCCAACGGGGGAGAAAATAAAACGATACTGAAAACAAAATAATTGAAAACAATTAAGAAATAGATGGTTGAACCGAGCAACCTCCTAAAACCTTCCTCTTCGACTGCAGCTTCGGCTACCCCCCTACCCCTAAACCGCTCTGCCCCCCCACCCACCCCACCCCAGCTCGGGTCCAAATGCCTGACTGTCCAGCGCTTTGGGACCTCCTCCCACTGTGTAAAACGTAATTTGTTATTATTGTTGTTGTCGTCGTCGTTGAAACTACCTTTGCGGATTTCATCCCTGATCTGAGCCTCCATCTCCTCCATCTGCAGCAACGTCTTCTGCCGGTAACGTTCTGCCCGACGGCTCTTTGTGCAGAATACGACCAAGGCTGAGAAAAATATTTATTTACATGAGCAACACAGCAACCGACTTGAACAGGACGCATCTGGGACTCTGCCGTGCGCAATTGGCTGCCAAGGTTTCGCCCACAAAAGAGTCAATGACTCTACAATAGAAGACGTGTTAAGGCGCTGTATCAATCGCAAGAATTATTATTATTATTATTATAATCCATTCTCGAGTCTGAGATCTCACTCAGCATCATGTCACAGTAACAGGAAGAGCTGCTGGTGCCTGGATCAGAGATGTCACCAGCTGCCTCCAGGCAGGAGCAGATGGTGCCATTGTTTCATCCACAAAACATGCAGTCAATTCGCTTTACGATATATAATAATAATAATAATATCCTTGTATTTGATACAGCTCGTTATCACGTCTACAAGACGTCTCAAAACACTTCGCAGAATATACTGTAAAGTGAATATACTGTATATTTTGTGGGCGAAACACATACAGCAGTGTCCCACAAACAGCCGTGGATTGAGTGACCAGATTATTATTTTTTGGGGGGAAGGGATTATCACTCCCGGAAAAGCGATTCCCCCAATCGACTAACAACCGGGTTCCTACTCACTGCTCTGGTAGACAGAGACGTGTGTGTGTGTGTGTGGGGGAGTAAGGAAACTTGCCCAATGTTTCGCCCTGACCCGCCCGGGAATCAAGCCCAGGTCCTCTCGCTTGCGAGGCGAGTGCTCTAACTGCGGAGCTACGGGAGTCCATTGAATCAACCTGACCTGCGAGAGTCAGTGCGTCTCCTGTTACAAATAGTGCATTGGGAGACCCTTAGCAAAGGGAAAATCCAGTTACAATCTCCCCACCAGCCAAGGAGGAAACATTTTACCCCTTGGCTACCCTTTGGGAGGCCTGCTGTGCGTGAGCTGCCACTCACGCTGTGGAGCACGCATTGTGCCTTTCTCTGTTCCAGCTCTCAGTAAGACGGTGATGCATCCTGTCTCCAGCAAAATGGGAAAGCTGAGTTCTAGGTGGGCTCGAAGCCCAGCTTCTGAGGCTGAAATGTCTCATTGTGTTGGATCTCAGCAACCAGAGGCTTCCAATAAAACGGACTTGACAGAAGGAGAAAGCCTTATGTTCTGTGGGTTATTATAATGACGTTATAATAATAATAATCCTCGCATTCGATACGGCGCCTTATCACGTCTTCGAGACGTCTCAAAGCGCTTCACAGGATACACTGTGAAGTGGATTGACTCTATGTTTTGTGGGCGAAAAGCCGATTACGCACAGCAGCGTCCCCACAAAGTCGTGGATTGAGCGACCCAATAATTATTTTTTCAATTATCCGACTCTTTTCTGCCGGGCGACTGAACGTGACTGCCTCAGAGAAGGCTGCGGTCCAAGAAACTGGAATTTCTCTTCGGTCACAGAATCCCAGAATCATAGTGCGTTACAGCACAGGAGGAGGCCATTCGGCCTACTGTGCCTGTGCCGACTCTTTGGAAGAGCCGCCGACTAGTCCCACTCCTCCCCCCCCCCCCCCCCCCCCACGCCGCTCTCTCCCCATAGCCTTGCACATTTTTTTTCTTTTTCAAGTACCGAAGCAATTCCCTTTTGAAAGTTGTTGCTGAAACTGTTTCCGCCATTTACAGAGCGAGTTCGGCGCTCCGAGACTCCGTCCGGAGTGAAGGGCGCTATAGAAATGCAAGTTGTTGGTGTCACAGTGAACGAACAGCTTACCTATAGCGCACAGCAGCAACAGAATGATGCAAACCACTATGGTTATCACGATAAATGTCTCGATCTCCCCCAACTGCACCATCGCGATGGTTTCGTTGTATCTACCCACTCGCACCTGTGAGAAGAGAGGGGACGCCTGTCAATAATAATAATAACAACCCCGGCATTTGATACAGCGCCAATATCCCATCTTCGAGAGTCTCAAAGCGCTTCACAGAATATACTGTCAAGTGTAGCGACTTGACAAGAGGAGGGTAAGGGGTGACCTGATAGAGGCCTTTAAAATGATGTAAGGGTTTGGATAGGGTAGACATAGGGAAGATGCTTCCACTTGTGGGGGAGACCAAAACCAGGAGCCGTCAATACAAAACAGTCACAAACAGATCAAATAGGGAAGTTAGAAGAAATGTATTCACACAGAGAGTGGCGGGAATGTGGAACATGTTACCACAAGGAGTTGTTGAGGCAAATAGCATAGATGTATTCAAGGGGAAGCTGGAGAGGTACGTGAGGGAGAAAGGAATAGAAGGTGATGCTTGAAGGCTTAGTGGAGGAAGGGCAGGAGGAGGCTCGTGTGGAGCATAAACACCGGCACAGACCAGTTGGGCCGAACGGCCTATTTCCGTGCTGTATATTCTAATGTATTCTCAATCTGAATTTAAAGGCACGATCGTTTGTCACTTACTACAACTGGTAGCTGTCTCTCGTCCGTATCCAGGGAGACGTTGATGGTGCAATGGATCTTTTCTTTCACAACGTAGATCTCACACAGAAAAGGGCCGACCATCACCTCATACTCTTCTGGTGCCAGATTCAAAATGTCCGCTGTTTTCTGAGGAAGTGGAGCAAGGATGGAATAAGCAAACTGGACACAAGGTTACAGGATTGAGGCGCAAATGAAGAAGGTCCCATTTGGCCCATTCGATCTCATCCAACCGGAACACCCGTCCCTTCTAATTCTCCCATGATAGCATCAAACTATTCTAGTCATTCATCACACCCTCTGGGTAAAGAAATGCTTCCTGGTGGCTGTTCTGCGATTGCCCTTTAGAAACTTGAACCTGTCCCCATTGTAATAATAATAATAATAATAATAATAATCTTCGCATTTGATACAGCGCCTGATCACGTCTTCGAGACGTTCAAAGCGCTTCACAGGATATACGGTAAAGTGTAGTGACTGTGCGAAAATCAATATTACTGATCACCTTACTTCAATCACCAGTGTGAGTGGCTCCCCTTGGTGGTGTTTGATGAACTTGTCCTTGCGGGAGAAGTGTGGGTCACTGCGGTAGTCCAACGTGAACTTGTAATGAGCGGCATTGTCACCCGGGGAATCCTCCATATCAACGTAGTCAATCTGGTTAATGTAAAAGCTGACGCTAGCCGGCTGGCCCTTCTTAGTGATCGAGTATGCGGGAGAAGGGCAGATTATAACGGTGTCGTTTTCAACTGTACACGTCTGCAAAAAAAAACATAATCATTTTGTTGTAACTACATAATTCGCTATTTGACCCCTCCCTAGTTGCTATTATCTTGGCTGTAAGAATACAGTGAAATCTATCCTGGCTTTAAATTAATAATAATAATAATAATAATAATAATAATAATAATTTGGAGGGCTTTAACATTCCCATGTAAATATTATTATTCTTTCAACTTAAAACCCTTTAACTCTCTCAGAGTAAATCCACTGGGAATTAGACTTTACAAACTTTCACCTAAATTAACACAGTCTTCCTTCCCACTGCCAAGAAACACACACATTTCACGTCAATTTTTGCTGAATGTTTCTCAGTCAGTTCTGTGCCAGCTACTCACTGATTCCGCTTTTCCAAGGCTCTGAACCACCATGGTGACTTTCTGGGCTAAACTGAATCGATGGCCTTTCACTGTGATTCTTCTCCCACCGCTGCAGCGAGAGCAATAGGTTAATGCAAGTAACAACAGCAACAACACATGATATTTATACGGCGCCTTTCACATCGGGAGGACCTCCCAAAGGTGCTGGACAGTCAGGGATTTGGACCTGAGCTGGGGGTTGGGATCAGAAGCGGGTGGAGGGCAGGGAGTGATGGGGGTAGGAGGGTGGCCAAAGGCGCGGTTGAAGAGGAGAGTTTTGATACGTGGAGGCAAGGGAGGGAGGGAGGGAGGGAGGGAGGCAAAGGGACTGTGGGATGGAGTTCCAAAGGACAAGATACCAAGACATTGGGCTTTAATCTTACAGACAGGATTTTGTCATTACAGGTAACAGGATTGGCCTCTCTGAACCAGAGCCAATTAATGCTACAAGACGTGTAGATTTGTGCTACAGACTGAATCCCACCCGTAACTGGGTTGAGACTGTTCCAAGGGGCATTTTAGACAGGAAGGAGTACATAGGATTATATGTTCATATATCCAGGGGTTTGGGATCCACCTTGATGCGGTATGCAGAGAGGTAAAGCAGCTAATGCTCAGCTTCTCCATCTGTTGGAACGATGGCTCAGTGGGTAGGGATGTGTGTCTAAGCTGTGGACTGGAGGAAGCTCGCAGGTAGTTAGTTCCTGGTATCTGCACAGCTCAGGCTTCCAAGTGATTGCTCAAACCTGCCCTTCTCTGATGTCAAATGATCAACCAGTGACTGTCCTCTTTGGTAGAGGGGAAATCTCTTAAGGTGCTGAGAAGCAGGAATAGAGTCAGTCATCTGTAGTTCTATCAGTATTCTGGTTCCCGATCCACAGGTGGATCCACAGTGCTCCAGGGCACCGCTGATGACACTACACTCTACAAAACGTTATATAAATAAAGTCAATCTGCTTCCAGCCTGGCATTTCTCCTCATTCGTTTGCAAATTTAGTTTCGCCCACAAAACACACAGTCGATTAATTCACTTTACAGTATATTCAGAGCTTTGAGATGTCTCGAAGACGTGATAAGTAAGGCGCTATACCTAATGCAAGGATCATTGCTATTATTCATAGTATTTAGGGTCACTAAAATGCGGACGCTCTCCAGGATCATCTCGTACCTGATGTAACTGGTGTTGGGGTTGATGCTATCGATTGTCGGGTTCTCCATGTACTGGAAGGTTGTGGAATTGTGGACACAATCCTTTCTCTCAAACCGCACGCACACAGGAACAGCCACCTCGGTCCGGTTGAAAGCCGGCATTACACACGTTATATTGTTTTGAGTCCGTCTGGTAATAAGAGAAAACCTTTGATTGAAGAACAAAACTGCCAACATCATCAACAACTCGCACTTATATAGCGTCCGCCACGAAGGGTAGCGCCTCAGAGCGCTTAACAGTGGCGGAGCCTGACTCCGAGCCGGGGCGGGGAGGGGGTGAGGGGGGAGGTGACTGTAAGCACGGTCAAAAAAGAAAGTTTTCAGGCGGGACTTGAAAAAGGGGAGAGAGAGCGAGAGAGAGGGGTCAAGGCGGAGGGATTGAGGGACAGTGTATAAAACATCTTGAGTTTTATAGTTCCCTTTTAAACGAGTGAACGTTGTGTGCGCGTCTGCACAATAAATGTCATGCTCAACAGAGGATGTGGTAGGCAGTGTGATGCGATGACCGCTAGGATTCTCAATTCACAGCAGTGGCTTACATTAGATCTCTACAGTCCTGGGTACCGTTGACCACAACTCTGATAGAAGAGCCAATGTCTAGGTTTTGACCACTAATGAGGACTTTGGTCCCTCCGGCTTTGGGCCCTCTGTCTGGCGACACTGAGGAGACTTCTGGAACCTGGAGACAGAAGCGACAACAAAGATCAACATGTGTGAAAGGATTCAAGAACAAGGCTCGGGGAGGAACCAAAAAGCACAAATATTGCGGGTTATTAATCTATCAATCCAACATTAGACAGATAGCAACTGGAAAGACAAGTCAGACACAGATTTGTCTCTGCGATACTTCACAGAGTGAATTGCCTAATATCTGCGGTCAACCCATTTCCCACCCAAAACTTAGGAATGTTCCCGGCTCAAAACGCATGTAGATTAGTCATTGATTCTGCGACAAGTTACATTCACCTGACGCCTTTCGTGGTGGGAAGATAACAACAACAACAAATTATATTTGTATAGTGCCTTTCATGTCGGGAGGACGTCCCAAGGCGCTGAATTGGTTTTCGTTCCTGAAGATAAAGCGGAGACGGTGCGAAATGTAGGATGTGAACCAGGCGAGGACAGGACCGTGAAGGTTGAGGTGACAGGAGAGGCGGCGGAAGAGGATTGAACGGGCGACCTTTGCCAAAGATGTCTCAAAGACTGAAAGGGCTCCAAAAAAAGGGTTTGCTTGGATGGTGGGGGTGGGGGGGGTGGGGGTGGGAAGGGTGGGGGGGTGGGAGAGGAAGAAGCTGTGAGTCAATGACTTGTTCCAGCACCTTGTAGGAGGAAGGGGAGGCTGGAGATGGGTTGGCAACTGTAAAGGTCAAGTGAGGATTATAACAGTTTCCTTTAAGGTTCACGGAGCAGGATTGTTCCATAGCTGAGCATTCCAGGTGTTTCCTGTTGCTGTTGAACCCCTGTGGAATTCTAGCGGATGTTTCCCCCATCGCCTTTGGTTTTGTCAATGGTGCATTTCCTGTTTACCTTCAACATGCCACTGATGTCATTTCCACTCGATCTCTGGCCTGAGGAGACCAGTAAGATGTTTTTCCAACATCTCCAATACTCCAATGTTTAAGGAGTTCAATGTTTATTATTATTATTATTATTATTATTATCTGTGACGAGCCTTTTTTGTTTGGAATGCAACTGAAAGTGTGTCTCACCAGAAAGGAGAATATCTCTTTGGAGGTTCCTGCTTTCCCCACAGTCACAGTCACTACACCTTGAAGCACGCTGCTTGCTGGCTCGGTCCTGCACACAATCCTGAGAAGCGACAAAGTCAAGCAGAAATGTAACGGGGTGAGACAACAGCTCCGACAGATTCAACTGAAACGAACACACACTCACAATGGGTCCCGGTGCTCGACTGTACAAAGTACACTCACTGAGAAGTTATAACAACGTCAACAACAACTTGCATTTCTATAGTGCCCCGCGATCGAAGGGGCAAATTCAGAACAAATCTGCGGAAACACTACTTCAGTGAGCGAGGAGTAAACGTGCGGAACAGGCTCCCCCCGGGAGACAGACGGCGAAGGCAGAGAGTGTTGTTTGTTTCAAGAACAAATTAGATGAATTTCCGCTAGAAAATAGTATCTCGAGGATACAGTATAGAGTTTGGGACACGACACGTCAAGTGACTGCCAGGATTGGTGGAAGGCGAACCTGGTGGATCTTGGTCTTCTTTCGCCATCAAATTCTTACGTCCTTATAAACAAGGGCAGAGCTTTATGGCGTAAACTGAAAGAGGTCATAAAATTTACTTACTCTTCAGAAACCACGTAACTCTTCTCAAGAGGGATACACTGCACTTCACCGATACTAACGCCTTCCTTTATATCACTGAATCTCCGACCCAGGTTGCTGCCTTTTATAGTCAGCAAAGTCCCTCCGTCCACAGGCCCAGTGAGGGGCTCTATCTGGAAAACACAGTGGTGACAATATAGTGGTGCTCGAGTGCGTACATGTTTCTTTGCCATTGAATGTTGTTTTATACAAAACATGGCTCATAGGAGGGGTGAACATTGCTAGGTCAGGGTGTCAAGGAATACGGGGCAAGGGAGGGTAATTGGAGTTGAGGCACAGATCAGATGTGATCTTACGGAATGGTGGAACGGGCTCGAGGGGCTGAATGGCCTCCTCCTGTCTCAAAGCGATTCACAGGACATACTGTAAAGTGAACTGACTGCATATTTGGTGGGCGAAACTCAGCAGCCAATTGTGCACAGCAATGCCTTCCGAACAGTCGTGGATTGAGTGACCTAATTATTATTAGTTTTATCGATTTATTAGTTTTTTTCTGAAGGGATTATTACCCCTGGAAAAGCGATCCGCCAATTGACTAACAACCGGGTTCCTACTTCCTGCTGGGTAAAGAGAGACTTCTGTAACGCAAGAGGGAAAATAAATTGGGTGGTTCCCATACAGTTAACTGGCAGCAGAGAAAGAGAGGGGGCTTCGAGATGTTTCCTGCACAATTTCCTGTGAAGTTTTGCGGATGCTGTTCCCACAGATAGCAAATTTACTGCCCGGTGGCTGAGATTGTACTGATAAGCCAAACAGGACATAGGAGACGACAAACACATGTTTAAGATGGGTCAACTGGACGCAAGATACATTCCAGTTATTCCAGCGAGAGAGAGGGAGAGAGAGAACCAGAGAAAGAGAGAGAGAGAGAGCATTCCATTACAACAACCTATCAATCTATCTCTGGAATTTCCATGTGCATGGAATTATCAGCGTGGTGATGAGTTTCCCCACGTGTCAGACACCCGGCTGACCAAACAACCAAAAAAATATATATATATATACATTTCTGAATGAAGCATTTCTTTGTGGGGCTGAATCATGAATCAAATACATCTATAAATAACATCACATTACATTTGTACAGCGCAGTTCACACCAAGAGGACGTCCCAAGGCCCGAGACCGTCAGGGATCCTCACCTGAGCTGGTGGTTGGTGATCAGGAGGGGTGGAGGGCGGGGAGGGCGGGGGTTAGGAGGGTGGCTGAAGGCGAGGATCGAAGAGGAGGGTCTTGAAGGAGGCGAGTAAAATTTCAAGAGCCTTGTTGAGCGTGAGCCGTCGATTACTTACTCTGGTGATCATGGGTGGGGCACAAGTCTCCTTGACTTGTCTGCATTCGCTCCTCAGTTTGCAGCTCAGGCCGGACTCACACCAGGCACAGAGATGGCCCTGGTCCTCTCTCCCCCAACACTGCGAGCAGTCTGTGCTCCCCAGAGCACAGTTATACACTTCCACTGTACAGACAAGGCAATGCTGTTAGCTCCTCACTCTGCACTGAGATCCACCACTCGCGCTTATCAGTAATGATGATAATAATCTTTGCATTTGATATAGCGCCTTATCACGTCTTCGAGGCAATACAAAATTACATTTGTACAGCGCCTTTCACGCCAGGTTAGGGCATATATATAAATAAATACATAACTCAATTTAAGTAGCAGTGACAAGTTAAGACAGGGTCAAGTTATCAGGAGATTACAAATATCTAAAATGTTAATAATAATAATAATAATAATCCTTGCATTTGAGATAGATTCAGGGAAATGAGGAATTTCCTGCACCTGATATTGTGTTTGGATTATCGATGAATTTTTGTGGGTTTTCTCTCAGCCTCAGGTTGACTGGAAACCCATGGCTTTTGTTGTTTGCAGACAACTGCAAAGAAAAGTAGAATCAAGGCAGTTTACTCTTCCGTCTCGCACGCAATCATTACCCCTGCAAGCCAAAGCTCTGACTGGCAGCACGGTCCTATCTATAGAAGCAGCAGGAAACGTGACAGACACTGTTCTCAACACCAAGTTTACCTGGCTTTAGCTCGTTAAACTCCAGCAGCACTTAACATCCAGTCTGGGGTCCCCAAGCCCTGGCTCTCATCATCCTGTGCCTAATACTTTCTGGAATTAGGTAAGCACGGTGCGTTCCTCCAGATAGAGAGAGATGGGGGAAGAGAGTCACTGCAAACTCTGGAACTCTCTTCCTCTATCCCTCCGCCTCGCCCCTCCCTCCCTCCCTTTCCTTCACGCCCAAAGATCTTCCTCTTCGACCGTGCCTACAGGTCACCTCCCACCGCTCCCCACCACCCCCCCCCGCCCCCCACCCCCAGGCTCGGTGCGGTGCTCAGCCACCATCGAGCGTTCCGGGAAGCTACCCTGCGTGAGGGGGCGCGGTGTAAATGCAGGTTGTCGTTGTCGTTCAGGCTGTGGCACTCACCTTGACAGCATCACACAGGACAGTGGTTGTGTTAAGCCATGTTGCTGCTAGCACCTGATCACCGAAGTCACACTCCAGCTTTGTGGTCTGAAGGGGGGGGGGGGGGGGAGAGAGGAAAACCTTTTAAAGAATGCGTAACGCGGAGGGCCATAAATTGCACGTTACTCTTTCAGCAGATCTGCTCCACACGCTCACTCGACTGACACAGAGACAGACACCTGAGATCAAAGTAAATCAATCCCAACACAGGAATGTAGGTGACGCGATTCAGAGGGTAAATAATAATAATAATACTCATAACCCTTGCATGTGACACGGCGCCTCACCACGTCTTCGAGACGTCTCAAAGCGCTTCACGGAATATATAAGTGTAGTGACTGTGGGTTTTGCGGGCCAAACGCGGCAGCCAATTGCGCACGGCAGCGTCCCCAGAAAACAGGCGTGGATTGAAGTGACCAAATTAATTATTATTATTATTATTATTTTAAGGGAATTTTTTTTGAACGCAAAGAAAATGTAAGTAGTAGTAGTAGTTGTTGTTGTTGTTGTTGTTGTATTACACATGGTCGAGGAAAAATTGGGAAGGCTGTTACCTGTAACCCTGCACTGTTGACCAGAGTGACAGGGATGACTTCCTCACTCCCGGTTGGGATCAGAGTGATGGCTGCTGCTACGATTTGTGGACACTGTGTGAGATTCTGTGAAGAGAAAACGGAACAGAACAAACCACAATTGCAGACCGCGTTGCGCAGGTGGTGGGGAACGGCAGAACAGGCTTTTTTTTTTTTTCTTTTTTCCCCAATGCAAAGATGCCTCATTTTTCGTTCCAGGTTTATCACCCAGTGTGCCCGCCTGGCTCAGCTGGTCGCACTCTTGCTTCTGAGTCAGAAGATTGTGGTCTCAAGCCCCACGTTTGGGCCTTTGTTTAGGCCGACACTCTAGTGCAGTCCTGGGTCGCAAGTGCCGTCCTGCGGAGGAGATGTTACCCCGAGGTCCCGTCTGCCTGTCCGGGTGGACGTTAAAGGTTACTATGCGCAAGTGAAGCGAGTTGCTCCTGATGTCCTGGCCAACACACCCCAAATAAAGTCGGTCGTTCCCTTTGTGAGCTGTTTGAGGGACATTGCTGTGTGCGAATTGGATGCTGTGTTTGCCTACAAAATACCAAATTATTACTTTTTTGAAGGGATTATTATTACCTCCAGAAAAGCGATCCGCCAATCGACTAACAGCCGGGTTCCTGTGTACTGCTGGGTAAACAGAGGCGTGGGTGTGTGTGGGTGTGTGTGTGTGTGTGTGAAGTAAACGTGTCCAACATTTCGTCCGACTTGAGAATCGAAACCTAATCGAAATCGAAGTCCTCTCATCTGTGAGGCGAGTGCTCTTAACCACTGAACCACAGGACTCAGAAGAACAAATGCTTCTTTTGAAACAAACACATTTTCGGATCTTCCTGCTTTCTCACCACTTGAAGATAAGAGCAAAGTTTGTGTGTCTGATGCATAGGTGCAATGGGATCCGTGTGCAATCTTACCGTGGCCAAGCCAGCTGTCAAACCGTCCCCGCAATCGTCCTTGCTCGAGACACATTTGTGATCGCTGACACACCAGGAGCACCTCCACTTAGTCCCGAGGCAGCTCGCACACCTAGAATCAGAGAATCAGAGATTCCTACTGCACAGAAGGGAGGCCATTCGGCCCATCATGCCTATGCTGGCTCTTTGAAAGAGCCACCAACCAGTCCCACTCCCCCTGCTCTTACCCCAACTAGTCCTACTCCCCCTCTCTTACGCCACAGCCCTGCACATTTTTTCCTTTTCAAGTACCTATCTGATTCCCTTTTGAAACCCATTACCTGTAACATAAAAGAGAGGCGAATGCTAGACTAGAGCATCAGGCGGGGGCGCTCAACTCCAGGGCAGGAAGCCCTCTGGGACCCTACACTGCGTGAGGGACGCTATGTAAATGCAAGTTGCTGTTGTTCTGAACAACTTCCTTTCGGACTCGGCAACATCTTTAACAAATGAGCTCCTGGGCTCAAGCAGAAAACACCCAACCCATTAATAGGTAAAAAAGTTGACTGGGGCCACCGTAGAAAGACCTCTGGCCCCTCAACGCAATTTATTTTCGCCGCAAGCGTTTGAAAAACGATTTCTTTCAATTGTTGTGACAAACACGTCCTGGTCCTCCATTGGTAGTTTTATAGAATCGGAGGTACGGTGAACGGAGGAGACAATGGTGGGCTACTTACGCTGTCTTCGCGTGGACCTGCCCTGTCCTCTCGCAGTCGTAGATGGTCAAACTACCCCACACGATGGTTCTGTTATCTACTTGGACCTCAACAATCACCACAGTATGATCTGAATAAAGGAACGCATAGACCATCACCGACAACAGGAAGAGGAATCAGGGAAAAGCTTATCTGAGGCTTTTAGTGATTGATTCAGTAGATGGTCTACTCAATCGTGCTCCATTTAGCCATTTAGTTATAAAAGGGATGTTTTATATGGTTTATCTATCAGTGAGGGGAGCTCATCAACACATACGAACATAAGAATTTGCTGGCGAAAGAAGACCAAGGTCCAACCAGTTCGCTTTCCACCATCCTGGCAGTCGCTTGACATGTCGTGTCCCCAAACTGTACGCTGTATCTATCCCGAGATATTATTTTCTAGCAGAAATCTATCTGATTTGTTCTGGAAACAAATGACATTTTCTGCTTCCACCATCTCCTTCGGGAGCCAGCGCCATACCTTTACTACTCGTAAACTATTACTTTTTACCACTCATAAACAAGTCTCGTACTCAGACAGATCGGTAGCAGTTGTAAAACAAATCACGACACTCACTGAGAGAGCGAGAGAGGGTGTGGAGTTGCTCACCTTTATTTGGGAGGAATGAGGGGTATTTCTCTTTGACCAGAAAAGGGCAGTATCCAAGTTGGTATGATTTAATTTTGGACACGGTCACGAGAGTCTTCTCCCCATTACTGTATTTGCAATAAACTGTTCGCCCACTCAGATCCGGGACATTTCCACCGATGGTGATTCCAATATCCTGGTATTAAAATCAAAAATAATCATCATAATAATCCTTGCAATTGATACAGCGCCTTGCTTATCACGTCTTCAAGACGTCTGAAAGCGTTTTGCAGAATATACTGCAAAGTGTAGTGACTGTATACTTTGTGGGCGAAACGCGGCAGCCAATTCCACACAACAATTGCATCCACAAGCTACAGGACTCCACATTACAGACTAGAAAGGCATTCGGTCCATAGAGCCTAAGATGCTACCACTGGAGGTAACATAACTTAACCCCAAGATTTACAAAAGATACCTTACCGAGGGATTACTATGGGCAAGGTTGATTTCAGGTGGTACAATGGTCATGTTGGGACATTGGTCTAAACGAGAGCCCAGACCAGTCCAGTACAAAGGATAATTGGAATCCACACAGTCCTTCTGTAAGCTACACCTGAAAAAGATGAAGTGCATAGGATTACGTTTCGCCCACAAAATATCCAGTCAATTCACTTTAGAGCCTCTCCTGTGAAGCGCTTTGAGACATCTCGAAGACGTGATGAGGCGCCGTATGAAACGCAAGTGTTACTATCACTATTATTATCTCCCAAACCATTCTGCTACCTCTCCTGTGACTCCACATGCCCGTTGTTTTAGCCATTTGAAGATGAATTCTACAGGTTTCCAGTGCAGTAGAATTGCAAAGAATTCAGCTGGATTTGCTGGCCATTCTGGGATTGAAAGCAAGGGTAACTTTGCATCATTTTCTATTTCCAAATTACAAAGAAAGGGGAAGTAAGATTGCTTGAAGTAAAGTGTTCACATGGTGAAGGAGGATATTGCCAGATCAGCAATTTATAATAAACCCAGAACCTGTTGATGATTCATTTGTTTTACGAAACATTTCAACATTTGTTCTAAATATATTTAATTCCCTTTTTGAAAGCTGTCATCAAATCTGTTCCCACCACCCTTTCAGGCAATGCGTTCCAGACCGCAACGACTCACTGGGTAAAAAAAAAAAGTCATCTCCCCTCTGTTGAGGATTTAGAACCGACTGTGTGACTATCGCATGCCCTATATCGTTCTACAGCAGTGTCAGAGCTCTGCACACTGTGACGTCAGGCTAAGCTTATCAGGTTATCACAGATTCGGTGTGAGCTCCCAGTCTAACTGCTTCCATACCTGCTTTCCAAGGTGCACCAACCACAGTGAGCATCTTCTGCCACAAGGCACTCAGTACAGGACTTGTACTGATCACAGGTGGCGACCTTAACACGACTCATCTGTTAACAGCAAGACAATAGAATGGGAGGTTGGTCGGGTGCAGTATATGGAGGGATAGGGACCAGTAGAACAGTCAGACTCATAACTCAAAGAACATAGAAAGTGTGTAATGAGAAATCATTATCTGTCTACACCATTCAACGTAGATCAATTACTTTACTCAGAGGATAACAGATACTCACCCGCAATCACAGATATGTCTCTGTCCCATCACTAATAGATACTTGCCCACAAAGTCCCCCCTTCCTATCACCCAAGAGCTCTCCCCACCCCATCCCCCTCCCCCGTCCCAATGTGCTTCTCCAAGAAGTTTTTCCTAGTCTATATTCTCAATAGGTTCTCGTCCAGACTATCTCAGATGTTTGTTTCAAATGGAATAATGGACCCCAGGAAGTGGGATAAAGGCTGGAATCTTTAGTCAAGCACCGTGAATGGTTTTTATATAGGAACAGGAGGAAGCATTCAGCCCCTTGAGCCTGTTCCGCCATTCTATAAGTCCACGGCTGATCTGTACCTCAACTCCAATTACCCTCCCTCGCCCCGTAGCCCTTGATTCCCTGACCCAACAGATATCTATCCACCACAGTCTTGAAAATATTGAATGGGTCCAACCCTAAACCACAACCTTTAATAATAATAAAGGGGGGGAATGGGAGGGGGTTTGGATCATTTATGTACAGTTTAGAAGATCAAGAACAGTTAGATTAATCTCCCGAGTTTCTGCTTCTGATCAATGCTGCCATTATGAGATTGTTGCTCTGTTTTTCGCGCTTTTTTTTGTTCCTGGAATCGACACTGGTTATCACTGCATTCCTGCTGAGTCTGACATGTCCCCACTTTAATGCAAGCCTCGATTAACACCCTTCATACAGGACTTCTGCGAAACAATCTGCTGGTGAATAGCAGGAAGTTCCAACATTCACGGAAGAATTACTGGTAAACAAGATTAGGACGCAAAGATAACTCTGGCACTGCAGAGCCTGGGCCGTGTGTACGCATGTATGTATTTATATCAGTCTGGGTGGGTTGGTGGGACTCCCAGCTCTGAGTTACAAGGCTCTCAGTTCAAGCCCGACTTTAAGACATTGAGCTCCTAGTTTGGGTTTGATGCTCCAATAAAATTCTGGGGAGTGTTGCAATGGAGATGTCTACTTCAGGTCAGATGTTAAAGCATGGACCTCCCTGCCTGTTTAGGTGCACTTCAAAGATCTCATGACACCCTCTGAAATTAGCTGCACACATGATACGCAGTCACTACACTTTCCAGTAAATCCTGTGAAGCGCTTTGAGTTGTTTCGATGACGTGATGAAGCACTATATCAAGTATTATTATTAATATCATTATGTCACTGGAGTTTAAATCGCTCTGTGGGGGTAATAATCGAGAAAAAGACATAACGTCACTTAACAGAAAGTAATAGAGTGGTTTATTTTTAACGCCATCCTACAGTCTCCTCGCCTCGCTCCCTCTCTCACCTCCTTCAAGGCACGTCTCACGACCCTCCTCTTCGACCGTGCATTCGGTCACCCTCCTACCCTCGCCCTCCACCCCCTCCTGATCCCAATCCCCAGCTCGGGTCCAAATCGCTGACCATCCAGAGCCTTGGGTGAAAGGCACCGTGTAAATGTCATTTTGCATTGTACTGTATGAGTGGAGCTCAGGAGCTAAAGATTGAACCAACCTGGTATGTGGCCATCACATAGAGATAGTTACTGTCCTGGGGATCGAACTGCATGATATGATGGATAGACTCGCCGGGAGACACTGGAATCTTTTTAATATTCCCAATGGTCCTGTTGCTCCGTACGTTTAGCTGGAAGGACAGAGACACAGTCAGACACGCTGCGATTATCTACTTTCACTTAATTAAGGCAGCAGTAGCTCTCTCTGAGTCTCAATCAGCAACTGGAGATTTTTTTTCCCCCCAGATCTCAGTTTGAGCGAGGCATGTTTCGTTCGATAAGAGTAATCAAACCAATCGCAGTTTGGGTGGGAGACTCTTAAGCACGGCGATGGGCAAGTAACGGAGCTTGTGACAAGACACCGCGGCTGACCAAAAAATATGATGGTCAGCGTGTCAAGAAATACAAGAACTGTACCTTTAACATCCATCCACTGGCTGTGCCCAGGAACACCACAGTGTGGTTGTTGACACTCAACACAGCCACCGAGGTGAGACCTGTGTACACGAAGATCGGTGTCGCTTTAATCGGCGTCTTTATCGAGAGCGGGTGTTGGAGATGAGCAGCTCCACAGTCCAGCTGAGTGTTCTGCAACTGAAAATGAAGCCCAAACGTCGTCAGTTCTTGATCGCTCCTCATTTAACACAAGTCTACTTATCCTTTGCAGGGACCCACGCTTCCTACACAATTATGCTGTGTTTATACAGTATTTGTCAAATAGGTCAAGTGCAGGTAATGATAATAATCCTGGCATTTGATACAGCGCCTCATCACGTCTTTGAGACGTCTCAAAGGGCTTCACAGGACACACTGTAAAGTGAATTGACTGTGTATTTTGTGGGCGAAACGCGGCAGCCAATTGCGCACAGCAGCGTCCCCGCAAACAGCCGGGGGTTGAAGTGGCCGAATGATTATTATGATTATTATTTTTTTTGTGTGTTATTCAAATGATGTCCAGCGCTGATGGACCATTCACTTCACCAAATGCAACGACTCGTGTCCCAATAATTGCAACCAGATCAGCTAACATGTTTCCATGGGACATTTTGTTATTCTAGATAACGAATAATGGGATGAATTATTCTGACACCAACTGTTGTGCCCTGGGTACGGGGGGTTCATTCAACTCTCCTCCATGAGTCAGACTGTTCTGAGAAGGAAATAGAAGTAAAAATATTTCCTCCTTTCCCAGGATCCACGAACCATCCCTCGAAGCCAACTCTAAGACACACCAAGGCTCGACTGACACAGTTCAGATGGAGGGATGAGCCTGGGAAACTCCTTTCTCTCCAAACTGCACAGTAAATATTATTAACTGTGTTCCCACGTCGCCAACAGCAAAACAAGATTTGAATATAAAAGTCTCCTGTGTTTGCAGAGCAACGAAATGCTTCACAAACTATTTGTAATGATAACAATAATAATCCTTGCATTTGATACAGCGCCTCATCACGTCTTCGAGGCGCCTCAAAGCGCTTCACAGGATCTACCATAAAGTGAATCGACTGTATATTTTGCGGGCGAAACGTAGCAAACCACTGCGCACAGCAGCGTCCCCACAAACGGCCGTGGATTGAGTGACCAGTTATTACACTTTTCTTTTTTTTTTGAAAGGATTATTACCCTCGGAAAGCGATCCAACAATCGACTAACAAACGGGTTCCCACTTACTGTTAGGTAAACCGAGACGTGTGTGTGTGTGTGTGTGTGTGTGTGGAGTAAGGAGACTTGCCCGAGGTTTGGCCCTGTCCTGCCCGGGAATCGAACCCAAGTCCTCTCGCTTGCGAGGGGCGAGGGCTCTAACCACTGAGCTACACGACTCCATTTTAGAAATAATCTATGGATTTATTGCCTTGATTGGAAACACAACACAGCTGTGAGTGCCAGAATACAACGTGACTTTCCTCCTGAGCTACCTCGCGTTCCTGTGTGACCTTGGGGTGTTTCCTGTGTGCTTTCCTGTCGAATGTCACCACTCGGAAAAATTATGTTTTGTGTTTGCAACAGATATCCAAAGGGTGTGAATTTGTTTTGGCTCCAAGATCATTCAGTGGCTGGCTTTGTTATGCTATTTCCGTCAGACTTTTGTTTTAATTTTTCTTGTTGCTTGTGGATTCTGTCCAGTGATAAGAAAGAATAAAAGTAATAATTCTCAACATTCGATACAGAGCCTTATCGCGTCTTCGAGGCGTCTCAAAGCGCTTCACAGGATACACTGTAAAGTAAATCGACTGTGTAGTTTGCGGGCGGAGTCTTTGTCAATCTTAAAATACCCTAAAATTATATTTTAAAAAAATGATGGGCAGTTGTTTTGCATCAGAGCCCTTAGACAATCAATGGCACTGTGTCAACTGCGAGACAGAAATTCCAACTGCACTCAATCGAGCACGAGGTAACCCATCATATTTTTTTATACACAATTTAAGAGAATTTTAAGATTGTCAAAGATTGCGTAGCAAAGGATTTTTGAAACGTTTCACATTTTTTTCCCCCCTGGCCCTACTTCTGAGCCTGTCTCTTTGGTTGCTGGTGCTAACCTCTGCTCTCTCGCTCGGACAATCGGGGGGTTGGGAATTTCACATACCGTGCAAAAGTATAGGATTGTATACTATTGCAAGGTACATACATACGATCATCTTTCTTCAGCGTTAGTAAGAGCTTAACGTCTCGAAGACGTGATAAGGCGCTATACCAAATGCAAGGATTATTATTATTATCATTCGAAATTAAAAAATGGCCCATTAATAAATTCTTATTTTAATAAGTTCTTATTAATAAGTTCCCACCTCTCTGACCTGCTGACTCCCGACCAACTTGCCCGCTCCCTCCGTTCATCGGGCTCCAGCCTGCTCCATGTCTCCCGTCCTACCATCGGTGGCCGGGCTTTCTGCCCCCACACTCTGGAACTCCATCCCACGGTTCCTTCGCCTCGCTTCCTCCCTTGCCTCGTTCAAAGCCGGTCTCAAGACCCTTCTCTTCCACCGTGCCTTTGGTCTCACTCCCACCTCTCTGCCTTCCCTCACCCCTACACCACCCCTCCCCTATGCTCGGGCCCCGACACCTGACTGTTCAGCGCTTTGGGATGTCCTCCCGAGTCCTCCAGAACGTGAAAGGCGCTCTATAAATGTCATTTTATTGTTGTTGTTGTTGTTAAATTGTCCAATTGTCACTTATTCCCCCCACTCAGCCACCCCACTCGTCCCCAAGAAATGCATTGGGCAATTGATTTCATCTCCTTCGCTCGTTGAACGAGTGCCACAATTCATCAAGTGACATTCCTGCTGGTGAGTAAAGATCTTGTGATTTTGCGTGTGTGTGTGTGTGTGCGCGCGTATGTTACTCAGCAGGAAGAAGAGGTCAGGAGGAAATACAATGGAAACAGAAGTAGGAAACGACAGAGAAAGCAAGGTCTAGCATTGCTGGCTTTTGCATTGAATTGGGATCAACATTTCCATTCAGTGATAACTACAATTCTGCTCCAATATACAAAGCAAAGAATCGCCCACAAAATACACAGTCACTTCACTTTACAGTATATTCTGTGAAGCGCTCTGAGACGTTTCGAAGACGTGATAAGGCGCTGTATCAAATGCCAGGATTATTATTATTATTTTTTTATTATTATAACCGCAATCATCAGAAAACCAGACGCTTCTGGCAGTTTCTTCCTAAAACTCATGAAAGCATAACCACATGATAGTGGGCAGTTGCTACAGATAAGAATTTTCTGGTGGGTGGAAAAGGCAATAACAAAACAGCTTTACCTGAAAACATCCCTTAAAGCTGTCCCCACTCCTTTTTTCCCTCTGCACTCTTTTCTCTCAAGTTTAACTAGAAATAAAATGTTGTTTAATTGTATATATCTGTGCGCAATTGGCTGCCAAGTTTCGCCCGCAAAATATACCATCAATTCACTCTACAGTATATCCCGTCTCGAAGACGTGATAAGGCGCTGTGTCAAATGCCAGGATTATTATTATTTATTTCACGAATATATTCATATTTTGATTTCATTAATATTTCACCCCCTTTTAAATGGCTAAATAAAGACTGTAATCCTAATTACCATACAATTGTGTCCCACTGAAGCTGATTCTTTTGATCTTAGCAATTCAGGTTTGGTCTCATAGGAAAGGGTGCATATTTATTACTCTTGAGCACGATGATGGGCTTCTGCATATGTTAAATACCTGGCCGATCAAAAGAATAGATTGTTTTACTGTGAATCTTCGTTCCTCACATCACTTTGCTTGGAAACAAGTCTCTACTGGTTATTTTCCTCTGTCTGAACATAATTCACAGTCATCAATGCCAGGAAAACTGCCAGACAGCAATATCAATGGCAAGCTGCGTGGCTTTAGCTGGTTAGACTCCAGCAGTTACCCCAACGTACACTCTGAGGCTCCCCCCAAGCCTCGGCTCTCGACAACCTGCGCCTAACTATGTGTTGATCCACCAGCCTTTCATGTACTGAGAGGGGCTCAATATGCTTCTCACACTCTACAAAACACATGAAGACAAGATACTCAGTGGATAACAGGGGTTGAGCAACAACAACAACTTGCATTTACACAGCGAACCCCCAGCGCCTGACAATGGCAGAGCACGACACCGAGCCTGGGGGAAGGGAGAGATAATGGTGGCCTTGGTCAAGAAGAGAGGTCTTCAGGCACGAACTGGAGATGGGGAAGGAAGGGGGCGAGGCGGAGGGAGGGGGAGAGAGAGAGTGTGTTCCAGAGTTTCGGGGGGTACTGGCTGAAAGCGCGGCCACGGAGGGCAATAGGGACACGCAGGAGGCCGGAGCCAGTGGAGCAGAGGCAGTGGGTTGTGGGGTATGCAGGTCGGAGAGCTAGGGAGGTGCCAGGGCACGATGCGAATTCAAAAACAAATGTTTCGCAAACCTCAATAATAAGTTACGGATCAGCAAGATGCAGAATTGGGTTATTGTCTGACAATTTGACCTACATTCAATCCAACCGTGAAGGAAAGTGATTCACGTATATCTTATACAGTAGGACCTTTTGAGCAATTGAGTGGGATGTTGAGCAATGCCGGGTGAGGTGGTGGAGAAAGCGGCAGCGAATTGGAGCTTGAGATAAGAGTAATAATCCTTGCATTTGCTACAGCTCCTTATCCCGTCGTTGAGACGTCTCAAAGATCTTCACAGGATACACTGTAAAGGGGATTGACTGTATTTCGTGCTCGAAACGCAGCAGCCAATTACGCACAGCAGAAGCCCCACAACCCTCGTGGATTGAGTGACCAAATTATTATTATGAGTTTTTTTGGGAGGGGGGGGGCGAAGGGATTTTAATACTGAAATTAAATACTGATTTTGATACTCATAATGTTGTATATTATAAATCTAAGGACATACAGTATTCCTGCTACATTTTAGCCGCGAGGGGAATTTCACCCTCTCAATTTCAAAACATGGAAAATCTGTGATTTGTTAACGTGTGTGAGAAACACAAAGTAAATTTGGTTAAAGAGACAACCTTTAACCTTCCTTGTCACGACGAGAAGTGTGCGAGTCTGCAGGGTTTCATTCTGGAAGTGCCCTTTTTCCCTCTTGTAATTTTATCGGTCGACGTTCAAATGAAGTCTCTCTCTCGAGTGATGCCGTCCCATTCGCAAAAAGGATCGTGACCGTTTGTGGTTGGGCTGGGAGCGGCGGCGCTAACTGTGTCCCCGGCATTAGCTCTAACCGTTCAACTGCAGGTTAGAGCCCTCGCCTCGCAAAGCGAGAGGACCTGGGTTCGATTCCCGGGCAGGGTGAAACGTTAGTTTCCTTACTCCACGCGCCTCTGTTTACCAGCAGTAAGCAGGAACCCGATTGTTAGTCGATTGGTGGATCGCTTTTCCATCCCTTCAAAAATAATAATAATAATAATAATAATTTGGTCAATCAATGCTTGACTGTTGGTGGGACGCTGCTGTGTGTGATTGGCTGCCGTGTTGTCCCCACAAAGTACAAAGTCAATTCACTTTACAGTGTATTCTGCGAAGCCCTTTGAGACGTCTCGAAGATGTAATAAGGCGCTACACCAAATGCCAGGATTATTATTATTATTAATAACTTGAGCCAGTCAGATTCTGGAGTGCTTTCTCAGTACATGTCTTGGCCTTTGGTTGAGATAAAGTCAAACTTTCAAAACATACTTTTTTGTCAAGCATCCCGATTGCCCAATCACCGGCAATGGCCAACACTGACGTCATTGACAATGTAATGGCTTCCAATCTGACAGTAATATCAGCCGCAGGAAATTTACATCTAATTTACCAGTCACTGCTTAGACAAGAAAATGGCCAATATTGGGGGAAAAAATTGAACAGAGAGAAAAGGGTATTCAGGTTAGCACATAATAGCTGCCAGCAAATGCACGGCAGCCCGTCTGTTCCCAGGAGGATGTTTCTACTTTAATAAAACTCTGATATTGTGCAGTTCTGTTGGTTTTATCTTCCATAGTTTCAGTGTGACAGTGCCAAGACTGACAGCTTTTAATAAAAACGTTGAAATGAGTAATTCTGAGAATGCGCTTCTAGATTTCTGGCCTAAACTCTCTCACATCTATGGGAAGAGGTTTTCAGCAGATGTGTTCCCAGCGCCTGACGCTGGGATTCTCCTGGGAAATTACAGGAACAGGAGGAGGCCATTCAGCCCCTCGGGTCTGTTTCTCCATTCTATAAAATCATGGCTGATCTGTATCTCAACTCCAATTACTCATCGTTGCCCCATATCCTTTGATAAGAAAGCAAACCCAAAGTCCCCACCTTAATTGCTTGCATCCTAATTAAGAACAGCGAGTCCTGCAGGCTTCTGCCAGGTAGAACAGCTACGCATTGAGGTGACGCTAATAATCCACGAGGTTTATGTTGCCCCCAGACTGCACATCGCGTACAATATTACATAACCAATTGCTCATCATTATTTGCTGAGTGAATAAATTCAGTCTGGCCAAAAAATATATAATTTCAATCACTTGTCATAATTCCGTCTCTTTGACTTGAATCTGATGTGTAATTTACGCCCACAAACATCTCTGTTTTGGTGCCGAATGTCAGGGAAGGTGGGTGTTACAGGAACGCCTCTTAAAGGGTATGAAAAAGATATGTTTATGTTACTGCGTGAGCTGCACACGGTGCTATATGAGGTATGTGCTGAACTTGCCATCATCCGGGTCTTTGCCTCACTCCACTGACTCCCTGGCTCTCAGCGCATTGTCTTCAAAGTCCTACCCACTCACCTATGAGTCCCTACATGCCCCAACACCTCCCTATCTCCATGACCTTCTCCTAACCCACTCATCATCTCGTGGCTCTGCAATCAGCTAACGTGAGCCTTTGCTGCCTCCACACCAAACCCCCCCCCCCCTCCCCACCCCTCCTCATCGCCATCGGTGGCTGAACCTCCAGGTTCTCAGCCCCTAACCTCTGGAACTCGCTCCCTCTCACCTCTATCCCTTCCTCTCACCTTCTCTCGATCTGGATGTGGATCGTTGAGTTTCGCCCACAAAATACACGGGCAATTCACTTTACAGTCTATTCTGTGAAGCGCTTTGAGACGTCTCGACGACGTGATACGGCGCTGTGTCAAATGCAAGGATTATTATTATTATATAAGATATAAAAGCAATAACTCATTGACCTCATCATATTGAGGGCTGGAGGAGCAGCAAGATCACAAATGGATGAAGGAAATGACCAAAGTAACCTTTCTTCCAAGAGGAAGCAGAACGGATTTAACCCTGTAAAGGCTGGTACGATTTGTGCTGCACGCACCAGAAAACCCTATCCTTGCATTTGATACAGCGCCTCATCATGTCTTCGAGATGTCTCAAAGCGCTTCACAGGATACACCGTCAAGTGAATTCTCTGTATATTCTGTGGGCCAAAGCAGCGTCCCACAAACAAGGATTGAGGGACCAAATCATTATTTTTCGAAGGGTTTGTTACCCCCGGAAAAGTGATCTGCCAATCGACTAATTGCAAAAACCCAGATCCGCTCGCTTGTGAGGTGAGTGCTCTAAGCGCTGAGCCACACAAAAATAGCAATGTAATGGCTTTATCCTGTTTCCCTCTTTTTCTAATAGCAAGGCTATTGTATTTGGGTCCAAAATATCATTGAAACCTCATCCTGATGAATGGGCAGGAACTGCAAGCAGCTGGGACATTAAATACGACTAAACCTTCAAAAGATATCCTGCGGGAGTTTTAGCACAACTGATCCTTCTATCAAACACTGCAGGCGAGGGAGGGGGAAATCAGTCGGGGTTCCAGATCCGGATTCCTTTTCCGCTCGTGTATCCAGGGCTCGGAATCCACCTTAAGAACTTCCCAGGGAAAGAAGACCAAGGTCCATCTAGTTCACGTTCCACCCTCCTGGCAGTCACTTGACATGTCGTGTCCCCAACTATCTGTCCCGAGATATTATTTTCTAGCTGAAATCTATCTAATTTGTTCTTGAAACAAATGGCATTTTCTGCTTCCACTGTCTGTCTCCCGAGGGGAGCCTATTCCACAAGTTTAAGGGAAGGGGTGAGAAGGGTCACCTTGTGGCTAAACTGTCTCCAAAATTCGCCAATGAAAACTGAGTTGACTCTTGAGTAACAGTCTTGGTTTGGGGGATTGCATTACTCTAAGGCGCTGATGATGACAGTAATCAGCCTGTTTGGCTCTTCAGCAGGAACTGGATGAACAGACTAGTAGTCACTTAGAGAAGAGAAATGTTCCAATCTGGCTCCTGTTAATATAGAAAGCCAAAGGCCTCAGAGTGAGGTTGCTCCTATCTGGACGAACAGCAGGAAGCTTGCGAGACAGTGCTCGCATTAGGAAGCTGTATGGTTTTAGCTGGTTTAAACTGCGGCAGTAACCCCCCAATGCAATCACTGGGGTCACCAAGCACTGACCTCTTGCCAACTTGTAAAGCCCAATATTTTCCAGAATTGGAATAAGCAATTCTAGAAAATATTCTTTCGCCCACAAAACACGCAGTCAATTCACGTCGCAGTGTATTCTGCGAAGCGCTTTGAGACATCTGGACAAAGTGATAAGGTGCTGTGTGAAATACAAGGATTACTATTAATATTATTATTATTGCGACAAACAAGGCCCACCCTTCAGGAAGAGAGTGTCCAGTCCAGATAGGGTTATCTCCGTACGTGTTATGCTGATGTGTCTTTTTATTACTAACAAAAACCTCTCAAACATTTGCTGTAAAAAATTTACAGTCACCAGAGCACTGTTTGCGGCAGGTTGCGTGACATGGTTTTTATCTTACAATCTGAGTTTTGCTTTAACATCCAAAACAATATCACAGAATCCAGACAAGAATATGTATACCACAGTCTCATTACATTTTCTAAGCATCCGGTCAATGCAAGCAAAAGTTTGCCCACAACATACACAGTCACTCCGCTTTCCAGTGTGTCCAGTGAAGCACTCTGAGATGTCTCGACGACGTGATAAGGCGATATACGATAATCCTCGCGTTTGATACAGCGCCTTACCATGTCTTCGAGACGTCTCAAAGCCCTTCACAGGATACACTGTAAAGTGGATATCAAACGGAAGGATTATTATTATGATTTCCTTGTGAAAGGTAACCTATCTGTCAAAACACTTCTGTGCATCACTAGCTTCCAACGGCCGGAAAGGAATTTAGAGCAAGCAAAAATGCATCGAAGAGCTAGCAGCAGACTCGCTGACTATGTGCTGTCATTAAATGATCCATTGCTTAGGTACAGGGGAAGCAGCTATCTAAAGTCTCACTGAGATTTCCCAGTACAGGGCGAAACCTTAGGCGAAATGTTTCCTCACTCCGCACACGCACGCCTCTGTTTGCCCGGCAGTAAGGAGGAACCCGGTTGTTAGTCGACTGGCGGATCACTTTTCCACGGGTAATAATACCTTCAAAAATAATTTGGTCACTTAACGCACCACTGTTTGTGAGATACTGCTGTGCCTATTTGGCTGCCGAGTTTCGCCCACAAAGCACAGTCGCTACCCTTCACAGCATAAACAACGGCTGCTGCGTTTCGCCCACAAAATACACAGTCGATCAATCGGCTTCACAATCTATTCTGGGAAGCGTTTTGAAACATCTTGACAATGTGATAAGGCGCTATATCAAATGCATATGGATGGTGGTGGGGGGGGGGGGGGGGGGGGAGGGGACCGTAGATACAGTCGAAGGTCTTGAGGCGCGACCTGGAGATGGGGAAGGAAGGGGGAAAGGAAGAGGGATAGAGGAGTTTCGGGGCGGGGGAGGTTTGGGTAGGGGGGTAGAAGCTCAGACTCACTGTGATATTCTTGGCCTTGCAGGCAGGTCCACTGCCCTGGATCACACTGTCAAGAACGGTCACCTCCTCGGTCTTGAACTCCTTGAAGCAATTCCTCCTGGCCTCCCTGATCCTCTGCTCTATATCGGAGAAGCTGAAGACGCACAGGGCCGTGTGCTTGTCGGATCGCTCGAAGACCCCGAACAGCACCTCCTGGAGCTCCGTGTGAGGTTGGGCCCGAGCCGGAACCGGTTTGGCCTGGAGACTGATTTGGGCTGGAAAGACCGAGACCAACCTGTTGAAGACTCGCTCCTCCACGCTGCACTGCAATCCCACCTGGATGTAAGACTCGGTCAGCTTCTTGGTCTCAGACAGACTCTTGCTCTTGTTGTCCAGGCAGATCCTGGCCAGGATGCTGTGGGGTGACTCTCCTTATTGCCCGAGTTGGCGTCGTTGTTCATGGCCACGTAGGTGTAAGCCTTCTGGATGAAGGCGTGCACGAAGCTCAGCCTGTTCCTGGCCTTGGCCTCGATCTTGATCTTGAAGACGTTGTCCTCGGACGGGTTGATGTCATAGGTGAAGAGCCTGTTGAGCTGGCTGATGTCCAGGGACCTGATGGCGATCTCGGGCGTGTTCTCGAAGCGCAGGTCCTCTTTGCTGTTGTTCTTGGGGAAGAAGCGAGTCCCCAGCCCCGTGTAGGTGGCCGCCACCAGGAGCTTGGTGCCTCCTCGCGACGTCTTGAGGATCAGACCCACGGTGGAGGCGTTGGGGTCGTTGGCCGCGATGTAGAGCATGCTAGGAAAGACGATGTCGGACGACTTGTGCGGTGGGAACTCCACGGCGATCTCCGAGATGTTGCCCACTCGCCTGAGCTCGCAGAAGCCCTGGTAGACGGAGCCGCAGACGACGATGATGTCCTGCCCGCGGTCCAGCTGCAGGATCTTGTTGTGGTTGTCCATCATGACCTTGAGGCGGTCGCAGGTGGCTTCGGGCAGCTGGGGAGCGTGGCACAGCACGTTGTCTTCCACCGGCCCGGTTATGGTGCGGAGTTCCTCCGACAGGTCCCAGTGCAGCTGGTACAACCTGTTCACTGCGGCCAAATAGACTCGACCGTCCACCGGGTCGACCGCAAAGTTGTTGGTGGGCTGCGCAGTCCTGTATTTCTGGTGTAACTCCATGGGCAGCCCCGGGTACAGCATCGCCAGGAGCCAAGACACCGCCAGCGATAAAGATCGCTGCAGAAATTGCATCCTGCTCTCCTCTTCTCCTCCCTTCTGCTCTTTTCTCCTCTCGCCACTTCTCTCCTCTTCCTCTCGCTCGTGCTCTCGGCGTCTGTGTCTGTCTGAGGTTGTGTGTGTGTGTGTCTCACCACGGTTGCCCCAATGATGATTAATTGGCAAAGCAGCCTCCCGGATTGACTGACTCCTCTCCTCTCCGCTCTCTCTCTCTCTCGGTGTCTCAGTGAGTGTATGTTCCTCACTCACTGCTGCTGCCGGATGATAAATTAGCGAAACAAACTGCTTGACTTTTCTCCTCTCCTCTCCTCTCCGTCTGTCCGTCTGTCTGTCTGTCTGTCTGTCTGTGTCTACCCAAGTGTGTGTGTGTGGGTCTCTCTGTCTGTGTCTCTCTCTCTCCTCACCTCAGATGAATTGGTGAAAGAGACTGCTTGACTTTTCTGTTTTCCCCTCTCTATTCTCTCTCTCACTTTCTCTGTCTCTCTCACACTCTCTGTCTCTCTCACTCTCTGTCTGTCTCACTCTCTGTCTGTCTCTCTCTCTCTGTTTCTCTCACTCTCTCTGTCTGTCTCTCTCACTCTCTGTCTGTCTCTCTCTCTCTGTCTCTCTCACTCTCTCTGTCTGTCTCTCTCACTCTCTCTCTCTGTCCCCGTTTCTCACTCTCTCTGTCTGTCTCTCTCACTCTCTCTGTCTGTCTCTCACTCTCTCTCTGTGTCCCTGTGTCTCACTCTCTCTGTCTGTCTCTCTCTCTCTCTCACTCTCTCTGTCTGTCTCTCACTCTCTCTCTCTGTGTCCCTGTGTCTCACTCTCTCTGTCTGTCTCTCACTCACTCTCTCTCTCTGTGTCCCTGTGTCTCACTCTCTCTGTCTGTCTCTCACTCTCTCTCTCTGTGTCCCTGTGTCTCACTCTCTCTGTCTGTCTCTATCACTCTCTGTCTGTTTCTCTCACTCTCTCTGTTTCTTTCACTCTCTCTGTCTCTCTCACACTCTCTCTCTGTCTGTCTCTCTCTCACTCCCTGTGTGTGTCCCTCTCTGTCTGTCTGTCCCTCTCTCTCTCTGTGTGTGAGGCAGACGATGATGATGTACTTACCAGTGAGACAGCCTGTGACTGAGTGACTGAGTGAGTGACTGAGTGACTGAGTGAGTGAGTGAAGGCGGATTTGTGAAGCAGAGACACAGAGAGAGAGAGAGGGAGGAGGAGGTGGGGGGAGAGTGAGTGTTTCCTGATATAATAACCAATGCGCCTCAACAGGAGCTGGTCAGTGACTTGTCTTTTTGCAAACTCCTCGATTCTCCCCCAGAGTCTGAACCACACCGACTGTTAGCAAAGCAGATGTTCAGAAGAGACTGGTGTGGAAAAAGCACATCCCCTTCTCAGCAGATGTGCAGTGCAGTGCAGTGCAGTGCAGGAGCCACAAGACCTTCACTGTCACGTTTACCTTCCACTCATCTCTCCATCACTGTGTGAAACTATTTGCTTTAACTCTCCCAGAGAGAGAGAGACAGAGACACACAGAGAGAGAGAGAGGGAGAGAGAGAGGGAGAGGGAGAAGGCGGAATAGTTTTCACTTTCGCTCATTTCAACAAAACAAAATATGTGTATAATAATAATAATAATAATAATAATCCTTACATTTGGCGTAACGCTTTTCACGTCTTCGAGACGTCTCAAAGCGCTTCGCAGAATATGCTGTGAAATGAATTGACTGTATATTTGTGGGTGATGTATACACATATGGATGTGTATGTTTCAAAAATATCCCAAGTGCTTCGAGAACCATTTAAACGCGTCGTTTTGTTGCTGAAATTCAGCTCCCAGTTCCCAGATTGCTCAGAGCAAAGAGGGTTTTTTTTTGAAAAAAAAGCTTTTAATCTGCTTTTAGTTGAAACCTTTTTTATTAAACAAAATCGAAACCCCTCCCCTTACTTTTCGGGTACTTTCAAAATAAAACACACAACGTTTTTCTTCTTCTCCCATTATTGTTATGTGTGGGGGTCAGAATCCCTTAACAAAAAAGATATAATAATAATAATAATAATAATTTGGTCATCCCATCCACGACGGTTTGTGGGACACTGCTGTGGCCGATTGGCTGCCGCATAATATACAGTCAATTCACTTTATTCTGTGAAGCGCTTTTGAGACATCTCGAAGGCGTTATAAAGGCGCCATATCAAATGGAAAGATTATTATTATCATCATCATCATCACATTATTAAATATAATAATAAATAGTTATTAGCAATGAGTCACCCAGTTTTATCTTCGGGAACTTTACTTTTGAGATTAAAAAAATCGTATCAAAAAGATTTTGTCTGCACAATGATGAAGAATAATAACTTTACCAAATAAAAAAATAACAATAATAATAATTATGCATCACGGAACCGAAACTTTAAATCAAGAACCGGATTTTCATCTTGAAGACTTTTCCGTTCCCCCCCACAGGCCAAAGCTGACCGTTTCAATTGCCAACCGTTTGCTGATTGTACTAACAATAAGAAGAAGAATCCCGGCATTCGACACAGCGCCTGATCACGTCTTCGAGACGTCTCAAAGCGCGTCACAGGATACGCTGTAAAGTGGCGCGACTGTAATATTTTGTGGGCGAAAGTGGGTTTGAGTGGTTCTACCATTCCAACCACTAATAGAAACGATACGTAACCGGGAAATACAAACAACAAAACACACAAATGAATACATACAATTCCCCTCCACCCGGGAGTGAAGCAATAAAAGTGATTTAATCCCCGAAACACGTCGGGTAGTTTGTCAAGTGAATGATTGTTATTCTCCTCATGGTTTTGTCGACGGGTAGGTTTTGTTTGAGGTTGACACCAGTAAAGTGTAGACCAGAATGAAATCTCCAGCATATGCTTCCTGCCAGTCTGTTACAGTGGGAGAGTTACAGCTGAGCCCTCACGCTCTTCTCCCAGCAGCACGGGATGTGACCCAGGCTCCACCAAGGTGCCAAACTCCCAATTTGTTGGAGCGTTGTAGAGAAGGGGAGCTTTCTAAACACAGCTGACTGTGTCTAACGGGTGATTATCAGCAGTCAGGCCTTTAGTCTCTCTGCCCCCCACCCTTTGGAATTCCATCCCACAGTCCCTCTGCCTCGCTCCCCCCTTCGCCTCCTTGAAGGCACGTCTTAAGACCCTCCTCTTCGACCGTGCCTTCGGTCACCCTCCTACCCCCACCCTCCCCGCCCTCCACCTCCCACTGATCCCAACCCCCAGCTCGGGTTCAAATCCCTGACTGTCCAGCGCCTCAGGACGTCGTCCTGACGTGTAAATGTCATTCGTGGTTGTAATTGTTGACTGTCCTGGGGGTTTAGGGATAAGCAAGTGGTTCGGTGAAGCTGAGACAGTGGGACTTGGGAGTCATAAGAGTCTCCAAACCAAGCTGAGATTTCCATGCATCCCACCTACACCTGGAAATCCCAGAGAGATTGTTGGAGTGGCCCTCTCCCTCCCTCTCCCTCCCTCTCTCTCCCTGCTAACCTAATTCCAGAACGTATCATCCAGGCGCAGGTTGGCAGGAGCCAAGGCTTGGGGGGAGCCCAGAATGTGTGTTGGGCAAATGGCTGGAGTGTAACCAGCTAAAACCACACAGCTTGGCATTGATATTATCAACAGTGTGTAAGTGATGGCCAGGTAGTGCGAATGAATCAGGAAACCAATAGAAGAAGGATTAAAGTGTGAATTAAACTCACTGCAGGGTGATAGTGTGAATTGTACGAACCCATGGAATGGTGTGTGTGCTGAAATACGTTTAATCTGACGTTAATTAAAATGTGAAATTCATCGAAAGTCGAACAGAAATAATTACACCGGGTCCAATATTTACATCAGCGCAGCTCGTAAGATATGCAGCAAGATCTTCCTTATCAAGTGTTAATCGAGGCAGGCTCTCTGAACTGTCCTCGAATTAAATGTCAACTTGGTTGGTCAGGGCAGATGCCTTTGAGAAACGTGTTGGAGCCAATTACATAACCTCAGTCAAAGGGTTGCAATAACTAGTGCAGTCCTGTAGCTCAGTGGTTAGAGCACTCGCCTCGCAAGCGAGAGGACCTGGGTTTGATTCCCGGGCAGGAAGAAATGTTGTGCAAGTTTCCTTACTCCACACACACACACCTCTGTTTACCAGCAGTAAGTAGGAACCCAGTTGATAATTGGCGAATTGCTTAATAATCCCTTAAAATAATAATCCCTTAAAAAAAGGAACAATAACTAAGTCACTTCAACCCACGACTGTTTGTGGGGACGCTGCTGTGTGCAATTGGCTGCTGCGTTTCCCCCACAAAATATACAGTCAATTCACTTGACAGTATATCCTGTGAAGCGCTTTGAGACGTCTCGAAGACGTGATAAGGCGCTGTATCAAATGCGAGGATTATTATTAGTATTATCATCATCATCCGTACACTGGAACTAGAAGATAACTCTGATGAATGTTCAGACATTAGCGAAGGTGATGGCACAAGTGTGAGTACATGTATGAGTGTGTGTGCGAGTGAGCGTGTGTGTGTTCCTTGAGTGCCAGTTATTGGGAAGAGGGGAAGCCGCATAGTGTGTGCAAATATGGCCAACCTGCGCTTAATACTTTCGGGAATTAAGTAATCAGGATGCATCCCTCCACGGAAAGAGAGAGAGAGAGAGAGCGCATTCCATTCCAACAATCTATCTCGGGGATTTTCACGTGTAGGTGGGAAACATGGGAATCTCAGCTCGGTTTGGAGACTCGGTGATGGGCTTCCATGTGTGCCAGACACCCGGCTGACCGTAAAAGAGAGAGGATGTTGTGACGCACGTACATGTGTTGCTGATTATTGGGAAGTTTCATACGCTATGTGTGCACAACTTTACTGTAGCTTAGAGCTGATCTGAAGGGGTCTAAGCTACAGCTGTTGATGCTGCAGAAGGCTCGGGGAGATTCGCAGTGACGGACGTGCTATAGTTAATCAGCCGGGGCTCTCGAGAACTGGCCAGTGCTGCTGTTTGGTTTATTTTTGTACGAAGCACAGCCTGAGAAACATTTTTCACGGACCAATTTTCATTC